ACTTTATTTTAATGCTGAGTATGTCACATGTATTTTATCATGTTATTGCTGCTTCACATTCAATATAAACAAAGTGGAGAGAAGATAACGACTTCGGGGCAACCCCTATACAATTTAAATACTTATCATATTACTTTTATGTATTGTTTATAAGTTATACTTTATTTTATGTTATGTTTATCTTCTTATTACTTTATCCATTACATATTATATGCATATTATACATGCTATTTATTTAAATTTATGTTCATAATAGTAATATTGTTACTGTGATATTTTTTTTCGAACGATAAGTACACCGCGATTATTATTGGTGAAAAATCATCTTTACGTGATTCTTGTTCACCACAGGGTTGTCTGAGAGAGTTCGCTTGTAACGATAAAATCGGCCATTTACTGTATGTGTTAATGTTGTATATTGGTTTTGTTTTTATTATTACATCGACGTAGTAAATCATGCTCCCCTTATCTTACATGGGTATAATATATATTTAGAGCTGTTATCGCGTGACCGCGGTGTAAAATATGAACTTACGGTTACAATAGTTATAAATAGTACTCTCTCTTACTGGTGGTAGGACCTCTTGAGAGTCCGCGCGGGTAGGTACCACCACCCTGCCTATTTCTGCCGTGAAGCAGTAATGCGTTTCAGTTTGAAGAGTGGGGCAACCGTTGTAACTATCCTGAGACCTTAGAACTCATATCTCAAGGTGGGTGGCGCATTTACGTTGTAGATGTCTATGGGCGCCAGTAACCACTTAACCAGGTGGGCTGTGAGCTCGTCCACCCATTTAAGCAATAAAAAAAAGTAACTTCATAGTCGTTGTCTATGGCCACAAAAATGTTCATCTAATTTTAAAACTGACTGTAACATCCCCTGAGCGTCAGGGTCGAATCTGTTACGTATATTATGTGATTCAAAGAGATCAACTTTCTTATGATCCGTCACGTGAGCCGAGAGATCCTAAGCGCTCGTTTTCAAATGTTCCTAATGGTCTGAGTCTGTACTATCGACTTACACAAACGGATGCCAACTTTATTCAGTTGAGAAATATGCGAGCGCTTATAAAATTATTATTTTTGTTTTAAGAAGGTAAGAATTGAAATAGTTTGTCCGTCTGAGCTACTTTTTTTTTTTTTTATGATTGAAAGTTTACTGGTGGCCCGAAGGCCTTTCCAGTTTCACTAGGACAGGTGGGCGAGCAAAGGCTCAGCCAAGAGGGGTGGGATTAGCTAACAACTGCCCGAGCGCCTCCGAAGGAGACCTAACAACTCAAGAGCAATTGTTTCGCGAATGAATCTACTACCGGATCGGAATCGCGACCCGCTGAGAAGATCCGGCGAGAAACTCAGCGGGCTGATGCATGGGTTAGGTTGCACGTCGACCTCTTTGTCGAGTTCGACGAGTACGGTTACCGGGGTCCNGTTTGCAATGTATCGGCCAGCAGCTCTGCTTTTTCGTCATCATCGAACGCCGCGAGTCGGCCTGAGGGGCCTACGAGGGGGGGCATAGTTACTACCGTATCCGATTTGAGAGTACGAGCTAAGCGGTAGTAAGACCTTTGGGAGGGCGCGAGTCCTTCTAAGAAATCAGACCATCTGGCATCTCGGACTTTGGCGATGCGAGACTTTAAATCGCGTTGTAGGGCACGCATTCGAATACGATTTTCCGCGGTAGGATACCTGTCGTAGGCGCGTATCGAGGCGTTCTTAGCTCTAAGGAGTTCCCTAATATCGTCGGACAAGTCTGAGCTACTGCAACTGCTTCTCTCTTTAGTAATATGTATTATTCTTCATAACTTCTATTAGGGTATGTTGTAAGCCTGCATTAGCAGTTATCACTGCGAAGGCTCCAAAGTCCACTGCCACTTCTAGACAGATGGGTTTCAAACTATTTGGATGATGTGGAGGAGAGCTGACGAAAAGGAAAGAAGGAAAAGAAGAATTAAAGATGAAAATCACATAGGAAGAGGGAGAAGAAAAGGATGTCAAGATTTTTATAAAACGTTTTTCTGATTGTTATGTAAAGTTATTTTTCTTTTTTTTATGTTTGAAGGATTATTGGTGGCCCGGAGGCCTTTCCAGTTTCACCAAGACTGGTGGGCGAGCAAAGGCTCAGCCAGGAGGGGTGGGATTTGCTAACAGCTGCCCGAGCGCCCCCGAAGGAGACCTAACAAGTCAAGAGCAGTGGCTTCGCGAATGATTCTACTACCGAATCGGAATCGCGACACGCTGAGAAGATCCGGCGAGAAACTCAGAGGACTGATTCATGGGTTAGGTGTGAGTGTTTGGGTACGGTTACCGGGATCCCTAAGCCTGCTCTTAAACAGGCGTGTTTGATTAAATAAATCTTAGATGAAGGGCAGAAATAGGCAAAATGGTAGAAGAGTCATTCCGCCTATTTCTGGCGTGGAGCGATCGAGCTCAGTTTGAAACTGTAAAACGCAACCTTAGACTTCATGCCTCGTAAGGGAATCGTTCACAATGTGATGTCTGTAAGCTTTGATAGCGGAATCCACTGAGTTTCTCGCCGAATCTTCTCAGTGGGTCGGAATACGGCTCCGGTGGTAAATTCAGCGAAGCACTACTTTTGTAAATGTTATCAAACTCTCTCAGGTAGAGCCCTGCGAGCCAGTCCGTTGAAACTGGACTAGCCCCATGAGGCTATTGGCGAGTAGGTAGGAAAAAAATCGATAGCAGTTTAATATCAGAAACGACTCTTTTATCCAAATACTTAAACTAAAAAAACCTTAAAACTACAATCATTTCCCGCCCTTATCGAAAAGTCACGATGAAAAGAATAAAAGTGTTTTGGTAAAGAAGCACCGACACGGAAAGCCGCAGAATGAAGCTTTTACATGCAAATTTCTTTATGAAGAGAAAGCTATTATGTGGGGTTATTTGAAAACGTTTTCATTTAATGTGCTTTTCTTTTACAGTGGCAGTACGGTCTATCTGGCGTTAAGAGGTTACTGGAACGTTCATAGACAACAGAAAACAGAGACTTACCATGAGACATGGGGTCGCTCCATTTTATTTTCATTACGGTCGTGAGTTGAACATCCCATCTAACCTGGTTAAATTAGAATAAACAAGGAATTATAACCAAAAAACTGTAAACAAAATGAAAAGTCATTGAGGCTGCCATAATTTCGTAAAGGAATAAATTCTTCGCGATTAAAGAACTTTGCAAAGCTTCATGCTAGAAAAACATAAAACAAAAGTTCCGAAGAATTCTCTTTCAAGAAAACTTTAAATTCTGTCATTATTGTTTTCTTTTGTAATTAAAACTTTTCATTCTATATCGGCTAATTTTTATTTATTTCTAAATTAATTTATACAAGGAGAATGTACTCTCGAACGACGCGGTCGCAGTTATTGTGGCTAAGCAAGAATACTTCGTACGATTATGACTTTGAACTTTACACGCGGCGATAGAAACTCTTACAAATAGGCACGTGATAATGGAGAAAAGTTTAGGAAGCATTATGAGTGGGAAAACTTCAAAAACATGTTCCATATTTGGCGCACATCACGACGTGTCTATAAGCGCACGAGACAAACACACAAACCATTAATATCAAATTTCGGTTCCCTCTGTATTCTGTACCGTATGTTCCATGGGGAGTGCTCTGAGGAATTGTTCGAGATGATACCGGCATCTCGTTTTTACCATCGCACCGCCCGCCACCGGAGTAGAGTTCATCCATACTACCTGGAGCCACTGCGGTCATCCACAGTGCGTTTCCAGAGGTCTTTTTTGCCACGTACCATCCGGCTATGGAATGAGCTCCCCTCCACGGTGTTTCCCGAGCGCTATGACATGTCCTTCTTCAAACGAGGCTTGTGGAGAGTATTAAGCGGTAGGCAGCGGCTTGGCTCTGCCCCTGGCATTGCTGAAGTCCATGGGCGACGGTAACCACTCACCATCAGGTGGGCCGTATGCTCGTCTGCCTACAAGAGTAATAAAAAAAAAAATAAAAAAAATAGCATTAACTCGAAGTTTGCGATCGAAATTTGACCCAAAACAAAGTAGTCACACAAGACAATAACGTATATTAAGTGTTGGTAAAAAAAAAAAACATTTCCTGATATTTTCATCTGCTCGTATTCAATATGTTACATTGGGCAGCCCTAACGAAGTTAAAGCATTTCTTAAATGAATAGAAGCATAACAAATTTTTGGGTCACGGATAGTACAGATGTGATCAACCCTATTTAAATATCCGCGCTCGGTCTAAATGGTGGGTAGTTCGACGTAAGTTGCATCATGCTTGTCTCTGCTGTTCAAGGATGTATTTGTTCTTCTAAAGGTAAATTTTGTATCGTGAAACAAGCTAACTGCTGGCAGCTTGTTCGCAATGCATATACTTTATTGATTTCAAGTTTGATGATAAAGTTAAAAACTCTTTACCATTCGTGTAAACTATTCCGTTAGCAAATCTCACACGTGGTTCGCCGAGCTACTGCTGCATTCAGTGGTACATTCTGCGAAGCACTGCTCTTGCTAGGGCTAGTGTTAGCAAATCCTCTTAGGCTGACCTAGTTGCCAACTCCTTAAGATACCAGCGTAAAGGTAGGGGAAAAAAGCTGTACTGTTGTACACGGTAAATAAGTAAAACCTTTCGAAAAAAATCCTTTGCGACGAGCAAGTTGCAACATCTAGATTCCCAAAAGGGTTTTAAGTCGTTGGACCGGGAAAGTTGCGAGATCGCAAAGGTCACGTTTTCCTTAGAGACCATAACAGTTTTGAAGCAATTTCAACCTTATTGAATTCTATAAAGATTTTCTATTATATACTGCAACAGTACATATTGGTAGAACATGTTGAGTAGATTCGTTACCACGGTGTATAACGCGTTTTGCAACAAATGTTGCAAATCTGACTGAAGTGGTATACTCGTATAGCTTACTAGAAAAGTTATTTTATTGCAGTAGGGATTGTGGTAAACTGAACTTGGACTTACTATAAAAAAAAAAGGCAAAAATGTATAGGTAATTCGTATATTATGTCAATATATAATAAATAGGGTATTTCTGATTTTTTCGATTATTGGAACTTACCTAAATAGAACTAAAAGGGTTTAGAATAAAAATATAAAAATAATATTGGGTTTTACAAACAATATTTACTTCTACATGTATATTACTTATTAACTAAACAAGTCGCCTGAATTACAATTTACTTTGAGAATTTCTCTTCAGAGCATCAACGGCTATCTGTACAGCCGTTTTCGCGGTTCCCGGAGCTACCATCACCCCGTACCCACCGTGCCCATAACAATGTACCACGCTCAAACCATCCATCACTTCCCGCTCAACTCGAACTGGTACTCTATGCGGACGAAGTCCTACTTTATGTCCTATAACCTTAGCTTTCTTCAACGAAGGTACCAGATCGCAACATCTCTCCCAAATAGAGGCCGAATCATATTTATCCACCTCCATATTGTAGCTGTCGTACTGTCTGCAGCCGCCCAAAGTTGCGTTGCCATCCATGCCTGGTATAACATAAGTATCGTAGTCCCCATAAAATGATGTCTTCAACCATGGCGCGTTGACTTTTATTACTTGACCTCTAATCGGTACTAGATCGTGGTCATTGCAGAGGTATTTTGAACCCATTCCTGTGCAGTTAAACACCAAGTTATAATCTTTTAAGGACGAAAAAGATTCGACCTTTTGTTTCAGTATTTTACCCCCGTTTTGTTTAAATAAAACTTCGTTCCATGGCAGGTATTTATCACACTCGATTTTCAATGTTAAGTAATAGGAGCCGTACTTCCAACCTTTCCCGCACATTTTTAATTCATCTACATCACACTCTCTGTATATCGGTACCAGGTCTTCGATCAAGTGGTTCCTGGTCACGTGGTAGTTGGTTTTTGAGAATATATAGACTGGAAGCGGCATTATTCCCGCTTGTGCGGCATCCGAAGAGTTCATTATCTCGCTCCAATAGTTCCAAGAATAGTCGATCCATTGTTTTGTGATTTCGCGAGTAGATCCTTTGAAACTCGGGCCAGGTCTGAAGATACCGGCCGCCACACAGCTAGCCGTGTCCTCGTGGAAGGCGTCAGCGATGACGGTAATGTTGGAGTTTCGAAGTTCTTTCTGCAGTTCTTTAGCTACGGAGGAACCGATAACGCCAGCTCCGATGACCGCGATGTTCAAATTTCTTTTGTCCATTTTGTCGGTCTGCAATATTTACAATAGTTTTTGAGATTACTCAATTAAATTATATGACAATTGTTTGGAACCGAAACACATGAATGCTTCGTAGCAGAAATAGGCTGAATCGCGCTGTCTTCGCCGGCGGGTCCCCATATCATTCTACCAGCAGCTAGTATGCAAATTTAGTTTTGTTAGTTTCATAATAAAGCCATAATAAAGCTATCCCTTCGTTCTGAACGTGATTGTTGTGCACGTGCTAAATATGTATTTCATTGGAAAAAAATATTACCTGACCTAGCCTGAACCTAGAATTGTTAACGCCCCGTTTGTTTTTGCTGCACAAGAACCATCCTCACCGGTTTGAAGACTGCATAAGATGGGTGGTGGCATTCACGCTATGGTATTAATATACAGAAAGACTAAACCTTAGTTCCCTTAAGTCACATTCACAACATTTCATAACCAAATGCGATGTGATAATAAAGTGATTATTACTTCTTAGATCATGTTATGTTCTTATAAATATAGTGAATTAACGATTTTATAATAACTAAAACTAAATTGTTACTTTCAAACGTGCTCGTGGCCTAAGAAGTTGTCGTGACCTAAAGGATAAGACTCCCGGTGCATTCGTATCTAACGATGCACCGGTGTTCGGATCCCGCAGGCGGGTACCAATTTTTGCGTAATTACTGGTGGCAGAACCTTTTGTGAGTCTGCAGGGGCAGGTACCACCACCCTACCTATTTCTGTCGTGAAGCAGTAATGCGTTTCGGTTTGAAGGGCTGGGCATCCGTTGTAACTGTACTGAAACGTCTGAAACCTTAGAACTTATATCTCAATGTGGGTGGCGCATTTACGTTGTATATTCTATGGGTTCCAGTAATCACTTAGCACCAGGTGGGCTGTGAGCTCGTCCACCATCTAAGCAATAAAAAATAACAATAAAAAAATATGAATAATAAAAACATAATGACATGTGTACTATACGTCTTAATTATATTTTCTAAATTTTATTTACCACTAATTAATCTACTCACCCAAAGACAACAAACAAGAGATAAACATACACAAATAAATATGCAAAGATAATTAAACAGGTACTGAAAACATAATCAAATAAATAAACATTTACAGTATCTATGCAACAAATTTCAATTAGATTTTAAATTTTATTTCATTACAAACATTTCATCACACACGACACGTTTGCCAACAACATAATTAACCAACAAAATGGAAGTGTTTGGAATAAAACATTAAATGCTTCTAAATTAATATTTCCGATGTCATCATGTTTTCATGACGTCACAACTATATCGTAAAATGAGCTACTAGCTACCATAACGCCTCATCGTACTATAGTTCCATTTATAATTCTTTCTCTAACTATTGTATTTATTTAACTTTGCTCTATTATGTAACTTTTCACTAGGACAGTACAATACTGTACTACTAAACGATAATAAATTAATTATTTTGAATCGTGCAAAAACTAGGAAATTGTTTTCTCAGCCCCTAAAACTACAAACTAATAACTAGTCAAACTGCAAAAGTAAAAATACTATGTTATTACGTCTACTTTCCAGAATCCAGACCACCCAGAAAAAACTACAACCAGCTATCGTCACATGAAAAACTTGACAATCGCAAAGCAGAAGATATCCAAGTCGAAGAGCCGGTGGAGTCTGATGCAAGCAGCACTGATGTAGAAGAGCGCGAATCACACGGAGTATGTCCCCCGTGTGCGCATGACCGATACAATAACAACGTAAAACGACGTGCCAACTACGATTTTAGTGATGATTCTGATTATGGTAAGATTATTTCTTTGTTTTACTCGAATTAACTTTACAACGTATAATATGATGTTATTCAATGCAATTTAATAACATCAATAGCAGTTCGCGCAAGCGTATAAAGGTGCTGTACGATTCTTGCCAACTAAGTAATCAAAATCGATTATACACTGTGATTGTACAGCACTAGTTGCTTTAGCCGCTTCAAAATTAGACGTAGGTATTACACATACAGCATAGACAGGGACCAAAATGCCAACAAATAACTGATGTCAAACGTCAGTGTCAATCACTAATTTATATCCGGAATACATAAACTTTCGTCACAGAGTTGTAGTAGGTAATTTTAACCCAAATTGTTTTGAGGGCGTAAATTATATTTACACGTACATTTACACCCAATAAGTGCAAAGAAACAAGAAAATGGCAAATCTAAAGTCAGATTTAGATCAATATTTGCTTCAAAACGAAAGTCGTCGGAGTTATAAATTTAGTTTACCAAGTTTTTCAACGCCTGCCTTCCTGTCTCGTAACACTGAGGAGACTCCGACGAGCACAACAAGCAGTTGGTTCGAAGAAGTACAAAAAGAGTATTTCACTTTGGTAAGTTGGTATTAAAATTTTAGATTTTCTATTAAGTTTAAAATACATGATATATATTTATGGAACATAATGATCATTGTTTGTTGTTGCAATGAATGACTCAATAAGAGATATGACTTATGTTGTGTTTAATTTTTCTAATTAAAAAAATAACCTTTAACATTTATTAATTTGTTTATAATATTTTAATCATTTCTTTGTACAGAAGTTACAAAACTCATTTTCATTGTGCAGAACTAAATTGCTTCTACTTGTTTAATTAACGTGGTAAAATGTAGACATTTTTTTTATAAAATGATTTGTATATATCATAATTTCAATTTTAAATTTCAGAGCAGAACACAACGATTCTTAGGATTTGGAATATGTCTATTTCTAGGAATCCTATGTTTCATACTATCATTTATCTACATACCAGTTCTTCTATTACAAGCTAGGAAATTTGCTCTACTGTTCACATTGGGAAGTTTATTCTTTATACTTAGGTAAGCAATATTTGAAATATTACAGATATATATCTATATAGATTTGGTGCCAAGTTTTAATAATCTCTTTTTCATGTACATTTTATGTGGAGATAAACTGTAGACACTATATACACACAACTATACAAAAGCATTAATTAATGATAAGATAACAATAATAATATAATTACAAATTGGGTGTGTGGGTCACATCATTTTCCTGTGACTGTGTCCTAAAATAAAAGTAATGGGAATTATTCTATGTATAATATCAGCATACTGTAACACTTGATGAGTGATGACTTACTAAAATAGTAAGCCAGCATAGGAGGATACTGTCATTTGTGTTTTTCTACCACAAAGCATTCACGCATTTGACAGTAAAGTGTGCAACAGCTCTTTTACTACACAAAACATAGTTATATTGAGGTCTTAGATCTCATGTCTCCAAGTGACTTACACTAACAACTTATCAGCTGGGGAGGGAAGAATGTTCAATAAAATAAATATAAAATTAAACATAATAATGGTAATGATGGTATTGAGATATTTGTTACGAGGTTTGTTAGCAGTTACAAAGAAACTGAAAACAAATAAATATCAACACCTATAGAACATTATAATGTGTATAAAAATAAACTACAGTGCCCTAAAATATGACATACAAGGAAATGTTTTGCACTATCTTTAGTGATGTTGATTTATATATTTATTTTAGTGACCTGTTTCCCCATTTTTTAATTAGAACTCACTATCAATAAATAATAACTGTACACACATAGCCATTAAACACCTGATAATTAATTATTTGACAAAATATAAGTTAGATAAAACAGCTTTAATAATCATTTGATAATTAATTAATAATTTTGAAAGGCAGCTGTTTTAACTATACTTTGAACTCATATCTCAAGGTGGGTGGCATTGTAGATGTTTATGGGCTCCGGTAACCATTTTACACCAGATGGGCTGAGAGCTCGTCCACCCATCTACGCAATAAAAAAATAGCTTTTCCATAATCATCATTATCAAATTAATTAATTGAAATTATAAGTAGTCACTGTTGTCATTAATAGGGTCAATGAACCCGCCTGTTGAGGAGGATTCCTGAACACACTTGTCATGCATCACAATTACTTTATAGTATTTCAATTTTATTCCTGAACAATCAGGTATACTAGTTCAGTCCTTCTGTCTTCACAGGCATTCTGAATTTCATTCCGGTGTCTGCCCATTACAATCTATCCTACACTTCAAATATAGTACACAAATGCCATTGCAATGCATTAAATATTATTCTTGATATCTTAGGTGATTTATAATTAGCTATCTTAATCAAAGGAACATTTTACAATCATGTTGTTGAAAATTTACTAAGAACTGCTAATTTCCCGTGTTTAAAGTTTATTTGATTAAGGATTTATCAAAATATAAAAGATACAAATCAAGCACTTAACTAGTATACAGTGTATTTTTATCAGTAAAATATTGATATGGTATATTTTATTAGTTTTTTTTATAATAGTTTCAGCTTTCTGTACGGACCATGGGCACATTTGAAGTCAATGTTCTCGAAGGAAAGAGCTCTTACAACATCAATTTACAGTATAACTTTGATAGCGACATTATACTGTGCCTTACATCTTCAAAGTACACCGTGGACCATAGTATGTGCTGTCTTACAAGTCATGGCATTGTTCTGGATGATGATGGGGTCTATACCAGGAGGATCATCGGGCATGAGGTTCTTTGGAAGCATGTTCAAATCATCAGTTTCAAACACATTGCCAATTTAACACGAAAACATTGTGTTCTATATGTTTGAAAGGATTTTTTGTCGTCTGTGGTTAAAACTGTGACTGATGTGTGAAATTAGTTATATTTTCTTACTATCCAATAAAATTATTTTAAGATAGTGAAATTAATGTAAATTTTATAAATTCTAGCATTTAGATACTATTGGTGATACTGCATTTCTATACTATAAATGTTAATATAAACCTTAAAATTAACATTACATGATTCTAAATAAAGTGTGGTTGGTAATCGCTCTTTTTTCATAATTTTTATTTTTTATAAATATTCCATAGAATTCTGAAAAGTTTTAATGCATCCACTCAAACTGAACATGGATTATATATATATGGACTATATATATATAGTCATTTAATTGTTTTAGTCTACAAGGTATATACCAAATGTTGACTCAAAATGTATATCTTCGTTATTGACAAAGCAGCATTTGGGAATCGGCACAGTGTCAACTATGTTGTGCTCACGATTGTTATCTGTCGGTAGCGATAGTCGGCACCGAATATTAGCTGCCCTTAATATTTTTTGGGTCTTATAATAAAAAATTCTGTGGGTGAGCGATCGCCAAACTGCTATTCAAAGCTGTACACGATCAATTCAGAAATGAAGAGATCCGTAGAACTAGCAGTACCGTAGCCGTAAAGAAATACAATATCAGTTTGGGAGAAAAAACACCGTGGATCTCTTCCCTGGCAGATAAACATAAACCTTGCAAGGTTGTAGAGGCTGTATGCGGCAAATAGCTATATTTATAAATAATCTATAAATATAGTAAAGCAAGCACAAAATTATACATAATTCAATTCTTACCATCAATGCAGATGACGCCAAAATGAGGTTTATCCGCACGAAACACGATTTAGACACTGTTATTAACTCGTTGCCAAAAGTACCTACGTACGTGACTTCTGGTAATTGGTAGCGGCTATTTTCGGTTTAAATGTTATGCAGTATCACTGACCTCGCCGTAATATAATATAATATAATAAACGGGAATATAACTAGCTCATTAAAACCACATCCGTAATCTCACTTAATTCATTCATTTTGCTAAATCTTGCATATCCTTCTTCTTCTTCCTAGCGTTTACATGGTCCAGTGTCGGGGTCCGCTTTCCAACTTAAACTTCTTACATATCCAATAAACTTTAATTAGTTTTTAGTTTTATGAATTTTTATTTTATTAGTTTAAATTTAGTTTTAATGCGTTTCTACGACTTGCCAGTACTAAAATTAACTTAATATCTATTTATTTATCTGACGCACTTTCTAAGATTCTAGAATAACTGCAGCAAGTCTAATAAGGTCATTCAAAATGATGGTTTTTGCAACACTGATTACCTATCCCTTGTAATAATTGACCAATATTATTTTTGTACCTATTCTTAGTACGATAATTAGTTATTAAGGTACTTACGTATTAACGCCACCGCGGCAAAAATTTTTAAACTTTCCCTAAGGTCTGTCGATTTTTGGGGGGAGGGAGGGGGTGTAAGCGTTTACCCCTGCACCATTCCCACCCCGCGGAACCCCATGGTTATGAAGATATCCACGGTTTTTTTTTATTTATTAAAATTGCATTATTTAGTCAAACTCGAAGGAAGCTTAAGTTTGAATCCGCCTTATCTCCGGCGCTGCGGGAAGAGCAGCCCTTCCACCCTTGCGTGCCGAAGCACGGTCACTCGTGCTCCGTCACAGCGGGCGAGGACTGCTCTCCCTCCGCGCGCCTCCGGTTTTTTATATACACTCTAGGGGTAGAGCAGACAAGACCAGGTGGAAAGTGGGGTGATCTGATTCGCTTTTCCATATTTTTCGAGTTGTCCACACTTGCTAACTTCGATCAACAATAGTAACTAGATAAAGGGATACGTACAAAATTAAAGCAAAAACTGTCCGCGTGAATATATACTTATATAGCTACATTCGTTTACTAACAAACGGAGAAAAAAGTTTTGAAACACTTTTACGTTCAAACTAATAACAACTATGGCACCTAGTAATAAAGTCACAAATCTCAAAAACATTATCTAATACTTACGATCATTCGTCACATAAAACGAGCAAAGCAATAAATTACTCCTGTCACTTACCAATAAAAAGACATATTTTAAACAACTTTTAATGTTAAATCAATCTTAAACTGCAACAAATAAAGTAACTTTTCCCTTAATTGCTCTGAGAACTAACATCGTTTTGCTTTATTTATTTTTGCTTCTTGAAATGCCGATTTGTATTTACTACAGGAGGTAAGGGAGTCGCGCTTAACACTAAAATAATTTATTAATGAATTAAAGTAAAAGTTTAGTTGTTTACTTTTTATGTTTTGGAAATGTATGTTTGTTAGTATCTATACATTACTTATTATTTTATTAGCGTTACGTTTTTGTGTAATATATATTTTTAAGTTTTCGCGACCAGTGCACATAATAAAACAACGTTTAAACGGTTTCAAGCGTGGTATTTTTATTACAATGTTTCGGCCACATTTCAGTAGCCGTGAGCACGGAAGGCAAAGATGTCCAGTGTCAATAAGCGGAGTTCTTAGCTGGCTTATAAAAGTCATCTCTTGTTTCTCTGGCGACAATCGAGATCCATTCTGCACACGTGATTGCTAGGAAAGCTAAAATAAAAATGGAAAGCTAAGTATCTAATGAGAGTCCAACAAACAGACACAAAAGCAGCATTAACCAATTTTAACCAACTAATTTTGAAGTGCTGCTAACAAATTTTAAAAAATTATTACAACACAAATCTACTCCATGCATTTACTGTTCTGTTAAGCAAAAGTTTGTCCATGTGTTGGCCGAGCCTTGGCCAACATTTGTAGCGGTGGTTAAAAATCGGTAATTTTGTTCAAAATTTAATATTATTTATAAGTTTAAAGCTTACAATATAGTTTATACTTCATGTACTTACCGAAAGTAAGATATTCCGGCCGTTAAATTGCTTTTTCGGGCCTTATTTTTGCAACTTTTGAATACACACTGCGGTATTGTGAGACGGGTTGACATTGGCTGTGTTTGAAGTGAACTAAACAAAATAAGAGCTCACATTTCAAGTGCGCTGTTATTTGACGAGACGGATTTTATGCACTGACCCGAAATCTAGTTATATACTATTGTTGATCGAAGCTTGCTAACCATTAAATTTTTGCCGCGATGGCGTTAATACGTAAGTACCGTTATTAATATCATAAATATGCACAAAGGGTGTTATTCATTTTCAGGGAGTTGTATTATCCTACATAGTACCTGTTATCGCAGAAATAAAAGTTATTTTAATTTAATACCTACCTAAATACAATATGTACAGACAGTAGTGTGCTTGTTCAAATAACTTTTTGAACTAAACTTAATAAACAAGAAGTTCACCTTCTTATTCTTTAAATTGGGTCAATAACAATATAAGAAAAATAAATTCATAATAAGTATAAATCCCTTATTTATTTAAAATTATCTCACTGCTTAATATTATTCTGAACGTTTCACCAGAAATAAAATTACAATTTATAGACACTATGTACAGTAATGGCTATATATATTTTAAATTATAAAGGAATTTCAATTCCTGATATGAGCATCTGTGAAGTAAAAAAACGCACAACATGGTTTATTAAAAAATCAGGGTAAATCACATTTGACTGTGAAAGAAAAAGCAATATTAGTTAAAAAGTTGTCACTTTGCCTATATTATTATAAAATTAGAATCAGTCGTTATGTAATTAACAGTGTTGTACTGCTAAAAGGAGTTTATTTATTAAATTTTAAAAAGAAAGGTTATTTTATTTCACACACCTTATCTTAAATCAATTACTATGCCAAAGTAAAATAATAGTTTTGATACGTGGTCAGATAATATCTGTCTGCTTAATGTGAGTTTTTAACGTTCTCGATAGCGTGAAAGTTAGCTCAAATTTGTATGCAGTTGAAACAGCGCCCCTAGCGACAAACGTAGACAAATGTTCCGACTCCATACAAATTTGAGTTAACTTTTATGCGATCGAGGACGTTAAAAAATTCCAACTCGATCGTGAATAAAGGTTTTTTTTCCTACCTAAGCTGAGAGCCTTGAGAGGCTACTTCAGCGTAACCTTAACTAGTAGGTGAACTCACGAGGCTCAAACCTGACGACGTTGCTACCACGAACCCTAGCAAGAGCCGGAATCTACCACCGATTCGGAAACGCAACCCACGCGAGAAGATCCGGCGAGAAATTCAGTGGGCTGTGTCTGAGGGTGAATAAATGGAAAGGCTATGACTTGACATTGACATGCTACGAATATGGGGGCTAAAGACTATTAATTTGGGTAGAAGATTCAACGAAATAGGACTAGTAGGTATAGGAAGTGGAAATTATATTATGAATGTAACAGTTGTAAACAGAGCGAAGTGTGGGAGGTTATGACGCTATTTTTAAAATCCTTCCCACTTGCAATTCTGGCGTCACCTTAATTGGCTCCTTTTCAGCACACTGTTGAATACATTGAGATGGTACTGCTGAATGCTACCCTCCGTAGTTACGAACGTTGAGCACTCGTGATAATACGTATTAAATAATGACTGAAAAGTGCCATCTACTCTAAGAGTTAATTGCAGATTGACTATCGACTTAACTAAGGCGGATGGTTCATAGATACAGGCTTTAGCAAACCGGGTCCTTAAAAGTAGGTGTCTTTGTAAGAGCTGCCTATTCAACTGAATCCATCCTTGGTGAAAATTTTAAGAAGTGTAAACTCTAACTTTGAAAGTGAAAAAGTAATTCCACTACAATATTTCACTTTATGGAGTTTTACAGTAAATTTGGCACACGAGTAGGTGCCGAAGTCTCTGATTATTTCCTAACCTAACGTAAATTTGATAGTGATAGTATGTTTTGATACATTAGGTCGTAATAAATGCTATGAATTTTCTTTCCAGACGAGGCTCTGACTTGCAACGTTTGCGACCGATCGTTCCCGACCCGACGTCAGCTCAGCGACCATCAACAGAAAAAGAGACATTTCGGGTGGGTACTTTTGTTACGTAATTATGGAATCCGTTATGAAATTAGCTCTTCCAGTAGTATTTCAACCAATTTTGCTTTTCGCTTTGTTTTTTTTTTTCCAAAGGCAATTACATTGACACATAAATGTCGTCTCAAACAGAACCAAATCATCCGTGCATGACAAAACGTAAAATTATCATCTATCATATATATATAAAAATGCATTGCTGTTCGTTAGTCTCGCTAAAACTCGAGAACGGCTGGACCGATTTGGCTAATTTTGGTCTTGAATTATTTGTGGAAGTCCAGAGAAGGTTTAAAAGGTAGGTAAATATGAAAATGCTCGGAATTAAATAAAAACAACAATTTTGTTTTTCCTTTGATGTGTCCCCCGTCGGACGGATTCCTTCTGTTTGTTTTAAGTTTATTTTATACAAAAGTTTAGGTCTTTTATTTCTCGATTGAGGTATTGCGAAGAGAATAGTATAGAATTCTGCCGGGTCAGCTAGTTTTAATATTTTTCAACCCGAAACAAACGCTATATTAATCAATAACGAATTAACACGGTGTTATTTGTGAGCAGTTGCAGCGCTTGCGACAGCCTGTTCCCATCGCTGATGGCGTTGGAGCACCACAAAGAGGAGTTCCAACACTGGAGCGACTCATCGTACTGCTCGCACTCTGATTCGGACGACAGCGACACGTGCCACGAGGACCGCCATCGGTTACTATAATGTCACCATCTCATTATTGCCGGGGGGAACAACACCAAGCTGGGCACGTTTGTCTAAATCTATCTTCAATTTTCGCTTAGATTGTGACACTCGCAATATTTTGTGAATTTAATTACATATTTTTATTTTATACGTCTCCGACAATAGGTAGATCAAGCCGAAACGTGGCTATAGTATCAATAATGTAGATTAACTACGTTAAAACCTAAAAAAATTGATCTAAGTTATAATAAGTAGTCTTAAAAGCTGATTTAATATTTGTTTGAACTGCTCGGTGACAGCCTTGAATTATACAACAAAAGTACAACTAGGCCTCTCATACGTGTCAGAAAAAGATAGGTAATAACAAATTCGCCCTTTTTTTTAACCTAAATTCTTATTTTCACAAGTTATTTCAAATAATAACTACGACCAAAAATGACAAACTTATTATGGCAAATGTTACTAAATTTCACCTTTATTGCAAAGACAAAAGAAGCAGTGTGATGTACCGGCGCCAGCGGAATGTTTATGTGTGTGTGTATTTCAATCAGCTGACATCGAGTAACCATTTTTAGTTTTATGTAAGTAAATTCGATTAGGGCGCCGCACCATCGTCTATTTAGATTCCCGAAAGCAATCCGAAGCTATTGCGATTTTTACATAAACTGTTACCATTATTTTTAATATTTCAATTCACTTGATTTACGGATATGTCTTTGTGAGATAAGTGATTCAGGTTACCATTTACGTAACCTCAACCTAAATACAAATTATTCACGTACGAAAGAGGGCTTAATGAAAGAAATATCACAGAGACAGTACATGATTGACGGAGAAAACTTATTCAGTGTGATGTGACTTCCTTTTCCTTATTCCTTCCTCAATCCGCTATCCACGCCATCTGTTGACACTACAATAAAAACTACGCGTGTGTGAAAATGGCGCGAAGTGTGTAAATAACAAAAACATGGTGTCGGTGTAAAAACGATAAAATTGTGATTTGTTGATCAATCAGCACATAACTCTCGCCAGTGGGAAAACAGAAAAGTGCATCAACGAATTACGGAGTGAGTCCTAAAACTTATCCTTTTCCCAGTCCCAAACATATCTAAATTCAAAACAGTGCGCACTGAGTTCGTACGACCAGTATTGATGAGTTTACGTTCAGGTGGCACTGACTGATGCTAAGGCGTCTTAGGAGTTCACAAGAATAGGTACCACCACCCTACTTCTGCCGTGAAGCAGTAATGCGTTTTGGTTGGAAAGGTAAGCCGTTGTACTATATAACCGACATAAGTCTCATGTCTTAAGGTGGCTGGGCGAGGCGCGGCATTTATATTGTAGATGTCTATGGGCTCCAGTAACCACTTGAGACCAGGTGGTCCGTGAGCTCGAAAAAAATACAGAAAATCCCATCTGTGAGCCATATTTTTACTACGAATACATATTTCGGATTTCATGTAAAACTTAATACAAAGTTTGGTAGATGAAAATTTTGTTTGTTATGTTTAAGTACTCACTTTTCTGACACTATTTACTTGTGATCTTGTTTTTTTCTTCAAATCGATTATTCTAGAAGAATCCTTTAAATAGTTTACAGCTTGACATATGCCTTATGAGATACCCTGTATAATACTGTTTAAAAAAATGATAAATATACGAGTAAATTTTTTGACCCCGATTTAATCGGTCGAGCGTTGTTATGGCTGACACTTTGTTATATATGTTTTAAGTATTTTATAAAATTCATCATAGTAATTAAATATTCAAGTCTTATAAGTTTCGATGCCATGTATTGAAATTTGAATTACATTATTGACATTACTTCAAGTTTCAAACTTGATTTGTTGTGGATAGTTATTGTAATTAGGGTTTAACATTAGGGTGTCACAATCTAGACCTAAATAAAACTCAATAATGTACTATTAAATATCAAACCTGAGAGGCTATTTTCTCTTTTTACTGTGAACGATATTTTATCACAAGAAAAAGCGATTATAAGAATTTATATTTATAATTCAGTGAAATTTCGGAATTGCATATCAAGATTGTATTGATAATTAATTATTTTCAAGTTATCAAATATTACATTAAAATGTAATTTACCCTTTCTTGTAGATGGTGAGTGTTCCCAACAACATGTCATATCACTTTTGTATATAAAACCCTAGTGATATATCCCGGCAATAATGCAAATCACTGTTAATGTTATGATGTAATGACTGATTCTTAGCTTGTAAACCTTGTAAATACTTTTGTAGCAGTAGAAAAGTGAGATGAATTGATTTTGCCAAATTGCAATTACAAGTCAGCACTACTGTCCAAAACAGTACCGCATGTTCAATATCTCTATATTATTATGAATAACTCATCTTATTTGAATACTGAATTATTTTTCAATAATTAACCTTTTTCAGTTTTTATATGGCAAATACCAAGGTAAATGAAAGTTTGGCAAAATTAATTTTTAGATTATAGGACTTGTCATAAAATTGATATTAAACACATGAGAATATTGTCCCAACACTTCCCAGAGTTATCTTCCAACTTTAGTATTATTAGATAGAACATAAGTTATTTTTGTAGGTGTATTGTTGGGCTCCACGTGTACCTCATTCTCTAGTAGTTGAACCTTGTGATAGACGTAAAATTTGTTTTATACACTAAAGTAAAATTAAAACTATTGTAAATACTTTCAGCCCAACTTTTATTTTTATAATTAATGATTATTATGTAACTATTATTCACAACGTACAATTTTGTGAAGGCGTCCGAACGAGAAGTACAGTACAGTCCGACAGCAGATAGACTACTTCTCGCACGGGCGCCCCTTTAAAAAGTTGGAACTAATTATTTGTACAAATAAAAATACGATTGAAAATATGTACAGAAATGTTTATTTTATAGGAAATCACATAACCACAGAGTACAGGCTACGACACACGTATGTACTGCGCTATGTCCGATCTCCCATAAATGTGCCGAAAGAACGCATTCGGCCGAAAGGCGCACAGTCCGGGGGAGCGACGTACACATGTTTAATTTTCATATTAATCGAATAATCAGGAATACAAATCACGAATCTCTTACAAAAGCATAATACGAGTAAGTCTAGTCGATGCACGAGGCCGCTCGGGGCGGCAGAGTCGGGACACGAGCCTCGCGGGCGGCGCCGGCGCGCCCCTACGCGGTGCCGTTCAGCAGCGCGCCCCCCGCCCCGCCCGCGCCCCGCCGCGCCGCCTCCCCGCCCCCCGCCCCGCCCCCGCTCACGCCGTTCTTCCACCCGCCTCCTGCAACATACACAACAGTGCACTCATATAAATACTTCTAACAGACTGTCCAAACCCTAAACGCGACAGTGTTAATACCAAGCCGCAGTGCGATCGATGGACATCATCTATGCCACACAATGAACATAAACAGCGATATTAAATCTGAAAATCTTACGTGATGTGAGAGTTATGGCACTAGGCATGCACAGATTATACATTACGGTATAACTAAAGCTTCGTGTAAAGGAGACGTCGTTTCCGAAAACGAAGAAAGTTCGCAGCAGCGCTGACGGGCCTATACAATATTCACAAATTTGACTGTCTGCGTGATCACTGCATTCTGTATGAACGATGCTCTGATCCTTCTTCGCTTTACTTTCACTATATATAAACTTGTTAAAAAATACTTGATTTATACATAGCTTCAACTAATTATTTGTCAATTTTATTAATAAAAGACGACAACGGCACAGTGTGCCTTTTCGATGTTTCAATGGCTGCGAATATTGCACTGGCACGATCAAAATGAATAAAATAAGTGTGCAAAATAAAATGAGGCTGAGACACATGTATCATGCAAAGTTAAATACGTGCAATTGAACTAGTATGAGTATTCAGTTGATGTTTGTGCGAGTGAGTAGAGTGAGTAGAGAGAGAGAGAGAGTGTAGAGTAGTGTACCTTGCCTCCTGCGGCGGCGCCTGTGGTCGCGGCGCTCGTCCGACGCGGCCGACTCTGTGCGCAACACACGGCTCAGTGCACGCGCCCGGGAGACCAACAGCCTTTTATTATTGCATATTTGCATATTCCGAAATACGTTAAGCCAATATGGAATTTATTAATTTCCATGTATTTTTTTAAATATATTAAAAGTTAAATTTTAAAGATTCAAATTAATTAAAATACAATATACAAAGAGCTGTTCATCTCGTTTACTAACTATGAGACTCAACTAGGGTGCAAAAGTACTATTCAAAATGCTAATAAAACGGAAAGTAAATACATAAAATGGCACATTTTCACTCGCACATTCAGTAATATTTTCAGATTTAGAGTCAAACAAAGCTATAAATATAGTTGACTAGCGACCCGCCCTCGCTTCGCTTCACTCTATCTATTAAAAAAAACCGCATCAAAATCCGTTGCGTAGTTTTAAAGATTTAAGCATACATAGGGATATATAGAGACTGAGAAAGCTACTTTGCTTTATACTATGTAGTGATATTGGATGTCGTTGAGCTTGCGTATTCGGTACCTCTGTCGGCCGAGGACACGTCCCGGCTGTCGAGCGCGGAGCTGTCGTCGTCGGTGGGTCGCCGCCGTTCGTCGCGCCGCCGCCCGCTCTGCAACATGACAACAGCACTGAGCCACACATCCAACACCAGTGACGTTCTAAGATGTCGTATCGGACACCATAGCCAGAAATTTGACTCAATTTCTGAATTTAAAAATACTTTGAAAGTTATTCGCAAAATATAACATGTAACAAAATATCAGACAAGGAATAGTTCATCATCAATCTATTAGAATTTGATAACATTTTTTAGTACACAATTTTTATAAGATTTTACTACAATTGCCTGAGTCAACCACCCGAAGTCTCAAACACATCAAAATAAATATAATAAGACTATCCGATCTTTCGTGCGTGCGCGAGTACGTACGTTGGGTCTGACGTCGGTGCCCCGCTGCGCGCGCGGCGGCGGCGCGGTGCGGCCGTTCTCGAGAGGCACGCGTCTGTCCTCACGATCTGATGATCTGGAATATATGCACATCACATGCTATTAGCGATTTATTCAAGATAATAAAATTCACTATCTAGCTAAGCAATTATTATAATAATTATTGATATATTCTATAAGAGTTTACCCATAAAAGAATTGACTTTTTACATTTAGCAATATTTTACATTTATGGTGCATACTAAACGCAGGGTATCAAATCAATGGCGACCTTTGGGATGGACGCTAGGAAAACCATTTTCTAAATCAGGTCGTTTCTAAAAATCCAGATTCTACATTTCAATAAGTTAATGTTTGAGTTTAAATTAAGTTTTGGTCTTAAACTGGATTCTATAATCAATAATTAAGCAGTGTTGAAAGAAAATAAATGAGAATAATAACGAGTCCTAGCTTCATTATAATAGCTTTAAATCAAAATCAAATAATAAAATTCATTTCAAGTTATTTCTCATTGATTATAATTCAAAGAATATCATATAGATCCCCCTTGATCCACATACCTAATAGACTGAAAAGTTTTAGCAGGTATTTTTCATGAGTTCATTCAACTTATTTAATTTATTTGGTGGTTGGTGTATATTGTTGAATATTGATGGGTTCAGAGTTGTTTCAATAAATTAAAATATTTTACACAATTAGGTAATTGAAAGAGCAGCCTAAAAGGGAACTAACAAATTTATATTAACAATAACATATTCAAAGATTTAATTAAGGTGATTAGCAGGTATATATCTTATACTAGTTTCTATTTGGCAATCCTAATTATAAAAAAAAAACCATGAGGTAACGTACGTGTACCTATTCCGGTGTCCCCCCCGACCTCGATGCCTGTTCCCGTCGCCGCGCTCTTCACCCACGCCACCTGCGTGCCACAATGTGTACGTACAACACAACATGCAGACATTAAACTAATATTATAAAGAGGAAAGATTTGTTTGTTTGTTTGTATTGAATAGGCTCCGAAATTACTGAACCGATTTAAAAAAATCTTTCACTGTTTGGAAGCTACACAATTCCCGAATGACATAGGCTTACAATCTTTTTTGAAAAAAATTAGGGTCCTTACTAAAACTCCAATATTGTAACACGAGGTGTAAAAAAAATTACTTAAAATATTCTTTACATCGCGTGCCCTGTGAAAACTATTGATGATAGAATAAAATAATGTACTACGATTTTGTAGAACACATTATTATTTACAAAAAGTATCACGATAGCATATGTCTAACTATTATAGGTTTGCCGCAATAAGTGTTCTTTTATTTAAAAAAATAAAACAACGTCAAATATTGTGGAAATTTTTGTTAAAGACCCGAGCGGGGCCGGAGCGGGTCGCTAGTAATAAATAAATAGAATTGAAACATATCGGTACCTGGCGGGGGTCGGCGGGGGCGGCGCGCGCGCGCGGGGGGCGGCGGGTGCGCGGCGGCGCTGCCCAGCACCACGCGCAGCTGCTGGTCGATCTCCTGCTTCTCCAGTCGGAGCTGCTCCACCTCCTGCAACGCAACAAACTACTCAATACTCGCAGCACAAGACCACTGTGGTAGATACGACTGAACAACGATACGGGCAAGCGCACGACGCACTATACATATAAGTGGTTGGTGAATTGAAATCCGGTCATCGTTTTCATCGAACCCGTCGCTTGCGACGAAGGACTCGACGAGTAAATTAAACCCCAGACACAGCCCGAGTTTTTCGCCGAATCTTCTCAGTGGGTCGCGTTTCCGATCCGGTGGTAGATTCTGCGGAGCACGGTTCTTGCTAGGGTTCGTGTTAGTAACGTCATCAGGTTTGAGCCCCGTGAGTTTACCTACTAGTTAAGGTTACGCTGATATGCCTCTCAAGGTTCTCAGATTAAGTAGGAAAAAAAAAGAAAAAAGAATTGAAATAATTCAGTAATATCATCGATTACACGGGAGCCCGGCTATGCATCAGTTAAGATTTAAAAAAACGCTCGTGTGTCTTGTCTTACCTTGAGATGCGCAATGTGATAATCGACAAGTACTTTAGCATTGGCGATGTTTTCTTTAGTACCGACAAATGTGAAAGGAACGACGCCGTCCTCGCGGGGGCCCACCGGCTGCGGCTCGTTGTCGCCTTCTACTTTCACCTATAAACAAATATTAATTTTTTTCAAAATTTAATCAAATATTAGAATTTAATCTACACGTAGGAGTAGCAAAGTCTGTATTCAATTATACATTGAATTATTAAAACAACCACTTAAACTATACCTAGCAAGTAAATAAAAATCTGTGCTTATTATATTATTAATTATTAAGGTATTTTTACTGATGGTAGAGCGTTTTGTGTGATATGTCTATGGGCTCAGGTAACACCGGGTAGGCTCGTGTGAGCTCGTCCACCAATGTAAGCAATAAAAATAAAAAAGGTAGTGAGGTAGTGTGAACGGTAGGTTACCCGGACGACGCCGCTCTTGTCCAGGATCTCCTGTATGAGCTTCCCGTTCTTGCCGATGACCTTCCCGACGAGCTGTCGCGGCACCCGCACCGACTCCTCCGCGTACTCCAGCACGGCGCGCGCCGCCCGCACCGCCTCCGCCGACTGCGCACACCCACTATGTTACTCATCAGCCTATCGGACTCTATTGTTTATCTCATTATATACAATACTGTTTTCACTGGTAGTAGGACCTCTTGTGAGTCCGCCACGGATAGGTACCACCACCCCGCCTATTTCTAGCACGAAGCAGTAATACGTTTCGATTTGAAGGGTGGGGCAGCCGCTGTAACTATACTGAGACCTTAGAGCTTATATCTCAAGATGTGTGGTGCATTTACGTTTTAGATGTCTATGGGCTCCAGTAACTACTTAACACCAGGTGGGCTGTGAGCTCGTCCACACAACTATGCAAATAAAAAAAAAAACAAAGTAAATGCTCATTAAGCTTTGTTCTGTCACTAAATATAAAAACCGAGAATAATTTATTCAAAATTGTATTTTACGTTAGTGTTGAAGGACGAAAATCTTTCTCGTAATAGCAACAAGCACAAGTCATTATCTAGATCACTGAATAAAAGCATCGACTCGTCGGACAATCGTCGGGATAATTAATGACTGACAATTATCTATTGTCACCTCAGGCTCCCACAGCAACAGGCTTTATTAAGTAGCAGAAAACAACAATATTTTTATAAACAAACAAACCAAACAATTTTGTAACTGATTTACCCCTTCTGATATATTATTATGTATTAAACAAATCTCTAAGAGGTTCCTGCTGCTATGGCTCCGACGTGCTCCCACACAGTACATTTACCTCTCCACATATTTTGAAAGTGCACGTGAGTTCCTCGAGCTCAATGTTGGAGACCCCGGGCAGCTTGCGAGCCTGCTGGATGTTGGCCCCGTGCGTGCCGATCGCCAGACCCATGAGCTCCTCGCGCACGCTGAACTCTTCAGTGTATCTGTGCATATTCCATTTTTATTAAATCATTGTTCATTGATTTTCTGCTATAAATAAATATTCATGTGGACATCCTCAAATTAATCAATTTAGTTTTACTACCACATATTATTACGATCATAGTTGAAGTGTGCAGTTAGTCAAACTTTCAATTTTTATATTATCCTGTAATTTTATATTTATTGTGTACCACAAACATACCGAGGAGATGTTAAAAACAAATACACCCAAGCTCGAAGATAGAAATATTTTAAAATAAAATTCAGAAGGAACTTGAGCGTTGGGCCTTTCGCATATTAATTACAATTATTAACCACTAAACCAAGAAATCAACCAAATGGTGGTCCTACATGACACACCAAGTGTAAAATTCTAACCAACAGAAATTATAAAATAATCATTACTTGTTCTTAAGCCAAGAAATTAAATTGAGAAAAGTTTCGACTGTAATCCTTTGGAATATTACATTAGAACTAATGAAAAAATATATAATTGACTTAGCAAATTTCTTAGAATTTATTTTGCACAAATTGTGCTTTGCAATTTAGTTAAAGTATATTAATTAATTCCAGAGAGATATTACAATTATATAGTTATATTTGAATATTCGAAGCGCCAGATGTCAAGGAAAATAAAACATCCTTACACAATATTTTGTTTAACTCAGTTTTGTTCAAAAATAATAATTTAAATATTGTTAATTAATTAATAAAGGTGAATGTGCCAACAGTCAGTAATCAAAGTGTTGTGGTTGTGTAGTCATTTTTTGCATTTGTGCGTACTTTGATCGTGTACTCATGTAGAGAATTAAGAGCAGAGTAAAAAATGTGGAGAGCCTAATACTACCGTCTCGGCACAATCTAAAGGGCCGGCGGTCCTGTGGGCTCCAGATAATATTAGCACCAGTTTTGTTCAACCATTAAACTTATATTGAGATAAGCCTGAGTCTATTGGTTCAACAAAACAGGACCACAAGTCAACATTTCTGACTTGAGATCCTTGTTCAATGCTGAATATTGAATGTATCAGAAATATAATTAACTTGTTCTGGTTCCTACTTCACAGTAGGTTATTTAAACTGTTTGAAAGTATAATAGTTTCTCACTTTTTAAACAAAAACGATTTTTTCGACAATAATAACGAGAGCATGTGTACAGTAGTGACTCACCCGCCCTGATTGTTTATTTTCGTAGATTCAAGCTGCCTCGCTGCCTCCTCTGTTTTCTTCAATAACATAAGTTTCTGGGTCAAATTTCTGAAAATTTAAATTGAATATTGTATTACTATTTAAAACAAACTCATTTGGTTATTTTCTTGCATGTAACCAAACCATGAATAAATACCCAATCCATGCTATATTAAATATTAGATTCAGAGAGTAGATATTCCCAGTCAGAATTTACGATGCATACAATCGTCTTATTTTCTTTTTGATCCTAGCATTAATCCTTTTGGTCCTAGTCACTTTATGTATGTATCTACTGATTTAAAATATTTTTTATAATTTATAACTTCCTTTTTATGGAGAGAGCAATACCTGTTTTTACAGATTAGTGTGTAACAGCATTCCATGACTATTTCAATCAAGAACATTGTGTAGCAGCTGTTACGGTCTACTTCAATTAGAAATTGTTAGATTTTGTTTTTGTAAGCGAAATTAATTTATCTGCTTATTCAAAACGTGGTAAATGCAATCAAAGATTTGAAACAATTCCCAATGAGCCGCCATCTTTGAGCAGTTGGATAAAATTCACATGACTTAGAGAAATGTGAAGAAAAAAGAAAGAAAAAGAAATATGCTACATCTATCAGCACATGCCTAGTTCCGAACCTGCGAACTATTGCGTGAAAAGTGAAAGGTATCGCTTCCACAACGCGCAATACATGTCCCACAATAAACTTTATTACTACTGCAATCAATTAAAACAAGACACGAGACACTAAATCTTAATATAAAATTTGGCAAGTACATGTATTTTTTTTTACAATTAGTTATGTGTCATATTCGGCTTCTAAGGATTGTACTAGTCGGTATTTAATTACGAACATTGCCAATGTGAGGTTACAAGCTAACCTATTCCTATTGTAGATTTAAAGGTGGCCATATAGTTCAAACACATGAATATCAAGTGAAGTAACTAACCAATGTATTGTCAATATTTCTCAGCATTATCCCTATCCTTCAATAAGTGGGAGGAGGCTATGCATGAGCCGGATAGATAATTTTGATGGTATATATGGGTATCGCGAATTACGTTTGGAGATGTTAATATTTAAGATATTACTTATACATTGCTGAATAATTCCGCAGCAATGTATAGGTCAATAACGTTTAAACTGTTAGTATTACCAGTAACTGCCCTGTTGACTGATATCATTTCTATTATCTTACAGCTTGGTTGCAAATCTGGATTTGCTAATGACCCTGAAGTATGATGGTTACTCCCCATCAAGTATCTCAGTGGTGCCGAATAAAAAAAAACTAACAATCAGGTAGTCAAATTTGTCTAGTACCCCAAAAGGCGTTTATACAAAGTCTACCAACCAGGCTAATATAATAATTTTGACAGGCGGGAGAAACATCTTTTTTATCTTACATGGACAAGTACAGTTGATTACAGTGGACGCCATATTATGGAGCGACTGCGGTCCATAGATTTTATAACACAAATATCACATGTAGTGATAATAATAGTATGCTTTTTCTTGCTTCCTATTTTACGTGACATTGTCGGAGCATGTGCTTTTATCGTGTGGCATGAGTTTTAAGACCGGCCACACTAATAAAGCTAGTAATGCTAGCATTTATAATTGAATATGCAATTTCGAAAAGGGCACATGTCGCATATTTTGTCAAATACGTTTTTTCATATACATGTAGTTTTGAGGCTTACCTACACCCATTTTATAATAATTCCAATAATTTTCAATTGCTAATTAACACTTAAATATGTCTCTAAAGTTAATATTTTAAAATTTACACTGCTTTAGAAAATAATCACTTTTTTTTCATTTCCTAAACATTTTACATTTTCAGAGATGTGCCCTTTTCGAAATAGCATATTCAACTGTAGTGTAGTGTAGTGTAGTGTAGTGTAGTGGGGGGTGGGGAGGTACCGGAAGTGCATCTCCTGCAGCATGGTGGCGCGGCGCTGCGAGGAGGCGCAGCGGGAGAGCACGGCGAGCACGGCGCGCTCGGGCACGTACCAGACGAGCGCGGCGCCGATCGCCTTCTGGAACTCCTTGTGCGCGTTCTCCACCTTCGCGCTGTGGATGTCGTGGAGGCTGCACACGTACACCATATAGTTACTGCCGACCCAACCTCAACATCAGCCATGCTTGTGTCCGACTAATTATTCACTCTTCCATTCAAAATCATTTTGATCTTACACATTATAGCACTCATGGTTAGGTAAAACTGAAAGTGTGAACCCCCAAAACAATTCCTCCCTGAAGTGTTCCATGCTATACAAGATATTAACAGAGCTAAAGTTTCTCCTTTACCTCTAGAAATGAAACCTACTATTCAAAATGATGTGAATATCTAAATGAAATTAAAATGGAAATACTACCTATGTAATTTTGACCCCAGTCCCATGGGAGCTGTACCCCAAGCAAGCATAAGTTTATAGTATATAGTTTAACAAAGCTGAGAGATTTTCGAAGTTTTTCTTTAAGTGACCACTGTATTGAATATAATAAATTCAGTTGGTTTATTTACTGATGGTTTTACTTATTAAAATACCGTTTGACTTGACCCTTTAATTAATTTTGAATATTTAACAATTTCAATTAAATTTTTTCACCAAACAATTATTTCCTGGTATATGGTGAACCAGACTGATATATTAAAAATACATCAAAATTTATAAACATTTAAATATATGACAATAAACCACTTAGACATAGCAAACATGTTTCTCATTTAAAAAAAAGGTTTGTCCAAACAGAATCAACCCACCAGCCAGCATTTAGCGATGTTAACTAAAAAGTTATTTTAAATTGTAATAGACAAAAAATTACAAGTAATTAATACCCTCTTTGCCTACACTGTTGAATTTAACACCTGAATCCCAAAAATATCATAAGCTCAGTTTTAGTCAACATATTGATCTTTATATTCTTACTTTTTTAAAGTTAGGTATATTTAAGTATTTATGAAGTTTTCAGACTGGTTATTATTGCAAATATTTTTCATTTTGGGTACTAAATTTTGTTTTCTTAAAATTTACACAAATATGTAATTAATTGAATCATTTATCTTTTGTAGTATGAATGCAGATTATGTCATACTCTAGGACTTGAAACCTTTACAGGAGGGTTGAATTTAATTTAAGACTCATTAGATTCATAAATAGTTCCCAGACAAAATACATTACACATATTCTTTAACTTTCTTATTGCTATGTGGGCAGATCAGCTTACAGCTAACTACTAACATTACTAGTATCAATGTATCCATTCTACCTTAACAACTCAAGTCTAAATAGCATTGATATAACAACTCCCCTACCTACAGATATGAATAATATGAATATGAACATTTCAAAACAGAGATAGACTGAATTCTTGTACCTACCTACTCTAGCTCACAATCTCCCTTCTACCAACAAATGGTACTTCTAATATTTTGTTTGTGGTCCCTAGTGAACAACTACTTATTTTTACTTTAGCAAAAGAGATGATATCAACAATGTTAGATGTGTAAGAGTTATATGTAATAATAATTACTCCATATGCTTTATTAGTAGTCTATGTTTGGCTAAAAATGTATATGAAATATTTATTACATTAGTAAATATTACAGAAGAGTATCTATCTTAAGATTTTCTATTATCCCATTAGCTACAAATTTGCGAGACCACTTGACAGCTGCATGGGACTTCAATAGCACTAGCATACATTATACTCACTTTTATAATAGCATGATGGAGACATTATTCCAACTGGGAAGTGATTGTTATTCAATATGATGCATGTTTTTTTTTTTTATAAATATTATAATTCAAATTATAACTCACTAGTCCTTCAGTTCATCAGGTACTGTTATTTCAAACTTGTGAAATGTGTTTTTGTCTATTGGGGTCTTCGGTAATTTTACCCTAAGACGATCTTTAGGCACAATTTCCGTGTAACAGTTATCCCATTCTAGATATTCTATCACAAGGAAATCACCCCTCATCATCTGCAAAAAATATTGACATTTTATTGGCATATATGATTCTTAATTCCACATTCTACATAAAACTATTATAGAAACAAAAACAAAAATGTAGTCTAGACATTATTATGCAATGTGATGAATTTAACATAGCAAGATTTGCTGTATTTGATATTGTATACAGGCAGTATTTCAGGATGAATACTTCAAAGGATTCTAAATTGAAGTAACCAAATGTTTAATTCGCTTTTAATAAATTAAATTAAATAAATTTTTAATGAAATTTGTTGAAGTTAATTTGTAACAAATCTTAGATATTTTTGAAATAAAAGCAAACAGACTAAGTTAAATTGGGACAAGTTTTCAAAATTTTTTAACAGAAAAGCAAAAAGGAGGGTAGAAATTAGGGTTTAAAATAGAAAATCATGTACAAGTAAACAAGATGAAGGGTAGTTTCGAAAACATTTGTTCTAGAATAAAATTCTATCATATTTTGATTTGTTTAATATATGTGTGTGTAATTCAATACCTTGATATTTGCAGTCCACCACCCACACGCTTCTTTCTCATTAGACCTAGCAAATACTTCCACCTCCTGGTTCTCAGTAAATTCTGTGTGTTTGCCAGTGTCTTTAGGTGGTAAGAAAACTTGAGAAAACGGAAACTTTGATTCTGGCTGCCAGCTAAAAATTTAATCAAACGTAGTCAATAAATTTACAAAAAATAAGACAGTTTATACACTAGTATATAAATTTACATACTAAATATAAATAAACTCACTCATTTTCAAAGGCTACTAGAACCTCGTTGTCGAGCACGTCGGTGACAATGGCCTAAAAATAAAGAATTTTTGGAACATTTTAAAGCCACAGCAACTTGGTGATGCGCTGCGGATGTGATAACTAGGTCATTTACGCGAAAATACGCTAATGTTAAATCACCACATGAGGAGCAGACATCCATTTACTGCACGATATTTTCTAAAAATACTACAAGCATAAAAATTATTACAACACATGGAAAAATCACGCCCTGTCAGACGGACATGGCGTCTATTCCAGCAGAGATCTTCCCGGAAAAATATTTTTGTAAGTATAAGACATATCACTGCCCTGGTCATCGGCTACGATTGATTGATCTGTAAACTAATTAGAGGGACGCGTGTTTACTTAAATTTTAGCGTACTTCACGGTTTACAAACCTTATAATAAGCACCATTTTCACCGTACACCTCGACCGACAAATCCTCCATTTTGGTTTGAAAGCGTATTTGGCGTTTTCCGAACGAGAACGAATATTCGCAGCGGTTGACTGACCAATCGCTTTAGAGAATTCAAGCATAGACTATGATAGATTTATTTTTAAAAGCACTGCCTTTCACTGTGAAATAAGTTTACAATATGAATCATTGATACGTTTTGAATTTGGAATTCCCCTGTGAAATCTAGTGTCTAATCTGTTACCAATTGACTTTTTAAACAAAGAAATACAGAGGACCATTTCATTTCTGAATTGATATTTCATAGAAATCAAATGTATAGCTTAACGCCACCATACAGTGTAAACTCAGCTAATTCCGAGTAAAACTATTGATTCCAATCATAAACAATTAAGTTCACCCCAGATTCTGCATTAAATTTTATTTACCAAGTTTCTTATTTGAATGTACTGCTTGTTCATTTAATTTTGCTACTTAATTAAAGTGTAAATTCAATAGTAGTGGTTAAAGATGATGTCGGAGTCCATAGACACCACGCACCCATATCTTAGTTTTGGTCGCTGTTCCAACATTCAAACTGGAACGCCGCACTACTATAGAGGAAAGATAGTGAGACTTGCTTAAATGAATAGAAGCTATGTAGCACCAAATATTTACATTTTATTTTTTGCGGTTTTGTTTTTTAAAACAAAGTTATATGTCCATCTCAGAATTTATTTGTAAAAAGTTTGGTTAATACGTAATTACTACAAAGCGTTGCACCTGCTTTTGGATAAGATGTTTAATATTTTATCATCACTCAATACAAATACATCAAGTTCGTTAGCCAGTAGGTCAGAGACACTTTGACAAGTAGCTCTAATGGGTTGCCGATCGCCTTCTGGGAAAATTTCCGGGAATTTTTTTTCTTCTGTTACCTGTGTCGAGCTAATCCGGGACATTTCCAGTTTTTTTTATTGCTTAGATTGGTGGACGAGCTCACAGCCCACCTGGTGTTAAGTGGCTACCGGACCCCATAGACGTCTGCAACGTAAATCCGCCACTCACCTTGAGATATAAGACCTAAGATCTCAGTATAGCTACAACGGCTACCTCACCCTTCAAACCGAAATGCATTACTGCTTCACAGCAGAAATAGACGGGATGGTGGTACCTAACCGTGTGAACTCACAGGAGGTCCTACCACCAATAATTACGCAAATTATAATTTTGCAGGTTTGATTTTTAATACACGATGTTAATCCTTCACCGTGGAAGTTAATCGTGAACATTTGTTAAGTACGTATTTCATTAGAAAGATTGGTGCCCGTTTGCGGTATTCGAACACCGGTGCATCGCTAGATACGAATACACCGGACGTCTTATCCTTTAGGCCACGACGACTTGCCTTAGATGCCTAATAATCAATGAACATACAAATGCTACGCTAGTAACACAGACATGAATTTAAGCTCGGTGATTTCCCCTTCGTGATATTCCATTCATTATTGTACCAATAATATAGAATATATGCACATGTTTATTTTGATTAGTAAATAAATATCAGATTCAGATAATCTTTTATAAAATCAAGCCAATAGGCATCACAAGATTAATGCCGCCATCCAACTTCATACATGGGATCGAATGATCAACTGCTGCCCTACATTACGGCTGCCCTACCTTTTAAGCCGGAACGCAAGATTACTTCGCCGCAGAAATAGCAACCAATCTTCTATCTATATTATATATATATATATATATATATATATATATATATAAATGAATTGCTGTTCGTTATTCTCGCTAAAACTCGAAAACGGCTGGACCGATCTGGCTAATTTTGGTCTTGAATTATTCGTAGAAGTCCAGAGAAGTTTTAAAAGGTGAATAAATATGAAAATGCTCGGAACTACATGAAAACAAAACAATTTTGTTTTTCCTTTGATGTGTCCCCCGTCGGGATGGATTGCTTTTCTTTTTTTAAGTTTATTTTATACAAAATTTTAGGTCTTTTATTGATCGGCTGAGACACTACGAAGTCTGCCGGGTCAGCTAGTTATTCATAAGATTTTATTGCACAATGTTATTTCTTTACTCTAAAGCTAGTTTGTTAGCCCGTCTGAAGTACAAATTTCCCTAGAAAACACGTTACTGCATGCGGAATTTGATCACCAGCACACCCATCGCTTGTAACGATGAAACCAGGCGTCTTATCATTTAAACCACGACGAATTGAATTGACAAATTAATCTTATAATGCAGTGTTTTCTAGATATTGCAAGGTCACTATTATGAAAGCATTTTAGAATCTAAGTTTTATTATTAATCAACTAAACTAAAATAAAACTCTCAATTAATATTCGTAATTTAAGCTTCTCTGTCCGTACACAGTAGGTATATTAAGTGTATAATCTATGTACTATACTCACGACATACTTCATACTACATAGACTACATACTGCAAACTATGAGAGTTCGACTGCGAAAATTCGAAACGTTATTTATTTGTCATCTTACAGCTTAGACCTACTTCAGTGGCTTACAGCCACAGCTGACAACTTGCGCACTGGAGAGGCAAAAAGAATTTAAGATTTATCTTTTTGCCTCATAGATCAAAGCCATGTTTCTTTTAAGCAAAGTGAAATAGAACAAAATTGAATTGATTAAAGATGAAATTAAATATGATAAAATGGATTTAAACGAGGTGAGTTAAGACGAAGTCGCAGGTGTTGAACTAAGTCAAATTGAGTAACTTCGTAGTAAAAAGATAGGAATTTACTGAAACCCTTGTGGAATTTTAGAATTTTTTTATATAATTGGAAATTTAATTTTAAATTATTATTCGCAAAGCAAAATAATTGTGGCAGTAACCAATAAACAACACAAAATATTTGACCGATGTTTGAATCTCGCGTACACACACTGAAGTAAATTACACATTTTCAAGATAAACTTGCGTTTAAACAAGTTTCGAACAACTTCATTCGGACGGTCGGTCTACCGAGCAATATCACCTGGTGGAAGATCTTCCTTTTGTCGTTAAAACATCTCCAAAAAATCAAACAAATTAATCTTTTGCGATCGTGTGAAGTCACAGCTGTTACTTTATATTACTAATATAGACAATATTGTTTAATGTCATTTAAGTTTATTTTATTCAATTTCATTACAAATCAAATTGCTTTCGTTTTATTTCATTTTTCATGAATTCTGCCAATTTTTCAAAAGTCTGGGCTGTATGGACTTTGTTAACTTTGCTACTTCAAAAGAGGAATTAAAAGTTGTAATGAAACAGCTGATTAAACGAGTTTTAATGTAAATACACGAATACGTCGCGTCGTCTACAAATTGCCATACTTTTTGATAAGATTGTATTTCACTCAGGTTGTCAAGAGGGCAAGAAGCAACGTCGATTTATAACTATAAAGATGAGTGACGGAAATGTTGTTCTTGTGACCGGAGGCTCCGGACTAGTTGGTCAAGCAATAAAGACTGTTATAGAGCGCGACAGACAGAAACGAAATAGTGATTATGATAGTGAGACGTGGATATTTAGCGGTTCCAAGGATGGCGACCTCCGGTACGTTATCAGTCTCTGATAAGTTTGTTTTGTGTAGAAAACGAATGTATATATAATTGTTTATTTAACAATTAGTTTGTGAACGGACTCGCAGTATTCCTTGCTATTATATGTTGCAACATAATTCATTAATTGGTTTAACACGAAAAAAAGAACATTTTAATACTAATCATACTCATTTTGGAATTCTTTCTTTCATGCTACGTAATCCCAACAATTGTTCATAACATTTACAGTATGTCTATAAGCTAACCATTCTGTCCCATAATATTTGTAATTTACAAAATGTTTTGCTATGTAGGTCTCTGATTATCATTATTAATGTAGAGTACCAGCATTTTTCACTCATGGTAGAATGTATTATAAGCATGCAATGCATTCGATTTCTATTCACTCTATTTTACTTGTTTGCACAGAAAAGTAGATATGTATTCTGGTTGGAAGCCTGCAAGAGCTTTAAAACACTAAAATTGGACTTTGACATTATGTTTTGGGATGGGCCTCTGGACTCTGATATGACGAACTTACAGATTTCACTTTAAAATTAATTTTGATCTTCTTGTAATTATAAATTAATTATTTGCAGAGATAAAACTCAAACAGAAGCTCTATTTGCTAAACACAAGCCTACCCATGTAATACATTTAGCGGCAATGGTCGGGGGACTGTTTCACAATATGGCACACAATTTGGATTTCTTTGTAAGTGTATAAAAATCTGTGTATGTATTTATGTGCACATACACAAAAAAGTATATTTGTCAAATGACCAACTTATAAATAAACATCTTTTTATTTTGAAACAATTTATTAAACGAGAATATTTTCATAATATTTAAATTTTGGACAACCTTTTCACACATTAATAATACACTCTGATCCATTATTCCATAGGGGCCAAATTGTGAAAAAAAAAATGGAACAATAAAAGTTATCAAATTAGTTCTTTCCAATGAGTTAAAGCTTTTGGCTTAAACACTTAATCTGTTATATTTTATGTAAAAAATATATAAAATTTAATGAATAGTTTACAGTGGATTAATATCACTTTTAGGGTCTGTTCAGGAGCCATAAAGTAAAACACATTTGTGTAAAGATTTTTTATTTATTTATAATGAACACAATAGCAGAATCATTTAAGATTGTCTATACATGCCCAAGACACATTTTATAGTTAACTTTCAATTTTATTTCATGATCTGAATGGACACAAGTTTTGACTATGCTTATAATACATAGAGATTTGTAAAATAGTAAAAGTGCATATATTTCTTTTTCAGAGAGAGAATATGTCAATAAATGATAATATTCTACAAGCGTGTCACAAATATAATGTAAAGAAGGTTGTATCTTGTCTCTCGACATGCATATTTCCTGATAAGACAACATATCCTATTGATGAGACTATGGTACACAATGGTCCACCTCATAGCTCGAATTTTGGATACAGCTATGCCAAAAGAATGATTGATGTTTTAAATCGGTAGGTGCCCACAATTGCTTATTATTAAATATTATGAGGTTGACATTTTGAGTGATACATAATTGTTATAAGGCATAAAGAAAGCTAGTTTACTTAAGACTGGGAGGGTCGAAAGCTTATCTGCTCACTTGAGAGCAGATAAGCACCATCGCACCGCCCGCCACCGGAGTAGAGTTCATCCATACTACCTGGAGCCATTGCGGTCATCCACAGTGCGTTTCCAGAGATCTTTTTTGCCACGTACCATTCGGCTATGGAATGAGCTCCCCTCCACGGTGTTTCCCGAGCGCTATGACATGTCCTTCTTCAAACGAGGCTTGTGGAGAGTATTAAGCGATAGGAAGCGGCTTGGCTCAGCCCCCAGCATTGCTGAAGTCCATGGGCAACGGTAACCACTCACCATCAGGTCGGCCGTATGCTCGTCTGCCTACAAGGGCGATAAAAAAAAATTTAATAGTCTAAACCAACAGTGTTATAGTATGTTATATGGTGATTGATTGATTCTTGTGAAATGTTGTATTTTATAATCTGTTACCCTTGGCCCTCTCGTGGTGAGTTGCTATCCAACATCACTATGTTGAGGATATAGCTTGGTATTTACCTATGGAAAACATTTGATGTACAACTTCTAAAAAGAAATATCTGCCGTTTTTAAACAGAGGAACCTACATATTTTGTATATCTTTAGAGAAAATAATATAAATGTATTGATCGATTTCAGAGGATACAATGAGTCTTATGGTTGTATGTTCACCTCAGTTATTCCTTGCAATGTGTTTGGGCCATATGACAACTTCAGTTTAGAATCCAGTCATGTAATACCGGCTCTTATAAGGAGGATGGATGATGCTATGCAAAAAGGTACAATGATTATTTATTTTGATTTTTTGTTATGTATCTTTATTATGCTTGTGGTCTTACGACTGACTTGGTAGCCAGCATCTAAGGCTAAATATTGATAAATCGGGACACAAAGTAGCATGAGGGTTGTTTTGGTGATTATATTACTAGATAGATTAGGTAGAAGGTGGTAAAAATATATTTTTTATTATCTATTGAGGAATGTAATAGTGACTTGTCACTATCGCCTAGGGGTATCAGTAACCAGTAATGCTAAGGACACAGCTAAGTTGTTGCTTGATGCAAACTTATACATATGTATGACTATAATCTAACATGGCATAATGAAGTATAGGATACCATACCAAAGTAAACGTCATCTACTCAATTAGATTTCTCAGTGCTGGTGGTCTTTTAAATTCTTTCAGCTGTAAAAAAAACTTACCTAAGCTGATAGCCTTGAGAGCCTATTTCAGCATAACCTTAACTAGTAAGTGAGCTCACGGGGCTCAAACCGGAGTGATGCTAACACTGGCCCTAGCAAGAGCAGTGCTTCTCAGAATCTATCACCGGATCGGAAACGCGACCCTCTGAGAAGATCCGACGAGAAACTCAGTGGGCTGTGTCTGTGGTCTAATTCGCCAAAATTCTAAGGATGGTGACCGGTGCTTGAGGTACCTAAAAGCACCGTTAATGGATCGGGAGGATCCGAAATGATTTTGGGTGACGTCGACATCTGCTGTTGTTTACTCATATTTTAAGGGTAGATAATTCTCATAGATTATTATTGATGTGGTGTCTATGGACTGAATATGAACTGAATAATGGACTGAATGTGAGACATGAGTTTCTCTGCTCTTCTGCTTAAGAAACGGAAAAAAGGAAATGATTCTTCCATTAAAATAATTTCAGGTGATCCCACGTTCACAGTGATGGGAAGCGGCAAACCACTGCGACAGTTTATTTATTCATTAGATCTCGCCGAGTTGTTCATTTGGGTCCTCAGGAACTACAACAGTATCGAACCTATTATATTATCAGGTAACATACATATTGTCAGAATTTGAATGTATCATATTATCAGGCATTTGTCATCTAATGTGCATTTAGCATTTTCTTAATTTTTTATTTAAATTAAAAAACCATTTCTAGGAATAGGTTGATTACAAGAAACCTATTTTGAATGAAAAATAATATTTAATTAAAAATATTAAATGACCACAATGAAGATTTGTTAAAAAACAATTAAAATCGCAACTTATTTTTCTTTTAAATCGAATATTCATAATTTTATTTAAAATCTCCATACAGCTGCAATTTTAAATGATTTTTTTTTTAATGTTGCTAGCGCGTACTGTGATTCCCTACTTATTTCTCCCGTGAACTATCTCATCTAGGGCTTCCTTCTTGGATTTCTCGAGTCGTGAGAATGATAAAAACTAGTTTTATAGTTTTATTAGTCACGTGCTCCAATTGGAATGTTGAAATAGCCATTATGATATAAAAATTAAGACAACATCATGTCACAAGGAGAGCGGAGACATTCACCTTGTCATGTTTATGGGCTTCGTAAACATTTACAGCCGGGTTTAACATAAGCTACTTCATTGATACAAGCAAAAAAAGTTCCTAGTGTTGTGATTTGCTTTAGCAACTACCTTTTTTTTATTGCTTATATGGGTGGACGAGCTCACAGCCCACCTGGTGTTAAGTGGTAACTGGAGTCCATAGACATCTACGACGTAAATTCGCCACCCACCTTGAGATATAAGTTCTAAGACCTGTGTACGAAGTGCGAGTTATTTAACGTTCTCGATAGTGTAAAAGTTAACTCAAATTTGTATGCAGTTAAAACAGCTACCCTAGCGGCATACGTAGGTTAACGTTCAAACTCGAGTTAACTTTTACGCTATCGAGAACGTTAAAAACTGGCTATAAGCACAAATCGTTCGAACTTTCGCTTCCCCAGAACTCGGTCATGTGTAATTTCATGTCATCGAGTGAGCTCGATAAGTCGATAAATTTAATGAAATTAACAAATTTCGATTATAAAATATAATAATACGTCATCGCGCGGATACCTAATCTTTTAACTGTGCAAGAAGTTGAAGTCAACTTAAATTGGTTAGGTATATTATTATACATATATTTTTAGAAACATTTAAAATCTTAATTATACCTATAATAATACTAGATGACCCGGCAGACTTCGTAATGCCTCAATCAATAAATAAAATACCTAAACTTTTATATAAAATAAACTTAAAACAAACAAAAGGAATCATCATTTTCATATTTATATACCTTTTAAACCTTCTCTGGACTTCCACAAATAATTCAAGACCGAAATTAGCCAAATCGGTCCAGCAGTTCTCGAGTTTTCGCGAAACTAACGAACAGCAATTCATTTTCATATATAGGTATAGGCTAGCTGTACCCGTCCGCTTCGCTGGGCATTTAAAATTAACATTATTATTTCTCACCCACAAAGATTCTTATCATTAACGCCACCGCAACTGGTGTAGGGCGTCCAACACTCATATAAATATTAGCCTATCCATTAAGTACATGTATCTTCTATATGGATACCAAGTTTCAAGTCAATCGGATGTACGGTTCAGTAGTTATAACGAAACATTCGTAAAAACCACTGTAGATTTATATATTGATATAGACGAGTATATATAGATTGAGAATTGGTATTTTAATTTTGCACTAAAATTACAGTTGACGAAAAAGACGAAGTAACGATAAGCAGAGTGGCGGAGATGATTAAGCGAGCCCACGGATACGGCGGAGATATTGTCTATGACACGACCAGAGCCGACGGCCAGTACAAGAAGACCGCGTCCAACACTAAACTCAGAACTTTGTATGAAGATTTCGAATTTACGCCATTCGATAAAGCCATAGACGAGACTGTCAAATGGTTTAAATTGAATAAAAATAGCGCTAGACTATAAAGATAATTGCCATATTTTTTTGTGTGCCTTTTTGCATGTTCTCCGATACGATAAAAGACCCACGCAATGTAAAGAAAAAAAAACAATCCAATTATTAAACAGCATTATAACTTGTAGTTTTAGTAAACTTAGAGCTTAGTAGTACCTACGTTATTTGATCATTGAAATTGTTTTATACGTGTGCAAACATTGAACACATGACAAAAAGATTACAAGAGGCCGCTTGTTTGAGGTTTGTTGAATTAACATAAGAATTTACAAGAAAACCAACGAGTATTCATGTTTAGTTTACAAAATTATTAAGCTATTGCATAGCTTTTATCGCGAGATTTGAGCACGGCGACCGAATCAAGGAATTCCGTAACGCAAATAAAACCTAACACCCCCCACTCCGCCTACCGTGTAGCTCGCTCACACATTCACACATTGCGCTTGTGTAGTGTTTGTGAATAAGCGCGCGGCGTGACGTCGCACTGCACGCGCATCATGAAAAGTCTGCACATCTCCCTCGCGCGGTCTAGCTTATGAGTGTGAAGGGGACAGTTAATGTTTTGCTTTTGTTAATGTTTATAAATATAGCGTGGCCTTATTTTATTATTGTATTAATATTAATTTTTTTTATTTATTTTTTTATTGCTTAGATGAGTGGACGAGCTCACAGCCCACCTGGTGTTAAGTGGTTATTGGAGCCCATAGACATCTACAACGTAAATGCGCCACCCATCTTGAGATATAAGTTCTAAGGGTCTCAATTATAGTTACAACGGCTGCCCCACCCTTCAAACCGAAACGCATTACTGCTTCACGGCAGAAATAGGCGGGGCGGTGGTACCTACCCGTGCGGACTCACAAGAGGTCCTACCACCATTATTATCTAATTATAATTGCATAAGTTGATAAAAAAGCTATGCAATAGCTTTACCGCGGCAGTCCCCGAGTGCCACGTGTTTTTTTTTTCATTATAGTTTTTGACGCAAAAAATTCCAAATTACAATTTACAATGATAATTATTTGCCTCGTCCTTAAAGGTAAAGTTAAAAGTGAAAGGTCCAGAAGGTCCACGGGCATGAATTATGCGCGATAATATTAAAACAATTTCAACTTTATTAATCTAATATATAAAATTCTCGTGTCACAGTTTTCGTTGCCATACTCCTCCGAAACGGCTTGACCGATTTTGATGAAATTTTTTGTGCTTATCCGGTATCTATGAGAATCGGCCAACATCTATTTTTCATCCCCCTAAATGTTAGGGGTAGTCCACCCCTAAATTTTTATTTTTATTTTTTAGACAAAATTTTTAATTTCTATTTTTTTATGATACAACATACAAAAATACATACAACCCTAAATTTTCACCCCTCTACGATCAACCCTTATTTTTTATTTGCTAATTAAAAACTAAATTTTTTTGCGAGAATTTTGTTTTTATTTTGTCATGACGTAGAATAAAAAAATTCATATTACTCTGAAATTTTCACCCCTCTACGATCAACCCCTATTTTTTATTTGTTAATTATAAACTTTAATTTTATGGCAAGATTTTCATTTTTATTTTGTAATGAATTACAATAAAAAATCTGATGTTACTCTCAATTTTACATCCCTCAATGATCAACCCCTATTTTTTATTTGTTAATTATAAACTTTAATTTTTTTGGCAAGTTTTTTATTTTGTTTTGTGATGACTTAAAATAAAATACATCATATTACTCTCAATTTTCACTCTTATACGATCAACCCCTATTTTTCCATCCCGATTAATATTTTTTTTATTCTATGCATAGATCCGCAATAAGGTTGCAAGATGGCAATCAAATATTATAATTGTAGTACGATAAATTTTTATTCAGAGTTTATAATTTCAAGTCCCTTTAATTATGATTTTTTTTAAATTGAATTTGATCTCCCGCGCTCGCCGGTCGACTACTGATCAACTATCAATCGATCAGCTATCCCCACCAGGTGTCACCACTGATCCAGCAAACATCACGTAGTAGGGATGGGGACGAAGCCGGTCTCCTGTCTTACTTACTCACTATACATCATAGATTATACACTTAATATATTTGAGAGCTATACAATACTATATATTTTTCAGCCATGTTTTGTTGGTTTTATTTGTGTATCAATAGTATGTTCAGTAGGTCTGAGAATCGGCTACTATCTATTTTTCATACCCCTAAGTGAAAAGGGTTGTCCACCCCAAACATTTATTTTTTATTTTAATTTTTTGGATATATTTTTTTGTTTATAATGAGGTATTATGTGGTTAAATGAGGTTTTTATTTCTACAGTAGAATTTCCCTAGAAATCTTATTTAAGGCAACACAACGTTTGCCGGGTCAGCTAGTTTCATATAAATTTTGCACCATTAAGTTAATAACCTATTATTATGTATCCTAAGCATTAAATATAACAAAACTCAATTTAATCTGCAAATTATTTATTATTAAAATAAACAATACGAATATGAAAATGTACAATAAAAAATATTACTAAAATGTTTTTATTTTTTTTATTGTTACTAAACAAGTATTATATAAATTATCTTCTAGGTTGAGTTCTGTGGCACATTACGTTTTCAGCGTAGGCTATTAAAATTTAAAAAAATAGCGCCAAACTGATTGTTTCAGGAGGAAAATTTCCTTGATGACACATAGAAAGAACTGTCTTCCGTACTATTAATGATGGAAACGTAAATTAGCCATAAAACTTAACCTTCACGATTCACACTCGGACTTTAAAAGATTAAGTTTGTCCGCATCCAGTTAATAGTATAACTCTTCATTTTTCGTTAGTTTAGTATAACCGTCCATCTTAACCCTTTGAGTGCGAGCCGTCGATAGATTGTTTCTCTATTAGTGACAGTTTGATTTAAAGGTATTAAGGTGATTAATGACCTGATTAAACCTGTACGGACATATCTTAGCGGGCACATGTATAACATTTTTAATAAGTTAAAAATAACCATTTCAAATTATTTTGCTGTGAATTTAGCATTGGTTCTATATATATTTTTAAGTGAAACTTTTTTACAAAGACTTTTATTCAAAAACCCTTTAGCAATTTCTGCAAAATATGTGAAAATAAGCTCAGCACTAAACGGGTTAAGTATTCCAAGGTAAAACGTAATAAATATTTAAAAAATGGGTAAAAACGTTTAGACACTCAAATTACAATACGTTTTAGCTTTACTTCGCTAAACGCAAGGTTGTTCGTGTCATTTTCTAAATTATAAGTATTGACATTGTCACTGACAGGGCTCGCAGTTTGTCAGAAAGCCAAGCCGTGTTCGTCGTAGGTGACGAAGATTTTTTCTATAGCAGTGACGTAGGCCGCTGTACGTAGATTTAAGCCTAGACTGTGGGATTTTGCAGCATGCATTACATTCTGCAAATGAATTAAAAAAAATGTATTAGTGACAATGATGTTCAGTTAATTATTCATTTTTAGGCTGATCATAGGGAACTGGTAGAATCCAATTTTTTCGAGATTGACAACTTGATTCATTACGATATCATTTTGTCTGTTTAGTGTTTCTTCAGGTTTAAATGTGTAATAACGGTGGTTTATTAACTGTTTAATATTAGTGAAAGTACACAAATGTGGGAAAATTAAACAAAGCCGCTGGACGTAACTTCCTCGCGGGGATCCTTCAAAAAGTCCACTGAAAAATTCTCAGTAAATAGCCAACATTTTACTGAGATTATATGTCATCCCATATCATCACATTTTCACAAAAATAAGAATATAAAATAAAATAAGACATGACCTAAAGGGCTTAGTTACCAGGTCATAAAATCCCTTAAAAACATGTAGGTAGTCACAAATTATTATGACATGACGCGTTACCATTTTAATACCAACCAGGTATTAAAATGGTAGATTTATATTTCATTTATCATGAATATGTCCGCGCATTGTGAGTACACACGAGTAGGTAGCACCATCCTGGCTATTTGAATCGCGAAGCAATCCTGCGATCCAGGTTGAAAGAAAAAACGGTCGTTACACAATAGAATTGAAATTTCGATTTCTTGCATTCGTACCGGCGACGTCTCATTGTGTTCATGTGTTTCGTTTCGGCAACGACTTCAAATTAAATGAACCGTGAACTCTTTGCACTTGCAATACGATGAAATAGCTTATGTATGTTAACGAAGAGATTAACAGTTGCGCCTTTTTTTTTTCTACCTCAGCTGATAGCCTTGAGAGGCTATATCAACGGAACCTTAATTAGTAGGTGAGCTCACGGGGCTCAAACCTGATGACGTTGCTAACACGAACCTTAGCAAGAGTCGTGCTTCGCAGAATCTACCACCGGATCGGAAACGCGATCCACTGAGAAGATCCGGCGATAAAATTAAGTGGGCTGTGTCTGAGGGTTTACTCGTCGAGCCCTTCGTCGCAAGCGACAGGTTCGACGAGAACGATGACCGGTGCTTGAGGTACCTAAAAGCACCGTTAGTGGATCGGGAGGATCCGAAATGACGTGTTTGGGGCGACGTCGACTGCTTTCCATACAGTTGCGCTATTAACATTGTAATATACTTAATCTATATTTTTCACCCAACGAATGACAGTTGACGTACTTTACAAGCGTTGGTCATGGAGTACTCGAGCCCAGAGTTGACAATGTGCTCCTCGTTGGCGCCGGACATCAGCGACTTGAACAGCGGCGTGGGTCCCATTTTCGCGTCGATATTGGCCGCCTTTAACGACTTTTCAACGGAATCTAGAGTTTAAATTTTTAAACTTCAATTAAATGTTCTTTTGTTTTAAATATTTCATTAATAAAGTTTATCAAAAATACCAATGCTAAAATGCATTTGTGTAGAGGAAGCGAGCAGTAAGTATTATGTTTTTTTATAATTTTTTATTGCCTAGTAGGCAGACGAGCATAGGGTCCACCTCATGGTGAGTGGTTATCGTGGCCCATAGACTTCAGCAATGCCAGGAGCCGAGCCGCTGCCTATGTTTTATACCGTTATGTGTATTATAAACTTTAGTTACAACCTTAAGTTTGCTGTAAGCTCGGTTCGTAACTAAAAAAAATTGTAATTATTATTTTCAAAGCTAAGATTCTCCTAATGTCATTTAAATATTAAATAGCGCTCTGTATACATAAATACCCAATAAGACAAATCAGACATGTCATAATTACCGCATAGTGCCGACGAAAGATACATAATTATAACGGCGATGGAAGAACATTACCCTCACTCTTTGTCGAGCAACTAAGGAGTGATAGAAAAGTAGATGTCACCTAGTAATGCAGTATTAGAGTCTCGCCAGAACTTGATACTCAATTTCCCGAAGCTGACGTGGTTGATATTCTTCAAGAATTCAAAGTACGAGACGGTGACTCCGCCCGCGTTCGCGAGCAAGTCCGGGATGACCAGGACTTTCTTGTCGCGGAGTATCACGTCCGCGGCCGGAGTCGTTGGACCGTTCGCGCCTTCGCCGATAATCTTTAATCAAACCAATAGGATCACGTATCACTAAACTTATGACAACAGACAAAAGGTGGGTGGCGCATTTATGTTATAGATGTCTATGGGCTCCGGTAACCACTTAACACCAGGTGGGCTGTGAGCTCGTCCAACCATCTAAGCAATAAATAAAAAACTTTTTAATTATTAACCCAATATAAGTGTAGGCAGACGAGCATACGGCCCACTTGATGGTGAGTGGTTACCGTCGCCCATGGACTTCAGCAATGCCAGGGGCAGAGCCAAGCCGCTGCCTACCGTTTAATACTCTCCACAAGCCTCGTTTGAAGAAGGACATGTCATAGCGCTCGGGAAACACCGTGGAGGGGAGCTCATTCCATAGCCGGATGGTACGTGGCAAAAAAGATCTCTGGAAACGCATTTATAAGGTGATTTAGTCCGATGAGTATTATAGTTTTATAGTGTAAGTTGATGTATAAAATAATATGTGCGTATTGCGTTGCTTTCGTTTTTCATCTATTTTAAATTTCTAAATTTCTCTTCTCTGTTCACTTTCTACTTATATGTGATTTTGATTATGGAAATATATTTGGTTATTGCTTTAGCTATATATTTTAAAATATTATATGTTTGTATTGTACTGTTTGTTTCCCAAATAAATAAATAAATATAGAAAAGTTACTCTTCCATCATAAATAGGATCTTGTCTCAGCATAATATTGTTTTCGTGCACCTAAATAGCACGATACGGCAATATAAAATAAGACCTGAGTTACATCGGAAACTTAAAAAACAAACTCATAGACATAGATAGCTTTCCTTCGTTTGCCGCTAGGGGCGTTGTTCCAACTCCATACAAATTTCGTCTTTTCGCATTAAAAGTGTGCAATTTCCAAAAATATTCGAAATTGAGTTAATATGCGGAATCATTTGGTATCACCAGTATTTTTCTCATAAATACTGTCAAAAGAGCGTAGTTTAGTTTTAGTTTTTTTTTTAGTTCTATATTTTGACTACTATTAACAAAATTAATACATAATTTTATCTTACTTTAAAAGACAAATAATGTATCTGGTAAAAAAAAATGTTGCAAAGATGATTAATATTAAAAATATCACATGTTAAACCTTTAAAACACTCTCCTGTAAAATTAGTAAGTTTTGAGATTATACAGTTTTAATGCGAGAAGACGACTTGAGATAACTTTTACGCGATCTAGAAATTAAAAACTCGCATTAAGCACAGAGACTATGCAGGTACAGATCCTAATCTGTTTTTGAAATAAAGAACTAGCCCCTTATACCTTACAGTTCAGTTTGGCTGCGACCTGTTGTGAGAGAGTCTTCTCCATCGCCGCGACGACGAGGATGTCGCAGTTTTCGTATAACAAATCCGGGCCCACATCTTTCGCGTTCGGGTAGCCTTTAGCGCTTCCCTTGTTCTTCTGTTTGTACTGCAGTAACTCCTGTTCCCCAAATTAGTATATTCAATCGAGTTTTATCTTTTGTTAAAACTATGGTCTAACTAACTATGGGCCCACAGAGCGCAATCTATTACAAGACTACCTTTTGCCCGCGGCTTCAGCCGCGTGGAATAGTTACTTTGGCAAAACGCAAAATTCTACCCGCGACTTCATTTATGTAGAAAGTGAAAATATTTTTGAATAATAGAATGATAAGGTTATTTGAGGTACCAAAATCACGCTTTTTAACCGACTCCAAAAGAGGAGGTTATTAATTCGACTACCATTTTTTATCTATGTATGTTCACCGATTTCTCGAGAACGCTTGAACCGATTCTGATAATTCTTTTTGTTTTTTTTTTTCGTTCGAAATTTAACCTTCAAATCGGTCTAGTAGTTCCTGAGATTAGCGCGTTCAACTAAATAAACAAACAAACTCTTCAGCTTTATAATATTAGTATATTTATACGAACAAACTTGGTCTGTGAATGCAATTCTCATTAGTCATTAGGATAAATTTAATGAGCTCAAACTTAATTAATATCAAGGGCTTCTTTACTTTTACTAATTCGTCAGAAGTGCACACAATTGAAAGAATAACGATTACAAGGAAAGAGTACAAAAATTAGGCACAGTCTTGCGAATCGTCCTTCTAATTTATGTGTATTGTCTATGCGTCCTGTGTATTATGTATGCGTCCTGTGTATTATCTATGCGTTCTGTCTTTGCTGTTTGGCGGCAGAAACCATTAATGGAATATTATCAATAACCGGCTAACCACAGTGTTTAACCCTTCAGGTTTGTGGAGGTTGCAATCAGCTTCTAAAACCCCGATGACTTTGACTCCGTGCTGCTGAAGATAAATGGCAGCAAAACTGCCCACGTTGCCGTAACCTTGAATAATAGCTGTTTTGCCCTGAGAAAACATTATTTTTTTGATTTTTATTATATATTTATTTCATGGGTGGGTGGGCGAGCTCACAGTCCACCTGTTAAGTGGTTCCCGGAGCTCATAGACATCTATAACGTAAATGGCGCCACCCACCTTAAAATATGAGTCTTAGTGATAGTCCACGACCAACAACGCCGGTCTCCGCGGTACGGCGGCCCTACCAGGCCGTCCGAGCGATGCCACTGGTGTTCCGGGATACCCCGCTGGGCCAGAACCAGCCTGCCGGGTCGGAACGCGATACACCGCCGACCGGGAGAACGAAACCCTAGCTTATGTTAATACAAAACTGTCCACTTTGATATATAAATTTTAGTTTTATAATCATAACAGCGTGTTTATTTGTACAGAGATACCTGGAGCAATTTATGAGAATCATATTTCTATCGCATCATTCTACAGCAAAGCACGGCCCTGGTGTTGTGATAAGGACAATAAAACAATTAGCCGTGCTATCAGATAAAAGACGAGCGAATTCGATGGAAGCGGGTCGCTCCTGTCCCGAACGTTATAACTCCCATACCTCGAAGCCGGGCTTCAAGCCGATCTGTTTCATCCAATGCTCGTTGTGAATAAAGTTACTGATGGTCATGAAGACTCCTCGGCCCGTGGCCTCCACCCGACCGTGGATGCCGCCCCCGTTGATGGGCTTGCCGGTGACGCACGCCGCAGCATTTATATCTTTGTAGCCTGTTTATTTACGGTTAATCATTAATAACATTTTTTTTGTTATTTTCATAATACATTCTATAGGAACTAATTTTAATTGTAAATGTGGTTGTAATAATAACAAAACAATGGCTATAATACTTACTAGATACCTCCGTCTACCTTTCCTACCTATATGGTAAGCTGTTTAATTCGCATAAGACGGTTTTCGTTTGATTCCTCCTAAGGTAGGTCGACGTCGCCCAAAACACGTCATCTCGGATCCTCCCGATCCACTAACGGTGCTTTTAGGTACCCCAAGCATCGGTAATCGTTCTCGTCGAACCCGTCGCTTGCGAAAAGGACTCCGCGAGTAAATTAACCCACAGACACAGCCCACTGAGTTTCTCGCCGGATCTTCTCAGTGGGTCGCGTTTCAGATCCGGTGGTAGATTCTGCGAAGTACTGCTCTTGCTAGGGCCAGTGTTCGCAACATCGTCAGGTTTGAGCCCCGTGAGCTCACTTACTAGCCCGGCGACGGTGATGTGGTCTCTCTAGACCATCAGCTTAGTTAGGAAAAAAAACCTAAGGTAGACTGGAAGAGATCGGTCTTAGAATGAAGTCTGCTAATCGATTTTAAATAAAATGAGATAAAGTGCTATAATTCGTAATCAGACAAAAATATAATCGGCATGACCCGATTTTGTTTGTTTTATTTGCAGGTATACGTCGTTATGTAATTTTACCAGAGAATATCAACACCACAAACAGTCAAAAAAGTATTACGTTCTGATACTTAAATTCCTGTTATATCTATATATTAATACAGAAATCAATTTTTATTGGCTACATTGATAGATGATATAAGTTATTTGATGGCCGATGAATGATAATTGTAAGGAGCGCGTGGGCTTTATAGCTCTTGCTGGGTGAAGCGATGGTGACAGTTTACCAAGCGTCTTGATGTAGGTGTCCACGATCCAGGACATCTCCCGACCGGACGTGTTCACGTCGGGTGCTGGAACGTCGATGCCGGCACCTGCCATTGTTTTATTCATCAATAAAATGTATATTCCACGTTAAGAGTAGGTTAACTAGTGTAATTGTTTAATGTATATTGTGAGATATTGTTTAATGTATCTTGGGGCAGCCGTTGTAACTATACGGCGGGCGGTGCGATGGTAAATTACTGGTGGTAGGACCTCTTGTGAGTCCGCACGGGTAGGTACCACCGCCCCGCCTATTTCTGCCGTGAAGCAGTAATGCGTTTCGGTTTGAAGGGTGGGGCAGCCGTTGTAACTATACTGAGACCTTAGAACTTATATCTCAAGGTGTGTGGCGCATTTACATTGTAGATGTGTATGGGTTCCAGTAACCACTTAACACCAGGTGGGCTGTGAGCTCGTCCACACACCTAGGAAATAAAAAATAAAAAAAACTGACTCTTCACGGCATTTACCTAAAGTCTGTTATTGGTCAGCGGGTCGATCGTCTTTGATCGTATTGCACCGCGCTGTGTAAGCATTAAATACGTACATAGTACTGTCTACTTACCGATATAATTCTTCTTCGCAAGTTCTAAAGTATATCTCCTCGTTATTCTCTGCAGTTCAGCGATAGTATATTTTTTTGGATTTATCGCTACACCTATATTCATATTTTAAAGATTACATTAAAGAATCAACGAATCGTATTGTTTATTGGCGTACAAAATACTGGTTCTACTAGTAGTAAGGCGTCTTGTGAGCCCAGACAGGTATGTACCACCACCCTGCCTATATCTGTCGCGAAGCAGTAATGCGTTTCGGTTTGTAGGGTGGCGCAACGGTTATACAACAAAGAGAGTGCACTTTTCTCTAGCGTGGCTGTGAGCTGGATCAAACTAACTTCATCTGGTTTCAAGCGGTTATCAAGACGTTAGAATCAGTCAGGTCAGACACAAGGCAACGTCCCAATAGCAACCCTAATGGTTATTTCTATTGTATTTCCCAATCGCCTTCAGCGGCGGTGGCGGGATAAAGCCAGAGGTGAGACGGGAGATGCTAATAAGCCGAGTGACGACACTTAGATTTTGATATGAATGGGCTCTGATACGACTTTACAGCGGATGAGCCGTTAGCTCATTCATTCATCTACTTACCCTATATGAAACCTGACAAGTAAAATATTTCTGACCTCCTTTAGAGCCCCCAAACGGTATGTTAGAACAAGCACATTTGTATGTCATAAGAGCCGCAAGCGCTTTCACTTCCTCCAAATTCACTTGGTCAGAGAATCTAATGCCTTGAAAAAAAGAATTTGATTATGTGATCCTCGTCAAACACAACGAGATTGATATTTAGAGTATAGGTCTGCTACAAATAAATAAAATTGTGCTTTTTAAATTACCGATGCCGAGAATTTAAATATTTCATCATCAAAACTGATTCAGATATGTTTTATTATTATTGTTGTGGTATTACCTCCTTTACAAGGTAACCGATGGACGCTGTGCTGGGATCTGTAGCCGTGGATCATTTCGTATTCTCCGTTCTTCCTTTGCAAGGGGAATTCGAATTGTAACGAGCTATTGCAAGAGCCCATTACCTAGAGACAAATTATTTGGTCAGTTCAAGAGATCTGCGTCAGAATAGAGTCCCTTGTTTAAAGTCACACTTGGGTCAAAACTGCCGTGTAGTCACTAGATACACTAGATTTTATTGTCGATAATCCCATTCTCACGGATCGTTTGGAACATCTGGGTCTGCGGAGGGACTTCGGTTCCCTCTGTATTTTGTACCGTATGTTCCATGGGGAGTGCTTTGAGGAATTGTTCGAGATGATACCGGCATCTCGTTTTTACCATCGCACCGCCCGCCACCGGAGTAGAGTTCATCCATACTACCTGGAGCCACTGCGGTCATCCACAGTGCGTTTCCAGAGATCTTTTTTGCCACGTACCATCCGGCTATGGAATGAGCTCCCCTCCATGGTGTTTCCCGAGTGCTATGACATGTCATTCTTCAAACGAGGCTTGTGGACAGTATTAAGCGGTAGGCAGCGGCTAGGCTCTGCCCCTGGCATTGCTGAAGTCCATGGGCGACGGTAACCACTCACCATCAGGTGGGCCGTATGCTCGTCTGCCTACATGGGCAATAAAAAAAATACATTCATAGAGTTGTAAAGTACTCTTCGCCCGGATGGAGTAGGCCAATAAAACGCTGATGTTCGTAATTCCCATTGTATATTGTTCAAGCAGGAATTTATATTTTTTGTTCAGAGTAGTAACTACTCTAGCTAAGGTATTAAAATACCTTAAAATGATAGACGAACCCAGGTATCATTCGGTGTACCTGGAGATCGCAGACATCATATCGCGATAGTTGCTAGTGATCTTGAGAAACAATACGTATGTCCTAATAGTATTTTAAGTTATCTTACCCTTCAGACCGAAACCCATGTATGCTTTTTGGCAAAAATAAATAACATTGTGGCTTAGAACCAAAATAATTCTTAACAGAAACTAATCTGTGAAAACTGTTATCTGAAATGAATATTTCAGGCGAAGGTATCGCTGTCTGGGACCCGGGTTAGTGTTCAGTCAGGCAAGTAGCCTATAAAAACTGTCAAATAGGCGACATGAGCTCAGCTTCTCGCTGTAGCAGTGTTATGGGCATTACATTTGACATTTTGGTTAGACTTTTACATTGTTTCGTGTTATGAACAAAAATGCAACCTTCAAAATTCCGGAGACCCGCTGCTTCCTCTTCTTATCCGACAGATGAGTGTATTTTTTCAAATACTCCTCGAGGCTTGGTTCGCAAACTTTAACCGCGTTGTGATAGAAGTACTCGACCATCCTGTAAAAACTGGGATCCGGGTCGTCGACTATGGCTCTCAAATGCTCCGGTATTTCGTAACGCCTAACACTTAACCGGACAGGGTTAAACAATTTGTTTAATAAGTTAATTTTGTGTGTTTTAACGAACATCTTTCACCGAATATCTGTTAGATTTGACAACACTAATGTCTGACTGAAGGCAGTTTGTTGACGTTTTTTCTGTTTGTAGTTTCTTTGAAAATAGTTTTTCTGCATCGTTGTATGCATGTAGGCAACCACACGCACTCAGTAAAGCAAAGTCAATTGAAAAGTCTAGGCTCACGAGTACTCATTGAAACTACCTCGAGATTTAAATTAGACTAAAAACTAGAAATTGTTTTTCTTTAAGTTTTTTCTTGTAAGGAAGGTCGCCAAGGTCGGAGATCATTAAGGCGTCTTATGTTTTTACTGTCACAGTAAGCAGACGAATATACGACCCACGTGACGAATGGTCACTGTCGTGATGTAGAATTACAAGACACATCATAAGACTATAAAAAAGATTTCTTGAGAATAATTTGTATCATGGCGGGCCATGTTGCAGACTTGTAAAGGTAGGGACTGTTTATTTCCACCGAGGCTAACATTCGCGGCGCTTTGAACTATACGAAAACTGTTTTATCGAGGGCATCAAGACAAACAGTTCAAACATTGTGGAGACGGGCAAATTAGCTTGCAGGACCCATCATATTTTAAGTGGTTACTACAGTGCGCGTTGGCGAACTTTAAGGTGGCAGGGCATGAGCTCAAGGTAACATTACATTTTCAACAAAATTTAATAAATATATCAGTACTTAAAATCAAAGCTTGATGTACCTACCTAACTAAACATTTTATTTTAATTATAAATACGCACTACCCACCTATGCTTGAGAAAATTAAATTTACTAGATATTTAACTAAAACGCACAACAATTTTAGTGATACTGTTGGGTAAGCACAAAACATTCTGGTCATTTTCCTCGCCGAACCTTGAGACTAAGGGCTCGACGAGTAAATTAACCCATAGACAAAGCCCACTGAGTTTCTCGCCGGATCTTCTCAGTGGGTCGCGTTTCCGATCCGGTGGTAGATTCTGCGAAGCACTGCTCTTCCTAGGGCCAGTGTTAGCAACACTCCCAGTTTGAGCCCCGTGAGCTCACCTACATGTTAAGGTGAAGCTGAAATAGTCGCTCAAGGCTATCAGCATAGGTAGGGGAAAAAATTGTGAACAAGTGTCAAATATCTCATTAGATCAGTACCCGGGGGCGGTACATACCAACGCACACGGTGACATATCGGTTAAATCACGTAAAGGAGGGTAGATATTGAAGTTGCATAGGCTGCATTAATTACTTAACATCAGGTGCGACATAAGCTCATCTGCGTGTTGTAGTTCTATGAAGATACAAAATAAATAAAAGTCAGAAGATTATCAACAATCAACAGATTTATTTAATTCATTTATCGAGCCTACATATAGGGTTGTTGTAGACCATGCGCAGGTCGACCTTGGGCCCGACCAAGTCCCGGATGTTGTTGAGCCCGTACTTGATCATGGTGGGCCGCTCGAGGGACAGGCCCCACGCTATCACGTTCACGTCTTCAGGCAGGCCCATGGGCAGCAGCATCTCAGGTCTGAACACCCCCGAATTACCAATCTCTATCCATTTGGCGAGACCTGAATGATATTGATGCACCTTTGTAACTTCTTTCAGCGTGCTTCGTGCGAGTTTTTTAACGTTCTCGATAGCGTAAAAGTTAGCTCGTATTCGTATGGAATGGAATCGTTTGCCTACGTTTGCCGCTAGGGGCGCTATTCCAATTGTATACAAAATTGGCTTAACTTTTACGCTATCGAGAACGTTAAGAAACTCGCACTAAGCACACAGTTTACGTGCCCCGGGATTGACTCCCGGCCGTTCAACGTGTGTTCAGCTCGTGAGTGCCGCACGGGAACCGATATGTTACAGCTCGGTCGGAAGCTGACTGGTGACCGTCAACACAGCAGAAGGGCATTTTTTTGTTGCTTAGATGGATGGGCGAGCTTAAGACCCCAAATGTACGTCAACGGCGTAAATGCAGCCACCCACCTTGAGACATGACCACCTTGAGTTCTAAGGTCTCAGTTTTTACAGTACAACGGTTGCTCCACCCTTCAAACCGAAACGCATTGCTGCTTCACGGCAGAAACAGGTGGGGTGGTGGTACCTACCCGTGCGGACTCATATAACGCCCTAACACCAATAATTACGCAAATTATATTTTTTGTGGTTTTGTTTTAATTACACGATTTTATTCATTCACCGTGGAAGTCATTCGTGAATATTTGTTAAGTACGTATTTGATTAGAAAAATTGGTACCCGCCTGCGGGACTCGAAGACCGGTGCATCGCTACATACGAATGCACTGGACGTCTTAACCTTTAGGCCACGACGCGTGATTACCAAACAATGCATTCAGCAGATATAGTACTATTTGGGAACGTGACCAAGAGCACGCGAGGCGCTCACCGGTGTGGTATGCGAATATTTCCATGCTGGGTTCGGTGTAGGGGTTGTACGCCGGCTTGAACTGCAGCTGGTCGAAGCCGAGCCTCTTGAAGAAGGCGTCCAGCACGGTGATGAGGTCGGCGAGCCCGAGCCCGCGGTCCGCGACCACGCCCTCCACCTGGTGGAACTCCGCCAGGTGGGTGGCGTCCAGGGTCTCGTTGCGGAACACCTATATTGTGAATTAACCAAATTCAAATTGTTCACAACGAGACTAGTCTTAATTTTATTTACCAAGATTTCCACTTCAGTCACGCTCGTTTGCTTTATGCAATTTATATATTAACGTCTGTACTCGCCACCAGCAACCTCAATACATGTCACCCGTATCTTGAGCATCCGTGAACACAATTATTATTACGTACTTAACACATTGAACGTCATATGAAAAATCGAGTATTTCCGAGGCCACGGTGCTCACCGGTGAGCCTTATCTTACTGAACGGTTCGGGCCATGAGGGTCACTCGTGAGCCGCGCGAGAGTTCCAAAGTAAACGCTGCCTATAAGCCACAGATCGCAGCTATCAAACAAAACGCGTATGGACGTGAGCCGCGCTGTCCCTTAGCCAAGCCGAACGCCTTGGCTTTCAAATCTAATAGAAAGTCCTAGTTTTCATAAAAATTATAGCCTTTTAAAATTTCTTAAAAACTAGACGGTAAAAGCCGTTAATTTTTATCTTCCGTGTAAATTACCGCATTTTATAAATGTTACACATAGAATCCTAGTTTGGGCCCGGATGACTGTGCGTGATATATTCTCAATTGTTATTAAAAAAAAAAATTGTTTTGTTTTCCTGAAACTGAACCATGAATGGCAACTTCGTGTAGCTAAAAGTTTGAGAGTAACTGTTTTTACGAATCTAATTGACGCGAGAGACCATTGAAATTGAAGATTTATAGATTAGCCATTCCCACATACCTATAGACGTAATCTATTCGAGCACGTCCAATGTGTTATGCGATTTTGAACTTTACGTTAAGTGGACGTAAGTCTTTTCAAATGGCTGTTAAACAGCTGCTTAAGAAAACTCCCCCACGAAATTCCAGACACGCTGTTTGTGTTCTTTTTTTATTTGATTTTTATTGCTTAGATGGGTGGACGAGCTCACAGCCCACCTGGTGTTAAGTGGTTACTGGAGCCCATAGACATCTACAACGTAAATGCGCTTCCCATCTTGAGATATAAGTTATCAAGTATAGTTACAACGGCTGCCCCACTCTTCAAACCGAAACGCTGCTTCACAGCCGAAATAGACAGAGTGGTGGTACCTACCCGTCCTACCACCAGTGAAAAAGAGCAACCTGTGCAACAGAGCGAAGCACTCACCTTATCGATGCTGAAGTACTTCTGCGGAGTGAACTCTGTCTGCTGCGCCAACCGGTACAGCATCCTGGCGCTGACCGCCGTCGTGTGCGTCCGCAGCAGGTTCTTCTGCGCCTCCTCTATCTTCCAATCGTATCTGTAACCCTGGTCATATTATGCTGCATGTGAAAATATTCAAACGCACATTTTATACTTGTCCAGATATACATAATTATTTGTTGAGTTCCGTGTGGTTTAAATTTTATCCTACAACTAGCTGTATCCGTCTGCTTCGTTGGACATTTAAAATTAACGTTATTATTTCTCACCCCCACAAATATTCTCATCATTAACGCCCCCGCAACTGGTATAGGGAGTCAACACTCATATAAATATTAGCCTATCCATTAAGTTCATGTATTTTCTACATGGATACCAAGTTTCAAGTCAATCGGATGCATAGTTCAGTAGTTATAACGGAACATCCGTAAAAACCACTGTAGATTTATATATTAGTATAGAATAGAATGTATAGAAGCAATGAAGCTTTAAATTTTATTGGCTTAGTAGGCAGACGATCATACAACCCACCCAACGCAGAGTAGTCACCGGCGTCCGGCGATATCCGCAATGTTTGGATTCAGTCAACTACAGACTACCGCAAGCTCAAATTATATCGCGTTATAGAAATTGTGTAACGAATAGGTTTCCATGGTGCAGCGGTTTTCACTGGTAGGACCTCTTGTGAGTCCGCACGGGTAGGTACCACCACCCGGTTATTTCCGCCGTGAAGTAGTAATGCGTTTCAGTTCGAAGGATGGGTTAGCTGTTGTAACTATACTGAGACCTTAGAATTTATATCTCGAGGTGGGTGGCGCATTTACGTTGTAGATATCTATGGGCGCCAGTAACCACTTAACACCAGGTGGGCTGTGAGCTTGTCCATCCATCTAAGCAATAAAAAAAAACTTCTTCAATAAATTCAATACTGGCACAAGATGAGTAAAAGCTGATTCTTTTAATGAATAGTTAATTTAGTTTTTTGTGTTCGTCGTTTACCAGATGCCTGCAGAAGTTCAGTCCGGTTATATGAACGTTGAGGAAGTTCCAACATACTTATTAAGTGACAACGTAATTACCATATCATATTAAAAGTACTGGTCGGACCTGACAGACGTTTTCGTGTAAAAATGTTTTAAATCCGAAAATTACGACCTTTTTTTTAATAATTAAATTCCGATGGTGTATAAACATTATTTAGAAATTAAAAAGTGTGTCTGTGGCCTGTTGGGTAATTTACCTATTGGGTAAGTGGCCTATTGGGTAAGTGGCCTATTGGGTAAGTGGCCTATTGGGTAAGTGGCCTATTGGGTAAGTGGCCTATTAGGTAAGTGGCCTATTGGGTAAGTGGCCTATTGGGTAAGTGGCCTATTGGGTAAGTGGCCCATTGCAAATGCAAGCACGTTCTCATTGTTCTAAGTAAAACGTAGTTTCGAAGTATCGATGCTCGAAGGCGTCATGGCCTAGAGGATAAGACTCATATCGAGCAACGCGACAGTGCCGGGGTTCGAATCCCGCAGGCAGGTGCCAATTTTTTAGGAAATACGTACTTTGCTCCAGTTCATGAACGACTTCTATGGTGAACAAGTAACATCATGTAATAAAAATATATAATTACTAAATAATTGATACATAAACCTCGAGTGTAAATGTGTAAGGCAGCACGTAAAGGGTGATGTATGTGAGTCCGCTAATCACTTAACACCAGGTGCCTGCAGGTGCAGAGGTTACTAAGACCATTCTAGATCATGATCGACATTAATATCTAAGCATTTTAATTTCATTCAACTGCGAATATTTCAATCAGTAATTAACAAACCTGGGAGCCATATCCACCTTTACTGTGCACCTTCTTCACCCTCTCCAGGTATTCCATGGGGAACTCCGTGGTGGCAGCAGGCGAGGACATAAAGAATGTGTCGTGAGCATCCCTGGCTGGGTGCTGTTGAGGTTGGAACAGTGCGTCAAAGTTCCAGAATGAACTCTCAATGTATTTATTAGTTGGCATCTCCGTGAAACCCATTTCCAAGAATATCTCACGGAATTCCGACCTTACTTTCAAGAGGGGATGGAGGTGACCACATTCTGGTGGTTGGCCTGTGAAATCATATAATTTAATGATTTATTATGGATCACTACTCAGAACGATTTCAACTCATAATTGGATTGTAGGCAATGTGGTATTAACTAAGATTTTAACAATTAATTAAATTCAATACATTTTGGAGCAATTATTTGAATTTTGGGACAGAGTGAGGGCGCTTTATCTACTCTCATCGCTTGCTTGCTTTTAGGCACTCAGTCACCATTTGATTGTAACGTAACCCATAACCACAACCCACTAAGTTTTTGGATCTCCAAGTGGGTTGTGATTCTGATCATGAGACAAAAAAAAGAGTCTGAGTGACAAGAAATATTCTGCTCCATCCAGTAAGGAAGTTGTCAACATATTGATAGACAAGCTTTAACATTGATACTAACATAGCTAGTAGTGTATGCTCTGATAGTATGAAATTACAGTACTTATATCTTCCTTAGTGCTTCATATGATTTCAATGTTTTTCTGGTTGATTAATTTTTGAAAAAATTACATCTATGAAAGATGATACAAGATATAGTCAATACGTAGATTTAGAGTAGTGATGCAGTAATTGAGAACTTTATTCTTATTATTATTTACCTGAAAAAGTTCTTAGAAAAAACTTACCTAAAGCATCAAAATTATAAGGTTTGAATTCTAGAGTCTTCCACGAGCCACTCAACAACATGTCACTTGTTAAATCTGTTTCCAATTTCTTTATTGTTATTGCAAATTGGGGGCCCTTTGACAGCAAGAAGCTTTTAATAGTCACCTCTTGTAGAAGTTTCCTTTTTTTATAGTCATTTCTTATATTTTCTGGTAAATTATCTATACCTTTTCTAATTTCACTAAGGTTCTCCTGTACAATGTCTGTAATTGAATCAACTTTACGTTTGACGAGGGGCGGTCCACTTGATTTATCTATGTATATCCATCCAGATGACATGGCTTTACTGAATCCCACCTTTGCATTTGGTACCATCTAGAAGATAAACTTTCAGGTAACTTCAGCAACTACTTTTACACGTTTTACAAGTTTTATTAATAATTTTTATTTATGTAGTTGTTAAGAGAAACAAGAGAAGAAAAAAAATTTTGTACGCATTTCATATTTCAAAAAATAATTAATGCACAAGGATCAATATAACATTATACATAATATTTTAATTTCTTAATAATCTAATGATATCATATTACTTGTTTACATTGTATCTATGTTATGACCAATTTATAATTTTTTTAAGTTTAAAGAAAAATCCTATTTTTTTGTGTTCTATTCATTATTCTAGATGTAATCTAAGATAATGTTCAAGTTCAAAATGTTTACCTTCATAACTTCAGATTGCGGTACACCACTGTCTGGTATACTTCTGTATAATACGGCTTCGTGGCTACCATTATTAGCAACGAGTTCTCCTTCTTCAGTTAACTCCCATTTTGTAATCTTAACAGCTTCCGAAATAACCATTTCAAGAGCTTCCAAACTTTTTACAGCACCAACTATTTTTTGATGTTCTTCGTTGAATTCTTCACATAATTTTAAAGTGTCAGCTTTGTCGCTGTTTTCTAGATACTTTAAAATTCTTTCGTTCAATTCCATTCTGAGTTCTTCGCCCGAATATTTTAGCTTTTTAGGTTATAAAATCTCAAAACTGAGCTCCAGCTTTCACTGTTCCATTTCTATCAGCAGCAACGAGTAACGAAACGTCAAAACAACGTCAAAATCACAAAAAGCATCGAGTCTTCTTCATTCTCACTAAAATTTTGTATTAGCTATCACTTTCATTCGTACACTTTTTCTATATGGCAATTGGCTATTTGTAATACTACTACTATTTCTATTTGTTGTTGATTTTACAAAAATCTTCAATCAGTTAAGTTATTCAATTCAAGTTAGTGGATTTTTGGAAAAAAGTCTAAAAGCCACGTCTACTAACGTTTTTTTCATTTTCCACTTGTCTACTTTCATATTACCTACCTACTTCCCACCTCGGATTCCCGCGAAATAGTTTTCTTTCATATCTCAAGTAAGCAGTACTACCTACCTACCCCTTATCCATATAGTTTATGCCATATTATGTCTATAGATATTGTCGATATGGACAGGCAAAATAATCTTAGTTCAAATGAATTTTATTGGCGGCCGTAGAGTTTGCTTATGGACCAACATACTGTCTAATTCCGCAGTAAAGTGGTCAAGTGCAGTATTTTTCAAGGCTTATGTAGATGCTATATTATCTAATTGTAATTTAGGCGTTACGTCTCTTGGGTGAAAGCATTCATGTTGTGATGTTGTACTAAGTTTGGTTGTTACCTAAGTCCTGCAACACAATATTTTTGAATCAGTTGGGAGGCAATGCGAGGTCATATCTTAATCTTTTATTAGTTTGTACTTTGTGGCTCAACTCAGTGAGCATGCTTCACAAAAGTGTGTTTGCTATCTATGATTCTAAATATAAGTATACCATAGACTATACAATACACTATAACCACTTTAATGCACACATTCATTGGTACCAACATACATATTCAATTTATGATTTTTGTAAATTTTGTACTATTCAAGACTCAAGTGCAATTTGCGTTGCGTGTCTACAACGGCAACAATTGACAATTTTGAACAGTGATTTTCAGGTTGGAGATAAGGTATGTCTGGTATGTGTAAGCAACGTGTGGTAATTTAAAATATCATAATTTCTTATCTTGAACAAATATGTAATTGGTCGAAATTTAAATAGTGCGGCTTTTGTGTTAAATTTGTGAAATAAGTTATAAATTGATAATTTGTGTTTTCGTGTCTATCGAATGTTTTAGAATCACAAGGAAGAAGGTAGAATTACTTGGTTGCTAGATTGGTTGATACATAATGCATTTTTAAATTAATTGAATGATTGTTACATTAATTTCATTAATTGAATTTTTATGATTTCATAAATAATGTTAAAAAGACTTCAAGCAATTTAGTACTTTATAGTAGGGAATATTACGATAACATGTAAATAAAGTATTTATTGTAAACTAAATTATCACGGTGCTTAAAATGCTATCACACAAAATATTATATCAAGTAATGGGAATCTAAAAACTAAGGTTTGTTACGGTATCAGTCGACGCTGAAATTTTAGTGTCCCAATTTATACAAACCGTGTTTCTCAATCAGGGTTCGCCGATGTTCATTTCAACATGTAAGGAATTAATGTATTCAATGTTGGATATTTTTACTACCAAAAAAGTTTTTTACGAATCATGGTTTCGATTCGTTTATTTTTCAATATCACCAGCGGAATGGTATCCAAAGTGGTCGTACAATGAGTCAAAAAAAAATACACTACCGGACACATAATTCTATCGGCCCACCTATTGTTTTAAGTTTTGACGGTTCCAAGCTAAAATAAATGTTAGGATCAATAAGTTTATATGCAGTGTTGAAGCTAATTTATTGTTCAACGCCCTTTTTTTTCGGGCTGGGGCCAAACCTACGAGGACCCCGCATCTAGGGGGGGCGCTGGGTATGTGGGACTGGTCCGCGACTGCGAGACCGCGGGCCCAAGGATGTTTTCAGGGCCCTACCCACTTATCGACTCCCCTGTACTCTTCGCCCAAACGTCCGTTCCCCTCCGAGGTCAGAACCCGGATGAGGTAAAGGGGTTACCGCGGTCAACACTACAACAAGATGGCGGAGCTCACCCCAAGGACGCCCGGCCGACGGAGCCTTCGAGGCGAATCGAAGGCTCTGACACGTCGGCCGTCTCGGTACGGCAGCTCGCCAAGCCACCCATACAGTGCCGCTGGTGTCCCGGAATACCCCGCTGGACCAAGACTAGCCTGCCGGGTTGGGACGTGATAAAACGCCAACCGGCGTTCCTTGGCGGCGCGCTAGAGTGCTGGTAGCGCGCCGCGCGGCCTCTAATCCGTCAGGTCGCCCCGTGAGCTTCACCGGGGGGTTATTGATTTGAAGTCGTCGTGGCCTAAGGGAAAATACGTCCGGTGCATTCGTATCTAGCGATGCACCAGTGTTCGAATCCCAGGCGGGTACCAATTTTTCTAATGAAATACGTACTTAACAAATGTTCACGATTTACTTTTACGGTGAAGGAATAACATCGTGTAATAAAAATCAAACCCAGAAAAATTATAATTTGCGTAATTACTGGTGGTAGGACCGCTTGTGAGTCTGCGCGGGTAGGTACCACCACCCTGTCTATTTCTGCCGTGAAGCAGCAATGCGTTTCGGTTTGAAGGGCGGGGCAGCCGTTGTAACTATACTGAGATCTTAGAACTATATCTCAAGGTGGGTGGCGCATTTACGTTGTAGATGTATATGGGCTCCAGTAATCACTTAACACCAGGTGGGCTGTGAGATCGTCCACCCATCTAAGCAATAAAAAAATGCGTTGTTCCAATTCTATATAAATTTGAGTTAACTTTTACACGATCGAGAAAACTTTTTTTTTATTGCTGCTGCCCACCTGGTGTTAAGTGGCACTGGAGCCCATAGACATCTACAACGTAAATACGCCACCCACTTTGAGATATAAGTTCTAAGGTCTCAAGTATAGTTACGACGGCTGCCCCACCCTTCAAACCGAAACGTATTACTGCTTCACGGCAGCAATAGGCAGGGTCGTGGTACCTACCCGCGCGGACTCACAAGAGGTCCTATCACCAGTACTCACAAGAGGTCCTACCACCATAACGTTAAAAAACTCGCACTAAGCACACAGGTGGTTACCCCAAAAGTATTGTAATAAACCTGTTCTTTGAGACGGGACAGCACGAATGTTTCAGACTATAGAATCCACAATTTAAGCAATAAAAAAAAATAAAAAACACTTTCTGCCTTTTTAATATATGCTACGACTAGTAATACGGAAGTACAAATTCCAAAGTAAAAAAAAATGCGTGTTTCCTTTTTATAAATTTCATCATAAATTCGAAATTAAATATTAACGTAACGAAACCATTGTAGATGTAAATTAAATGATATTAAGTTGCATTTAAATTGGAGGTCAAATGAAAAATGTTTAAATATTCACTAAAAGTATGTACGCGGAAAATGACTGTTACTGCTCATAACAATTATTTAATGGGTAACATAACTATTTCTGTTGCCGCCTCATGGGATGTTTAAATGGACTATGAGTGACTCGGCAAAATCGAGGAGGTTAGTGTTAGGCTTAGGAGCACTAGTTTTAGGTGCTCTATTTCAGGTGCACTAGTTTCAGGTGCATTAGTGTCAGGTGCACTAGTTTCATGGACACTAATGTCATGTGTTCTAGTGTAATATGCAATAATGTCAGGAGAGCTAGTGTCAGGTGCACTAGTGTGTTGTCGGTTCGACGTTTGTTAGATTAAAAAGCTAAGCTTTTTTTTTACTCATCGGCTATGTTAAGTATTAATTGTGCGGTTGAAAATTTAACTGCGTTGGCATGTCTATGCATCTTTCTTTGTTGACGTCCAGCGACTGATCATTCTACATCGGGCGGGCCGTACGCTCGTCTGCCTTTTGTGGAAATAAAAGGGAAAGCTAACGTTTCATTCACTGTTTACTTGGTAACGATTAAATAAATTAATTGATTCGCCTAAACTATTTCTACGATACCATCGTGTTCTTGGCAGAATCAGTTTTTCATAGGATCTCGTTATCTGTGATTTTCAGTTGATTTTCTTACGACCTACCTGGAACTACTTGAATACCGCAACACAAGGCTGAAATCGACAGTATGGTGATTCCTTTTCGTTGTTTCACGAAACCCCACACCAACCAAAAAGCGACTGAAGATCAGAGGGGCGAGCACGAATGACTATCGAAAGAGTATTCGTATCGCTATCGAGAAAAAATGCATAGGATTTAAACAGCGCCCCTACCGTCCGGTAAAAGAATCAATTTCTTCTTCGTCGCTGCCTCATTACTGAGGGTCGTGACCACCTTGGTCTAGTTTTTGCATCAGCTTCCTCCAATGTTGCCTGCATTCGGCCTGCTTGATGGCGCCCGGGACGCTGGTGCCCGGGACGCTGTCAAAATCAATTTCAGCAGCACGAATGGATTTACTTACTTTCGTTTCGCAACCGAATTGTCAGGTTCTCGAAACACCAAACTTATACTCGTAATCGAGAGCACGAAAATTGGTTAGACATACGGTAACGTAAATCTCGAAGACTGGCTATCGAGTACCTCCTCCTCCTCGAGTCGTGTTCCTCATGTCTGAGGGTCGTGACCACCATCATCCATGAGCTTCAATCTTAGGATCTTTTTCCACTTTCCCCTGTCCACGGCGTCATGCAGCGCGCTGTACACTGTACTGTCCAAAGCGGTGCGGATCTGATCGGACCAACGAGTATGGCTGCGGCCTCTAGATCTGTTGCCTTCAACTTTCCCTGTGATCATAAGTTTTTCGAGTACCTACTACCATCTAATGCAAGGATGAGCAAAACGCGACCGGCCAAGCATTTCTAAAATTGACTTTTTTTATCGACTTTCTCGTTTCTGATTGTTTTTTCTGTTCTTTTCTCGTTTGTTTTTATCTTGCTTTAAAAGTATATAAAATCTTTACTTTTTTAAATTTTATATATTTTTTAAATCTAATATGTATTTATTATAAATAAAGTTTCGTAAATTATTAATAAGTGTTGATATATGAGCGGCCCGCCAAAAAAAATTAAATTTAAATTGGCCCATTGATTAAAAAGGTTGCTCACCCCCGGTCTAATCCTGATCTAATGTAATGATCCATTTTCGTATCGAGGACTCGATACATTTACCTACATTACGAATTAGATAGATTTTCGTGCTTGACGTGCTGTAGCTTAGACGCTATGGTGGACGAGCCACATTGCTTATTGGGTCGCGTACCCAAATATCCATCCTACAGCCCCTACTCAAAAAACAAATATATTCGAAGCCCACGGTCTAGCATATTGGAGCTTCGAAGCAGTCACATATCCTCTCGGCACATCGAACTTTCCATAAAGAAAACATTTACTAACTCATACATAAATTACATAAAGAAGCTGATACCTGTTTTACCTTCTTATCGAGATGCGCAACTGACGCAGACGAGGCACACTTGCACATATGTACATAATGTACCTACATAATACAGAATGCATGTATTCTAAAACTACACTACGACTGCTCGTGTGGTTTAAGTTCTACTATTTCTCTGTATATTCTAGTATCAATGTGTGAAGTATTTTGAGTGTGGATTAATTGGTACGCTATGTTGTGTTCACTGGAAAGTAGCCATTATATAAGGCGCAATCAATGTAACACATTGCCGGTCACCGTCCTCGTCGAACCCGTCGCTTGCGACGAAGGGCTCGACGAGCGAACTAACCCATAAACACAGCCCACTGAGTTTCTCGCCGGATCTTCTCAGTGGGTCGCGTTTCCGATCCGGTGGTAGATTCTGCGAAGCACTGCTCTTGCTAGGGTCAGTGTTAGCGATTTTCCGGTTGAGCCCCGCGAGCTCACCTACAAACGTTAGGGTGAAGCTGAAATAGCCTCTCACGGCTATCAGCATAGGTAGGAAAAAAAAACATTATTAATCGTATTGTTGTAGGAAGCGACACAGACTTGGCGACGTAAGAAAAGTTTAAAGATTTATGTTTTAATGAGAATACAAAAATATTTTGAAGGAGATAGTGATTCTTTATGTTAACGATAGCTTCCCAGTGATGTCGATATTTTAATACGATAATGACATAGTTAAACAGCGTTAAAACTTTTAATAGAACAAATAAAACAGTTTTGGAGTGGCCCGCAAATAGTTCATCTCTTAATCGGGGGCAAACGCTTAAAAACTTGTTGGGTAAAAGAAATTAAGTAAATACTTTACGACAAAGCACACACATTCTTCTGGTCATATTTTAATACCCGCAAAAACGAACTCAACTATTCGTCAAATGAATGTTTACTCGCAGTCAAAAATGATATTATGAATAGGAGCGTTTTTATATTGCATTTGTAGATGCTAGGAAATATGTTTTTTTTTTTGAAATACACATATTAATATATATTTTTTTATTGCCCTTGTAGGCAGACGAGCATACGGCCTACCTGATGGTGAGTGGTTACCGTCGCCCATGGACTTCAGCAACGCCAGGGGCAGAGCCAAGCCACTGCCTACCGTTAATAGAATCAATGCCACGTTGACGTTGTTGCAAAGTCGTAGTAGTTTAAAATAAGCTAATTAAAAATTCTATCAGAAGTAAATAATTATAAATAAGATTCCTAAATACAAATGTAATTAATTAAATAATACTCCGAGTAAATAATCTGTTATATAACGTCCGAAAAATAGTTGCGGTTTTGTTAAAGTTTCTAAAGGATTTGTTTCCTGCTTCAAATTAGTTGTCCTCCGCAGTCCATTGTCCTCTGTGACCTTATTCAGTAGAATATTTCAACAGCAGCATACGTATAAGAACAACTGGAACCAGATGTAGAGTTATTAAATATTAGACAGGTACAGAAATAGGTGCCGTGAAAACAAACATAAAACTGTTACGCCGGTAAGAGTAACGCCATCTGTCGCCGAATATCTGAACGAGAAGTATAACGCTATCTGTTGTGGAAAACACATTTAATGGTGGAAAACACGTCGAAGCTACTTGAGTTGCCCAGAATGTTCTCGAGAAATCTAGGGAGGTCGTATCGATTATAAAAGCGTTGCAGTGATGACACGGACTCAATTACCTGTCCTGGTGAAACTGGAAAGGCCTTCGGGCCACCAGTAAACTTTCAATCATAAAAAAAAAAAAACGGATTCAGTTAGTAATCGGTACTACTCGAAGCGAAACAGCGAACGGATCACCTGAAGCGAAGCGGAAGAAGTGAATTAAGAATTTGAAAGTGTTCTGTGATTGGTCTAAGCGTTAATACAGTGTTAATTTGTACTTCGGTAGAATTTTTATTTATCTCGAACCTCAGCGCGTAACAAAACATTCGTGAGACAGCTAAATTGGACTGAAAACAGGAACGATAGTCAGTTTTTATTTTTTATTTTTATATTGCTTAGATAGGTGGACGAGCTCACGGCCCACCTGATGTTAAGTGGTTACCGGAGCCCATAGACATCTACAGCGTAAATGCCGCCATTCACCTCGAGAGATGACTTCTAAGGTCTCAGTATAGTTACAACGGCTGCCCTGCCCTTCAAACCGAAACGCATTACTGCTTCACGGCAGTAATAGGCGGGGTGGTGGTACCTACCCGCGCGGACTCACAAGAGGTCCTACCACCAGTAAAATAAAAAGCTGTATATTCAAAGTGTTACGTTTCGCAGATGACCAGATTAGATCTGATAATATTCGGCGCGACCGGTTTCACCGGCAGCCGAGCGGTGCTGGAGATGATCAGGCTGTCCAAGAAGTATCCCGCTTTAACTTGGGGCATCGCTGGACGCTCCGAGAAGAAACTCGAAGAACTTAAACAAGAGGCTACTCAGAAAAGTGGTGAGGATCTTTAATCACAAACTAGAAATAAATATAGCATAAAACTGTATAATTAATTAATACAAATTCTGGTAATCCGATTATTATTAGGATTAAGTCGGCAGCCTTGTCTACCAAAAGGGCCAAATATACATTAAACGCAATTAAAAATTATTAATAGAGCCATTTTATTAACTCATTTTTATAGCCTTACTAGTAGTTACTAGACGTACTCGCCCGCTTTGCTGCGCATTTAAAATTAACATTATTATTTATTGTGATTATTATTAGGAAGTCCAACACTCATATAAATACTAGCCTATCCATTAAGTACATGTATTTTCTACATGGATACCAAGTTTCAAGTCAATCGGATGCATGGTTCAGTAGTTATAACGGAACATCCGTAAAAACCACTTTAGATTTACATATTAGTATAGATGTGTCAAAAATGTGTTTACTTCCTATGCGTCTATTACAAGGCAAGATAATAAGTAATATTCCGTGCGTAAACTAAACATTTCGCGGAAGAGCCGTAGTCTTATTTTCTCCTACCTATGCTGATAGCCTGGATAGGCTATTTCAGCTTCACCCTAAAGCTAACCCTAACATGTAGGTGACGGGGTTCAAACCGAAAGTGTTGCTAACACTGGCCCCAGCAAGAGTAGTGCTTCGCAGAATCTACCACCGTATCGGAAACGCAACCCACTGAGAAGATCCGGCGAGAAACTCAGTGGGCCGTGTCTATGGGTTAATTCGCTCGCCGAGCCCTTTGTTGCAAGCGACGGGTTCGACGAGGACGGTGACCGGTGCTTGTGGTACCTAAAAGCACCGTTAATAGATCGGGAGGATCCGTAATGACGTATTTTGGGCGACGTCGACTGTTTACCATTCGGTCTACAGGATCGAGTATGTAATTCCCAGTCTTCGATCAACAATAGTAACTATTGTTGATAAGTTCCTAGTGGCCACGACAAGAGGATTTTTATGTCGTGCCGCCTTCCCAAAGTGGTGCAATGATGCCGACTGTAGATACATAAGCTGTAGTCGAGGAGTCAAATAGCCCCAGTTAGCCGACCATTGGATTAGGATGTTAAATTATTAAATTCTCCACTGTCTTGAAGTTCGTGAGTCTATCTATGTAACAGACATATATTCTCAAGGTGAACATTATTTACATTGTGATGTCTATGGGCCCTAGTAACCATTTAGAAACAGGTGAGTCGTCAGCTCGCTACCTGATTTTTAATGATGTTTTATTTTTGATTGGTACACTTGTTGTAATACAGGCGAGTCCGATATTCTTTTTAAAATATAAACTTGTGATTTTTTCCAATGAAATTTCTTGATAATTGAGTACAAGAATTAGGTATAGTGTGTAATGGTAGAATTTTGATTCAAAATATGAGAACAGAATTACGTCATCCTCCATAATCACGTCCAGAGATGCAAAGGTCACCAGCAAAGTCAAGGTGGAATTTGAAGGTCGCATCGCGCGTCACTGTGCGAATGACCAATTGAACCAACAATAGGTGGCATAGTTAAAAGATGATACTCAAATGCACGCGTCAAATATTGACAAAAAAACATGTAAAAAATTCGAATCAACAATTTGTAATAGAAAAAACTAGGGTACATCGCGATGTACAAAATAGCGGCAACACAACAAAATATACTGTTTGTATTTCTTGTCAGTAACCGGTGAGATACTTTTTACTGGTGGTAGGGCCTCTTGTAAGTCCGCACAGGTAGGTACCACCACCCCGCCTATTTCTGCCGTGAAGCAGTATTGCGTTTCGGTTTGAAGGGTGGGGCAGCCGTTGTAACTATACTGAGACCTTAGAACTTATATCTCAAGGTCGGTGGCGCATTTACGTTGTAGATGTCTATGGGCTCCTGTAACCACTTAACACCAGGTGGGCTGTGAGCTCGTCCACCCATCTAAGCAATAAAAAAAAAACTTCAAACTGAAAATATTAACGTTATTGGCTCAGTGACGTCTTGTTGCTGCCGTCGTGGTTTCCAATTGAGGAAATGGTCTATATTGGCATGATCCTCACATCATCATCATCTTACTGACGCTGCTGGGCAAATGAGTAATTTGTTGAACTATTTAAAGGGAACCGTTGCGTATATCCTTTTTTATCCTGATAAATAAAAAAATAAAAACTTATTTTGAATTTGTTTCCTCTCATAGTGGTCTATCTGAGAGAAATTTTATGAAGAACAAATGCACGATTGTGCTATATTGTGCACACATTTAGAACGCCATTGCCTTCAATATAATAGTAATGTAATGTTTATTTAAATAGAATATAATATAATATTATGTATGGAAATGGTAGTGCAAGGTAGAGGGGGAAGAGGTCGACCGAAGAAGATATGGATGGAGTGTGTGAATGACCGTAGCTGTACCGACCCCACCTAGTGGGATAAGGTGGAAAAAAAAGAAGAATTTATTCAAATAGAAAACTTAGTCTACTACAATTTAGTTCTAATTTTATACATCAGTTTGTTTGATTACGATAAACGCGATATGGTGTAAAACTGTGTTTTGTCACAGTTTTTTTTCCCCACCTAAGCTGATAGCCTTGAGAGGCTATTTCAGCGTAACCTTAACTAGTAGATGAGCTCACGGGGCTCAAACCAGACGACGTTGCTAGCACGAACCCTAGCAAGAGCCGTGCTTCGCAGAATCTACCACAGGATCGGAAACGCGACTCACTGAGAAGATCCGGCGAGAAACTCAGTGGGCTGTGTCTGTGGGTTAATTTATTCGTCGAGCCCTTCGTCGCAAGGTTCGGCGAGGACGATGACCGGAGTCACAGTATTTCAATTATATTGTTTGACAGCTATAATAAGTACTTTTAAATTATAGCAATTCTATTGTAAAATGACTACGACTATAATAAACACAATGTGGTTAGGTAGATCGGCGCAGTACCAAAAACATAAGGTGGACATTATCATGTACCAATAATGAGGTTTGTTTAAGCGGAGTGGCTTTGTGAAATGTGAAGGCATGGACGTATAGGGTTGCCAGTAAAACGAATTTATATCTCGTGGTTAGCGAAATCGTACAAAATTAGATCAAAGTACAAATTTAAGTCACCAATAATATTTTAATTTAGTTTTGTTTCGTGCAATCTTAAACATAACAGTTTATATATAATTGTGGCAACACGTTAATATGTGGCAGCACTGGTCGTTGTAGTTTTCTGGTCACACTTAGCATGTGTGTTGTATTGTGTACCGAGAGAAATAAAAGGTTTTCTTTCTAAATTAAGTTTCATTGAAGCTACGACAGCAGCGACACAACACAGAATACAGTTTGCTGCCAATTGTAACAATAAGCGATAATTTCATTTTGAGTAATATTAAAATGGCTGCCTGTTTGTCATCACTGACTTTATATATTTCCGACACATTCGATGTTTCTATATTCTCTGATAATAGCGGACTGGCGGAACGAATTCAATTTTAAATCGTTTTTTTTAACTGGGAACAAATCACGCACTGTCATCCGGTCCCACATTAGGATTCACTGTGTTATGGGTACCAGATTGATATGCATACTTATATACTTTTAAATATATAGATAACTAGTTGTATTCGTCCGCTTCGCTGGGCATTTAAAATTAACCATATTATTTCTCACCCCCACAAAGATTCTCATCATTAACGCCCCACAACTGGTGTAGGGAGTCCAAAACTCATATAAATATTAGCCTATCCATTAAGTACATGTATTTTCTACATGGATACCAAGTTTCAAGTCAATCGGATGCATGGTTCAGTAGTTATAATGGAACATCCGTAAAAACCACTTTAGATTTATATATTAGTATAGATAAACACCCAGACAAGGAGCAAACAAACCTGTTCATCACACGAACGTGCCCGATTTGAGAATCGAATTCACGACCCTCTGCGCCAATAGCCAGGCGATCCTAACTGCTACTCTACTGTCAGTCAGTTTTGTTATTCAAGACATTATTGGATAAATAAGATAACGATATAAAACAGACGTATCTGCACTTTTGTACACAATTCTACAATCTGACAGCCCTTGTTGCGCATTCAGTAAACTTTATAAGGTTTTGTATTCGATTTCGATGGAATTCCTTATATGCTCCATGTCGCTGCAAGTCGCAGCCTCGAGTCGATGTTTGATCTATAATTCGATTTCCAAATATAGAGATTACGCATTACGCATTTAAAAAAATGTTTATAAAAGCGAAAACAGGCTTAAGGCAAACACATTGAGTCTATATTTGATGAGCTTAGTGTTCAATATTTCGAGCTACTCATTTTGGATGTTCAATGTCACACCGGCACAATGCAGCGATAGTGTCACATTATTGCATGTTATCAGAAGTGCCTGATAATACGCATACAATAATGTTATATTAAATAAAAAACAAAACATCACTGTAAAAGTACACATCTTCATTAAAATTAAACTAATTAATTGTTAGATCCCAATAGTGTGAAAAAAATATTTGGTAGTGTATTCGGCGGGAACTATCTAGTTAGTATTTTTATATCGCACCTTTAGAGACCAATTTCGAAATTTTTGAATTTCGACTTTAACCCAAAAATGGACCTAGTAGGACCTTTTTCAGCGACTCTTCATTATCAAATGACCAAAAGTAGCTTATAAAGGGACAAACTTTAATCGGTGTTAGCCAAAAAACATATTTTTGGGTTGGGTCTCTATAACTCTAAAGGTGCGATATATAAGTACATATAGTTTTTATATATGATTCACAGGCAGATTAATACGTAGATAGATATACAAGACGACTGACTCGCATCGTCTGCATACTCTGCCTTCAATGAATAGGGTCACTGAAACGAAGCCGGTACTGCGACACTTCTGAACCGGTCTGGGTTATATAATATGTTTACGGATTGTGGAGAGGTTTTTTTTGTGGTCTCGTTCAATTCGTTCGTTTTCGTTACAGTTTCGTTCAATTCCGATCAATGCGAAGTTGGTCGGGTTTGGTGATCTTACATATGGGACAGCGAAGGGTACCGCGGGTGATTTCGTCGTGTGCCGGGTTTTTTTTTGTTCCCTACCTAAGCTGCTTACCTGGGGGTCTATGCCAGCGTAACCGGGCGAGTAGGTGAGCTCACAGGTCTCTAATCTGAGGACGTTGCTGACAGTGGTCCTAGCAAGAGCAGTGCTTCGAAGAATCTACCACAGGATCGAAAACGCGACCCACTGAGAAGATCCGGCGAGAAACTCGATGGGCTGTGTCTGTGGGTAAATTTACTCGTTGAACCCTCGAGCGCACGTCGCTTGCGCGGAAGGGTTCGACGAGAACGGTGACTGGTGCTTAAGGTACCTAAAGGTACCGTTAGTGGATCGGGAGGATTCGAAATGACGTGCTTATGTCATCGGTCCTTAATAAGTATACCATATTTCGAGCTCAGTCTCCTCAGAATTCTGTGGACCGCGCACCGTACCAACATTTCGATCCTGAAAGAGCTCAACATCAAGGAGAGACTATCGTCAACAGTCCAATTACGAATCCTCAAGTTCTTCGGGCACATCACTCGTAATGAGGACTGCATTGAGCGGTTGGTGGTGCAAGGGAAAGTCCAGGGTAAAAGATCTCGCGGACGATCTCCAACACAATGTACCGACCTCATAAAATCTGTTACTCACTCCAACATAAATGTTTGCTCTCACTCTGCGAAACATCGTGCCACATGGCGTCGCATCGCGAGAGCGTCGGTATCGCAGGATCCGACTGATGCATGACCACGACCACTCTGTCAAGAGTGTACGAATAGGAAGAAGAATTTCGAGCTAATGCGACCTTTTGAAGGGGGTCAAAATCATGTTCAAAGATTCCGTTACAAACATACATACGTATAAAAGCGTATTAAAGTACGTGTCATTATCGAAGTTCATTGCCGAATTTAACCTGTAATTATTTATTTACACGCGACGTTTTATCTGTGATGTCAGGTTTTTATTGAACATTGTGATGTCATAATGCCAACAGATAATTTATCAGAAAATAATAGTGCATACTTACATTTATTGCATTCAGTTTATCTGGCGAATGTCAGTAGAAATCATAAGCCATCATCCATGAGAAATTATGTAAAATTCCCAATGCTTGCTAATAATGCTATTCCCATAGAAAAAAAGGTTATTGTAAAAATTCGATTTAGTAAAGGTCGTTTTGACCTTCAGGCCATTGCGGATTCACGTTCTATTGTTGTTGGAAATTGCTTGCTTGTGTCACTGTCATTAACTATATGTTTTCGGGTAGCTGCCTGAGGTCTGCCACGAAGAAATCCTTGAGGGGTGGACAATCCTTCTACAATACAATGTTCATGTCTAGAGGTGGGCCCCGTTTACATTGTGGGCTTAGGTTTAAACTGGTGTGTAAATGCAATAAAAAAGACAAAAAATAACTAGGCTCTTGATTTTTTTACCAATCTTATCGCTGGTAGTCTCGAGGGGCCATTTTGGATTCATTTGGTACGCGAACTCACGAGGCTTAGCCTGGGAAAGTTTGATAGCATTGGCTCTGGCAAGAGCGGTTTTTCGCTGACTTTACCACCGGATCTATTACACTGAAATCACATTGAGAATATCCGCCGAGAAACTCAGTGGATTATTCTTGATTTAAATAAAAGTAAGACGTACATGTCGGTGGTTAATTAGACATGGCAATTATTATGCAAATATGCAACATTTTGCAATTAAGCTATTAGGAGTGCGATTTTACATGTTTCAGTTTTGGCGGTTTTTATTTATTTATTTTTTATTGCTTAGATGAGTGGACGAGCTCACAGCCCACCCGGTGCCTTAGCACTCATGGTTACTGGAGCCCATAGACAGCGTCTACAACGTAAATGCGCTACTCACCTTGAGATATAAGATCTAAGGTCTCAAGTATATTTACAACGGCTGCCCCACCCTTCAAACCGAAACGCATTACTGCTTCACGGCAGAAATAAGCAAGGTGGTGGTACCTACCCGTGCGGACTCACAAAAGGTCCTACCACCAGTAAAAAAGGTTTTTTTTGTGTATACCATAGATTATACCAATTTGTATAGAGAACGCTGCCAATGGCCAAAGGTACACCTACGATCCGCCGCAGTGGGTATCTTTCAATGATTTGATTTCAGGCGAAGACCAGACCAATCTCAAAACGTTTATAGCTGATGTATCGGATGAGAAGTCGCTGAGGAGCATGTGCGAACAAGCCAGAGTAGTGGTGAATTGTTGCGGGCCGTACCGACTATACGGAGAACCGGTCGTGAAGGCAGCCATTGAATCAAAGACTCACTATGTTGACGTGAGCGGCGAGCCTGAGGTGAGCTTCAGATTAAGTTACCTCCCGAGGAGTAGATAAAAATAGGATTGTAAAAGTGATAACTGTTACTATACTTGAGACCTTAGAACTTATATCTCAAGGTGGGTGGCGCATTTACTTTGTAGATGTCTATGGGCTCCAGTAACCACTTAACACCAGGTGGGCTGTGAGTTCGTCCACCGATCTACGCAATAAATAAATAAAAATATTATATGATATGTACTATTGTTCAGGAATGCGGTAGTCAGCCCACTGAGTTTCTCGACCGATCTTCTCAGTGGGTCGCGATTCCGACCCAGTAGGTAGGTTTTGCGAAGCACTGCTCTTGCTAGAGCTAGTGTCATCAAATTTAATCAGGTTGAGCCCGTGAGCTCACCTACTCGTTCGAGCGTACCTGTAATAGCCTCTGCTACTAGCGAATCGGTAGGAATAAAAATAGAAGACGGTAGTCAAATAAAAATCGTCTTCGAAATATTCTGATTTTGTTTAAAATCCGCATAAGTCTAACGGACCACGCAGATTGTCAGTAATGGTAGTACGCGATGCTGATAATAGCGACGCGGTTTATTGAGTACATTTCCGTAAAACTCTCTATATTTGAAAGTATCATTAAATGTAGGCATTAAACCAAATTTGGTATTAGCATCAACAATTAAATGCTTTTGATAAAATTAATTAAACTTCAATTAATATGATAATTAATTTGTCAACGTAACAATACCTACCGAGGACGGCGCGCTGCTGAGACGTTAATAACATTTTGAATACTTCAAATATTCAATTTTGGTTTTGTCACACGTCAATTGAGCAACCTCATGATCCACGTACTATGGTGTTGATTGACCTTCAATTCACGATGACCTCCTTCTCGTTTCGTTTCCTCACTGGTAGGTAGCGGCTTGGCTCTGCCCCTGGCATTGCTGAAGTCCATGGGTGACGGTAACCACTCACCATCAGGTGGGCCGTATGCCCGTCTGCCTACAAAGGCAATAAAAAAAAACCCTTTATTCCATGAATTTTTTTTACTATAATTATGTTATATGCATGGACCCCTCTCAGGTAAAGGCCTCCTCCAAAGATTTCCATTTTGCTTTGTCTCTGGCGTCATAAATCCAGTGTGGTCAAATCAAATCAAATCAAATCAAAAATTTTTATTCAACATAAATGAAAGTACATACTTGTTGAACGTCAAAAAAACTACCGCCAATTCACAAGAACTAGCCTCCGTCCTGAGAAGAATTGGCAAGAAACTCAGCGGGCATGTCTTTTTTTTTTTACATATGAAATTATTATTTATTTATTTTTTAATATTAGATTTTTTTTTTAAATATGAATTTTTTACAATGAGTAATATAACGTAACAATTACTACAATATTGAAATGCCTGGAGCGAGCAACTCATTCCCACTTTGTGCAATCTTCTAGATAATCATTGACTTTATAATAAGCTTTATTGCACAGATGTTCTTTAATAGTTTTCTTAAACCTATGTATATGTAGGTTCTGAACATCTTGTGGGATTTTGTTGTACAGGCGCACAGACAAACACCCGAATGAATTTCGTATCTTATGTAACCTACTCATCGGCACAACAAGCTTGTGTTTGTTCCTAGTATTTCTATTATGTATGTCCGACTGTTTAGGAAACTCCTCAATATGTTTACGAACATACATCAAATTTTCAAAAATGTACTGGGATGGCATAGTGAGCACTTTAATTTCTTTAAATTTTTCCCTCAGGGATTCCAGCAACTTTTCTAATGTCGTCCTTCCAACGCGTGTACGGTCTACCGACGCGCCGCTTGCCCTGTAGACCGTCCCATGCAGTTATTTTAGATGTCCATCTCCCATCCCCGAGTCGTGCCACGTGGCCAGCCCACTTAAATTTCAATCTTTGAGCTAATTTTTTAATAAAGAAAGTATCATTAAACACTATTTATTATACTTGATTTAATTTTGATTTTGCATATATTTCTTTTTCCCAAAGTCGTACAAACTATAAAAATCTTCGATATAAATAAGTAGGTACAAGACGCAGTTGATTCCAATTGACTGTACATTTAAAACGGCCAATAAACAAAGTTATTTCGGTACAGGATGTCTGGTGTTTGACTCTTGAGATCCGAACTCAGTTTTTATAGGCGATCCGAGGTCAGAGCGACCTACGCGTGTTGCAGTCAATAGTTAACTAATTGGGTACTTGAAAGAAAAAAAAAAAATCGATTTTTTAATTGTATTTTAAAACTTTATTATTAATAATATGGATATTTAACGCATAAAACTTAAAAACCTTTTTTTTTAATAAATTATAAAGAACTAAAAATTGATAGAATAAAAAAAAAAAACACGTGACTTATAAACGCGCCATGATTGGTCACCATACTTGTGACGTCATAATGTTATAGCTATTTAATAACAGTACAGCGTTTACGACAAATGCACGTGACTAGACAATAATATTGAAAATTTATTGCTAAAAAACGAGTTCGATTAGCTATGTGTGATAAAGGATTTATTAAGGCAAAGTCTGAAGTTTTGGGATTATCACGGTGCACAGCTTGAAACCATTTAATTCGACGTTTGTGATCTTGGGAAACATTTAAAAAATTTTTTCAAGAGTTGTTTTTGTAGTATTCATGCATAATGGTGCAAAACAAGAACGATAACTTTTGAGGTTCGACATCTTCAATATAAATAACTGCAATGAGGGAAAACCTAACATTATGACGTCACACACGCTCGGGTTTGATCGGAAGCTGTCGGTCTGTCTTCGGCACTGGATTCAAAAATTAATTTTTATTTTGAAATTACTTTTGATTTATTGCGAAAAAAAATGTGTTGCTATAAAACTAATATATGATCTTTCCATTTACCACAATTTTTTTTTTTTAAATACCCAATTGTGTTGCCCAATTTAGGAATTCGGTTGGGAATTCCGAATTCTGTAACTATTAAGTATCACATATCCCATAATATATAGGAAATTACGTGCTTAAGGTGACTTTTTTAAAAGCTCTTTTGAAGAAGGATATGGCATAACGTTAAAAAACACCTTGGAGACAATGTTAACCCAAAGACACAGCCCACTGAGTTTCTCGCCGGATCTTCTCAGTGGGTCGCGTTTCCGATCCGGTGGTAGATTCTGCGAAGCACTGCTCTTGTTAGGGCCAGTGTTAGCAACACTCCCGGCTTGAGCCCCGTGAGCTCATCTACTAGTTAAGGTTACGCTGAAATAGCCTCTCATAGGTAGGAAAAAAAGGAGTCAATTTTGTTTCAGAGCCGGTTCGTAATAGTTACTAGAGTCAGGGTCTCACGCCATCTCTATCCTCCTCTTTTCTGTCGCATGGCATACGTGGTTTCCGTTTTGTAGGTTGCGACAGTTAGATTTAATACGAGTCATAATGTTACATCATACATAATGTACATTTCAAGGCCAGTGATCTTCGTGTTAACATTATCTATCATCCGGTAATCTCAACATCGGATTAATCGTGAGCCCTTTTTTGCTCATCAAATACAATAACAAAAGAGGCGATGAAAAACAATATTTTCAAGTGTAGTAACACTTTTAATGTTTGAATAAAACCTAAAGGAAACAAGAGTACAGAAATAGGTGAATTTAGGTATTTTTTCAGTTTCCAGTCCACAGTCCATCCAGTTCGCAGTGTTTTAATGCTGCAGTTCTTGCCCTCACTTGAATATAAATTTGCGAGTCGATAACGTCGTCACTTCATAAAAGTCAACCTTGAACACGATGTTTAATTGTACAGCGGAACCAAAATTAAAATCTGTTCCGAAACTAGGAGTTTATTAGTGCTTTTGTTTTTGTCCGACGAGCTCTGGGCCCACCTAGTGTTGAATGGTTACCGCAGCCCATAGACATCTACAGCATAAATGCCGTCATCCACCTTGAGATATGAGTTCTAAGGTCTCAGAACAACCGCTGTCCCATCCTTCGAACCGAAACGCATTAGCTTCACGGCAGAAATAGGCAGGATGGCGGTACCTACCCGTGCGGACTCACAAGACGTGCCACCACCAATAAGACCGGTGACCTACACCGCGCCAAAGGCTTAATTTACTGTTTTTTAATCGTTTGGGTGGTGTATTTAGTAACTACGCTGACGTACCACTGGATCTTAATTTGATTCGCCTGTCCTGTGAAAGTGATTTGGTATTCTTTTTTTTATTTATTATTGATTAGACGGGTGAACGAGCTTACAGCCCACCTGGTGTTAAGTGGTTACTGGAGCCCATAGACATCCACAACGTAAATGCGCCACCCACCTTGAGATATAAGTTCTAAGGTCTCAAGTATACTTACATTATAGTATAGTTACATTCGATACCTCTTCCAGTTTATGGAGTTAATGCAGCTAAATTACAACGAACAAGCCGAAGACGCCGGCGTGTACGTCATCAGCGCCTGCGGATTTGACAGCATCCCTTGTGACTTGGGCGTTATTCATTTAATGAAAAACTTTGAGGGTAAGTGGTGACGCTCGGCGATGTGTTTATTGGTGCGAGGATGGCTTTACTACTGAGAGAGCCATCTCGTGTCGCCTAGTCGAACTGCGTGAAGCGCATTTACTACGGAGTTTATCAAGGATAGCGACCCGCCCTCGCTTCGCTTCGGAAACATTAAAACACACATGAAACAAAAAAAAAAAAAAAAAGTGTGTGTGTCCGCTCCGACGCACGACTGGAGTTTACTGGATATAAAAAATTAAACGAAACAATACGAGAAATAGTTCTATATTACGACAACACGATACACTACAGATTATTAACAAATTAACGAGACACAAAACAAACGACTAACAAATATATGAAAATACAATAATGAGAGAAACGCGCGATCAGTACGAGGCTTTGTGGCGGACTGCCGGCGCAGCAGCCCGGCGTCACCTGCGATAACGCGGCCGCGCGTTGGCTCCTGATTGGCGCGCGCACGCATCACGCAATCAGGAGCCAATCAGGCGCATAACGCATTTCGTGTGACATGCTAGTACGATTTTGGTCCCCATAATTTTCATACCCCGGGCCTATATATGTAAATCGATTCTAAAGGAGTAAACTCCAAAAAATTAAAAAAAGTAGCCTATGTTCATCACGGACAATGGCGGCTTCTAATGGAAAAAGAATTTTTCAAATCGGTCCAGTAGTTTCGGAGCCTATTCGAAACAAACAAACAAACAAATCTTTCCTCTTTATAATATTAGTATAGATGATGCTGTAAGTTAAGGTTTCGACTGTGTTTAGGGATCGATGTATAAAACTTGATTATATTTGTATTTTCTTATATTTCTTTCTTCTGTATATTTGTATAAGCAGTGTCTATGCGTACAATACTACCAACAAAACAACATACTGTCAAGCAGCATTACTGCCATCGCACACACTTCTGTCGCAACAGCCTTACGCGTAACACCTGTGTGCCTGTGCATCGTCACAGCCGTTATTTTAAAATATAATTTGGAAGGAAACAATAAAACATTCAATTTTTTTGTACACTACTGCTTCCTTCCTCTGAGTTTCTCGCCGGATCTTCTCAGTGGGTCGCGTTTCCGATCCGGTGGTAGATTCTGCGAAGCACGGCTCTTGCTAGGGCCAGTGTTAGCAACGTCGTCAGGTTTGAGCCCCGTGAGTTCACCTACTAGTTAAGATTACGCTGAAATAGCCTCTTAAGGCTCTCAGCTTAGGTAGGAGGAAAAAAAAAGGTTCCTCTTCCTCGCCAACAAGCAGTAAATAATTTTATCCGGAACCCCAGTTCGTAGCTGTTCGTATTCAAATATGTAGGCAACATCGGCAAACGGTAGGCAGCGGCTTGGCTCTGCACCTGGCATTGCTGAAGTCCATGGGCGACGGTAACCACTCACCATCAGGTGGGCCGTATGCTCGTCTGCCTACAAGGGCAATAAAAAAAAAAACATCGCGGCGGCTCACACAGAAATCTGTGTATTTATTATTTGTACGTCACGAAAAGAAGTTGTTTTTCGGCAAATACTTCTATATGTCGAGTTAGAGTTGGAGGACGACTACAGGTAGTTAATACAATAATGCCACTAAGATTGCTGACGAGTGAGCATTTATTAAATTTAAATTCATTTCGTAATTGGGTGAGCTTGCTCAGGGCCCTGAAACTGCGATACTTTAAGACAAAAAAAATTGTATAGAAACTATCGACATCTTGTAGCTAATGCTCTTAAACTTATATGTTATATAAGGCATTTAATCACAAACTAAACACAGAAAAAAAATAAAAAATTTTATTGCTTTGATGTGTGGACGAGCTCACAGCCCACCTGGTGTTAAGTGGTTACTGGAGCCCATAGACATCTACAACGTAAATGCGCCACACACCTTGAGATATAGTTCTAAGGTCTCAGTATTGTCACAACGGCTGCCCCACCCTTCAAACCGAAACGCATTACTGCTTCACGGCAGAAATAGTGCGGACTCACAAGAGGTCCTACCAACAGTAGGAAATATAAATCATACAAACCTTTATTTGTTATAGACAAAAAATTGGTTAAATTTTATAAATTTTTGGTTTCTGAAAATTTACAAAATCCTTCATTAAAAATAAAATATAGGATAGGTAATATGTTACTGCCATCTACAGAAGCAATGAGAAACTAATTGAAGCGAAGCCGTCTAGTGGCCGACGCGCGTAATCATTTTTGTTGAGTGCTTGAGTTGCTTATCTATAACTGATTTATGTGTATTATCTATGAGCTTGCTCACGGCCCACATGGTGCTAAGTGACTGCCGGAGCACGTGGCGCCGTGGCCGAAGTCTCGGTTGCACTGTAACAACGGTTTCCTCTAAAGCGAAATGCACGACCTCCGCTTATCTTCTGTACGATTTAGTAGTTCAGATTCTGACTGATAGATGTCAGCACACTGCGCTCTCGCTTCGCGCTAGACGCTGTAAAATCTATTTTAAAATTCGAATTCGTATTTAAATTAATTTTACTGGTTTCATCCGTGACCACGAAAACCGTAAAGTTTTATTTAATATTTAAAATGTGTACTTGAGTCGACTATTATCAAAGGCGGCAATCTGACTTTTGGACAATGATTGGTAAATCAGAAAAACGAATTATTGACTTTGTATTCCATCGGCAGTCACAAAACTCTTCGGAACGACATCTTAGATAAATAACAGGTTAACTATTAACCTTTATTTAATGCAGGTTTTGAACCGAATTCTTTGAAGGAGACGATTATATTCAAATTAATCTGTATTGACATATCAATAATTTTTTTTTGTCCAAATGCACAGATTGCCACCTTTGATAATAGACGACTCACTTCTGGTAAAAGCTTGAAAAGCAAAAACGCTTGTTTCAGGCGTGCTGAATTCTGTAGAGTCGTACATCACGATGAGGGTAGCGCCGGAGCACGCGGCGGAGGCGGCCCGCGGCGGCGTGCTGCACTACGGCACCTGGGAGTCCCTGGTGCACAGGTACACTGTGTAGCGACTGCTTGTCGGAGTACTAAATTGGTCGAGGACTTAGTGACTACGGGAGCAAGGACGTGAGGGCTGACTCTCTCGCTCTCCGACTATTGGGCTGAGCTCTCATTTCAGGCAAAAATTTGTGTGACAAAAAGATTTGTTTGTCCCGTGCCTCGGTGCACAGCATCCAACCAGATGAACACATAATTATAACTCTCTGATTCGCGTAAAACATGGAATATTAATTTGGGGCCAGATAATCGTCTGTCATTGATTATTGTGTATTATTTATGTATATGTTATGTATGTATATGTTATTTGTTGAACAGTCTGGCGAACAGTCACAAATTGAAGCCGCTGAGAAAACAGCTGTATCCCTCGCAGCTGCCCTCCTACAAGCCCAAACTCTGCCGACGGTAAGTTTTTTTTTTTTTAAATTATTAATCTGTTATTAATCTTGTTTAAGTTATGAAGCCAAAACTGGTCGAACTCTCTAGCTTCCTGAATAAATAATAACATTTTCCAGCGTCCTCTACCCTTCTCCACCTGTCACTCTCCTCCTGTCCGCTTCCTTCCGATCTCCTCACCACTTCATAACACATACAGTTTATATTAGCTTTGTGGCTGTAATAATTCTTCATCGAGGGCTTAAACAGTTAAATTTGTAATGTAATTGAAGACCTGCGTAGATGAAGGGGATATGATACAATTTGTTAATTTTGAGAAACGGGCAATAAGGTTTTGTTACTTACACTTTTTCTTCGTACACAACTCCTTCATCATATGCAATTTAAAAAAAATAGCCTTTAAGATCGGTTAAGGTCTAATGTACGAGGGTGGCACTGAAAATTTCGGGAATTAACGAAGTGACACAACATTACTATTTAAAAATGTATTTATTGCTTTTCGAAGTATTCTCCGCGAAATTTGACACATTTTTCCATACGATGGAATCAATTATTGAAGCAACCATTCCATTCGGAAGTTGGGTTCTCAAAATGGCCGTTTTGTAGGCGTCCACAGCTTCTTCAGGTGATGAAAATCTCTGTCCACGCAATTTTTTCTTTATTTTAGGGAAAGTATAGAAATCATTAGGGCTTAGGTCGGGGCTGTACGGCGGATGGTCTAATAATTCTATGTTTTCTTGCTCTAAAAACTCTTTTGTTCTGTGCGCAGTGTGAGAACTCGCATTGTCGTGATGGAGGATGATGCGGCGGTTGCAGTTCTCTTTACGGAGTTCAGTAACGACCTGTGGCAAACAAATGCTAGCATACCATTCTGCATTAACCGTTCTTTGTCTCTCAAGAGGAATAGTCGTAACATGGCCGGTTTTGGAGACAAACGTGGCCACCATTTTTTTTGCAACACTCCGTGAACGAACAATTTTTGTTGGCTTTAACTCATTTTCGAACACCCAAACTCGTGACTGGTTTTTTGTTTCGGGTTCGTACGCGTATATCCAGGATTCATCACCGGATACAATGTTGTATACAGCATTTGAGGATCCTGCGTGGAATCTTTCGAGAGTTCTGACGCACCAAGTAACGCGAGCCGCTTTTTGCTCTTCACAGAGCGAGTGCGGTATCCATCCATCCATCCAAACAACTTTTTTACACCTAATTGTTCATGCAAGATTATTTGTATTTGACTCATGCCAATGTCTAAAGTTGCCTGAATTTCGCGGTATGTCACATGTCGATCTTCCTCAATCAGCTTACGCACAGCATCAACGTTTTCTTGGGTGACTGCAGTTTTTGGACGACCTTGACGGGGATCATCACTGAGCTCGACACGTCCACGTTGAAACTCAGCAAACCAGCGATAAATTGTGGTTTTGGATGGGGCTTCATCACCAAATGCAGAAATCATCCGGTCAACACACTGTTTTTGTGTTAAACCACTTCGAAAGTCATAATAAATCATCGCTCTTGAATTTTCTCGAGTCAATTTCATTTTCTCAACGACTAAACAAGTTTGACAAAACCTCGTGACAAGACCGAGAATCTTTTTTTAAATAAATAAATGGTATTCAATTTTTAAAACCAAGGAGTTTTCAATTAAAAAGATTTTAATATGACAGGAACAGTGGAAATATTCCATTCCCGATACTTTTAGTGCAGCCTAGTAGTTAATAGGCACGTAACACTCATGCAACATAACAGTCATTCAATGTAAAAATTCAAAAATGTTAAAATTGGTACTTAACCCCTTGTTTAACGCCTACGAATTTTTAAGGAGCAATGTACAAAATTTTGTTTACCATTTTTACACACTTTAATTAATGGCCGTGCCAAGCTAACTCATTCGCAATGTAAAAAATTAAGAAAACCCTGCATAAAGGAAATACAAGCACAAAATCGATTGTGGAAGTTTTATTCAAGAAACCCAAGCATCCAACACCCCTTCATCCACACATGTCTTTAATTATATTAGAAACATTGCGCAGCAGCCTGGCTGGAGATTGTAAGTCTATTTCCAGATGGTACCACAGGAGGGATGGCGCGTGGTGCCTGCCGTTCCTGGGCGCGGACGAGTCGGTGGTGCACCGCACGCAGCGCCACCTGCACGCCGCCGGCGCCCGCCCCGCGCAGCTCCGCGCCTACCTCGCGCTGCCCTCCGCACTGCAAGCCGCGCTCCTCGCGCTGGGCGCCCTCCTGCTGTACGTGCTGGCCCAGTGGAGCGTCACCAGGCGGCTGCTGCTCGACCACCCGCGACTGTTCTCCGGAGGCATGGCGACCCGACGCGGGCCCGCAGAGGACGTGATGCTCAACACCAAGTTCGAGGTGGAGCTGGTGGGGTCGGGCTGGGCCGCCGCGGCCGACGCCGATGTCACCGAGCCGGACAAGAAGCTGGTTGTGAAGGTAGGTCCCGGGGTGTCGAAAAACACCCCTCTTACTTAATTCATGTGACTGTAAATCATAATAATACATTTGCTTTTCATAGTGGTACAGACAGACATAGTTCCCCTGTTGAGACTATATCGGGCAAGGATTATTAAGACACGTGCTCAGCTAAGTGACTAACGTATATTAGGATTACAACCTAACGTGCTATCGACAGCACGACAATCCCGAGACTAACGTAGCATCATTGCAATATAATTATCGCTAACACATACATATAATTATTAGTTGCTATAGGGAAATTTGTGGTCCCTACACCCCTATAAATAATTGAATTGCAAACTCTAATTAGTCAGTTTAAAATTTATCGAGATCACACGAACAGACGTGTCGCCGGACGCGGAGTTTCAGACATACAAAAATATTTAACTACTAAAGTACATTTGCATTTAATTTCAAACCCAAACCAGGGATCGCCATTAATTGAAGTTCATAGAAGCGTTTTAGTTGAAGATGACGTGAACAAATTCCAGTGGTAACACAAATTGATAAAAAAAAATTATTACACACATACACAACTTATACAAACTCTTTGAAATTTGATCTCAACTTTTTAAAAGATATTTTACGATTTTGAATATTTTACGATTTTTATGGTCACGGATGACCGAGATTGAATTGTAAAATTGCTTTTAATAATTGGTATGTAAAAAACAGTTTCCAATCTTAAGGAATACAATAGATGACTCCCTCCAGGTGTCGGGCTCCAACCCCGGGTACGGCGCCACGGTGACGGCGCTGCTGATCTCCGCCCTCACTATATTGAATGAACAACACAAAATGCCTAAAAGGTATAGTGTCATGTTTTTAGATTGCTAACATAGGTACATGTATATTGATATCTGCGATGCCAGCGCCCGTCCAGCCCGACCTATGCGTCACCAGAAATAAACAAAAATAAGTTTTTTTTATTAAACACTTTATTTTCCGATGTTTCTTAAGCTGTAGTAGTTTTTGGTCACCGCAGACTTGGTAAAATAAGAAGAATACAATATCCAGTTACAAAGTCAACGACTTTTTTATTGCCTGTATGGATAGATGAGCTCACAGTCCACCTGGTTTTAAGTGGTTACCGGAGCCCATAGACATCTTCAACGTAAATACCGCCACTCACCTTGAGATATGAGTTCTAAGGTTTCAGTATAGTTACAACGGCTGCCCCACCCTTCAAACCGTAACTTACTGCTTCACGGCAGAAACAGGCAGGGTGGTGGTACCTACCCGCGCGGACTGGCAAGAGGTCCTACCACAGTAAAATTTCTTCTTCAACTTTTTTCCACCCAATATTTAGGTCGTTTCATCCCGTCGTTTAATCCCTACTAGCTATTTTGACCAGGTCGTCGATCCACTTCATTACAGTGTGCCCACGTTCCGTGCGCAGCTTCTAACATCACACGTAGCTAAATAGATCGGCTTCATTTTATGACCGCCGCATCCTTTCCCGCGGAGATTGTTAGCACTCTCTGTTTTGCTAGTGTTTTTCAACGACATGAGGTTGTTATAAATCAAGTTAACTTCACTATTATAGTTCTTGTCCATGCTCAGGACAAACAATAAGTCGGTTTTGTGGAAGCTATACATATATATTTTTAGTCCGACAATATATCTATTACAATTAGATAAAAAAATTCAAAAATTTATAAGAAAGGCGTCAAAGTTGAGTTTTTTTTTAAGGGATTTTATGACCTGATAACTAAGACCTTTAAGTCATGACTTATTTAAATTTATATTCTTATTTTTATGACAAATGATAATTTATAATATGGAGGTAAATGAAATGAAATGAAAATGATTAATTTGAGACATTAATCAACTGGGATGAAATTAAATGAAATGTGATGATATGGGATGAAATATAATCTCAGTAAGATGGTGGTTATTTACTGAAATTTTTTTTAGTGGACTTTTTGGAGGATACCGGGTAGTTACGTCCAGCGGCTTTGTTTCATTTTCCTACATTTGTGCACTTTCACAGATATTAAACAGTTAATAAACCACCGTTATTACACATTTAAACCTGAAGAAACACTAAATAGACAAAATAAAACAAATCACACAACTTCACTCCTCGCGTTCCCGCCAAAAAGTCTCTGGTTGAGTTGAGTGAAAATTGCACAGATAATATAAAAAAATGAGGATATGCGTTTCGCTGTCAAGGTCTTGAATAGTTAATAATAATAATCTTAATAATCTGTCTTAGTCACCCTTAGTAAAATTGTTTTTATTCACACAAATGTACGTGAAGGGTGGTTTGTTCGCAGCGGCGGGGTCCTGACAACCGGCGCCGCGTTCAAAGACACGAGCATCATAGATGTCCTCCACGAAAACGGCCTCAAGTTTGATATCGTTAGTGATAAGAAAGATTAAATATTTTTGCATTCATTTACAAAATGTTTAAAGGATTTTTAGAATTTTTAATAATTAAAAATAAATGCGTTTAATATTTTTTACGTAAAAATGGCATTAAGTATCGTTATATGTATATAACACACGAAGAAGATTCTAAACGAACTACAAATTAGTTTAATAGTTTGCAAAATAGACAGTCTAAATGAATCTACTACTAATTTACTATTATTATAAGTATCTATCATTCGCCTTGAAGTGGTCAGTTAGGACACGATTTAAATAAATTTTACACTTCAATTTTTACTTTAAAGTTTACTTGGTCACGGATGACCGTGACTTTAACAGAATTTTATTTTAATTGTGCGTTCAAAGAACAAAGTGGCAGATCTGTTATATTTTTGTATAGTAGTTTTCGTTATTGTTGAATATCTATGAAGGAGCCACAACTATTGCGGCTGAGCGTCATTGGCCGCATTTACCATCGTACCGCCCGCCACCGGAGTCGAGTTCATCCATACTACCTGGAGCCACTGCGGCCATCCACAGTGCGTTCCCAGAAATCTTTTTTGCCACGTACCATCTAGCTTTAGAATGAGCTCCCTTCCACGGTGTTTCCCGAGTGCTCTGTTCTTCTTCAAATGAGGCTTGTGGAGAGTACTTAATGGTAGGCAGCGCCTTGGCTCTGCCCCTGGCATTGCTGAAGCCAATGTGCGACGGTAACCACTCACCATCAGGTGGGTCGATACGCTTGTCTACCTACCTACGTCGCCTACCTGATAATGAAAAAAAAGTGGAGTCTTGCCTGATGCGGCCGTCTCCTACCGCGACACGCCCTAAGCACGTCATTACGGATCCTCTCGATCGCGTTCAGCGCTAATTAAAATGTACAGCCAATGCCATCAGCTGGCTGCCATCGGAGATACTCCACACATACAGAAGGTGTTCGTGTGTCACACAAATAATAATAATCTTATGCTTCCTTTCAGAGTACGTAAACTATTTTCGCTTAAATTGCCACAGCAGGACGCGGCGATGTCTTGCCTTCCTTCCATTTATACGCTTGTTTGAAATTAATATTTAGTTTTTCTGAAATCATAATCAAAGAGTTACGTAGCGTAAAGTACTCCGTCGAGTGCACGAGGCTAGTAGTCTGTTAATTATACTTTAACATAATTGGCTAATATTAAGCTGTATGTAACATTTCTTATATACAAGGGTGCTTGTCGTCACAGTTCCTTGAACTTGGAGCAGAACAGTTGAGAACAGCGCCATCTGTTTAACCAGTTAATAACTTAAAAACTATATATTTATAAATTTCACTAGATGTCGCTATGTTCTCAACTGCGCGAAATATTTTATCATTATATTTTGTTTTTTTTTCGTTTTTAAAGTAATATAGGAAATCTGGAAAAAACTAGTGGAACTAAATTGTTGTGGTTGAGACTGTGTATTTTTGTAAATAAAACTTTGTTAACAAAATAAATTTTTAATGGCAAAGACGGCTTGTTGTTTATGTTCACGTGAGACCTCATCAGTGGCGCACTCCGAGGTCGTCCTGCCTCACTGCTGCCAACATACGTCCTATCTTCAGCCGGTGTACTAGACACATGAGTCTCTCAAGGTGGATGGCGCCGCTCATGTCTATGATGTCTATGGTCTCTGTTGTCGTAAGCTCATACATGTGCAACAAATAAGACAGCTCTTTCGTAATGTTTGTTTAGTCTCCACGATATCAGAGATTCCATAGACAAACCGTGTTATTAAAAACGTCATAAGGCAAAATAAAGGATGTAGGAAGTAAGCAGGACGTTAAACCTTAAAACTGTTTATTAAATTGAATCAGTAAAATTCTAACTATTTATTTACTGGTGGTAGGACCTCTTGTGAGTCCGCACGGGTAGGTACCACCGCCCTGCCTATTTCTGCCGTGAAGCAGTAATGCGTTTCGGTTTGAAGGGTGGGGCAGCCGTTGTAACTATACTGAGACCTTAGAACTTATATCTCAAGGTGGGTGGCCCATTTACATTGTAGATGTCTATGGGCACCGGTAACCACTTAACACCAGGTGGGCTGTGAGCTCGTCTACCCATTTAAGTAATAAAAAAAATGTTTGTTTAGTCTCCCCGATACCAGAGATTCCATAGACAAACTGAATTATTAAAAACCTCTTATAGCAAAATGAAGGATGCAGGAAGTAAGTAGGACTTAAAACCTTAAACTGTTTATTAAATTGAAACAATAAAATTTTAAGTACTAATAAAACTTCACTTTGAAAATAGATAAAATTAATTTAATGCCATTCATCCGCTCGCACGCGTCCACAGAGGACGTAGCGCTAAGACAACTATTTACATCGCATCGATAATACCGTATTACATAAAGGACAAAAGGACTAGCTTTGTTTTTGAAAACAATAAAAATACACGACTTACATTCATTACAAATGATACAAGATATAATACGTTTTCGGGCCGAGCATTAGGAAGGGTTGCTTAATTTAAAGTTTAGCGTCTGTCTCGGCAGTCAAGGAATCGTGAACAGTGAATTAATTTGCTAACAGTTTCTGATGTCTGTGATCTCAGCAGTCCCGGATGGGAAGTGTCGTGAGCTATGACAGTAAAAGACTTGGGACCACATCACGGAGCTACAGCAATGTACACCCACGAGAACATATTCCTTTAATTTAGGTAGCTTAAGAAAATTTTATTTTTATTCTTTATTAGAGCCATACACGCTTAAGAAAATTCACAGGTAAAATATACGTTTCTCGTCAACAGCCCTAAGTGTTCGTTTTTACTGTTTTTCTTTCTCTGATGAAATATATGAAAGGTTTAAATACCTATGTAAGTATTTAAAATCAGGAATGTACTTTCATAATTTTAGTTGCAAAAAATATCTGTTTCATTTTGTATATTGTTTTATGCGTTACAGAAAATGTTACTGATAATAGAGCTGTGGAAACAGTATTCAAAATAGCAGTAAAATTACAGTGATTACTTGGAGTGAGAGCGAAGAAACATCTATATATATCTGATTCTCATCCGCATTTCAGTGAATGATTTGAAAGATGTCCAAGCGGTTTCACACAGATTTTAAGAGATTTTATTTAATAAAACAATATCAAACTTTAGTTAAAAATACTGAAATCAGTTTCAGTTGTTTTTTTAAACTTAATGCTAATTTTAAACAAGTATTATTGGGTACTTTTCAAAGGCAGCCTCTGGTTTTTCCTGGGAGGGCCTACTTATTTCGACCGCTCGTCTCCGTGCTACTTCCTGACCATTCCCGAACAAATCAGAACCCATAATCCATAAAATAAGCAATAAAATGTATTTTTAAAATATGTGATCGAATTATTTTACGTTTTATTTAATTTTCATTTTCAAAATATACAAGACGAGATTCGTGATGTTTGCGTTTTTTTTTAGTTTCTGATCTGTTCTTTACAGTGACACCGCTTATAAACGATTAATAATGCTATTAAATCGATTTGCAGAGTAGAAGATGCTCCGTCGTAACTCCCAAACTAGGTACGTATCTTATTTGGCAATTGTCACTGTACCTACTAACCCAATTTAGACTTCGCGTCTCATACATTTCATTAAGTTCCCGAACCAAAGCTGTGTAGTTTTGATCTGGTCATTTGAGCGAATAATGGTATTCTTTTGTTTTCAACTCGTAGTGATCATTAGAAGGAAGTCTTACATAAATAAAAATATCCATAACATATATTATATATATTTTTAATGAGTTCTTACCACTTAGGTACTCAACAGCGCTGAAATATCAGAATATTTTACAAGTGAAACTCGTCGTATGAACCCGTTAAACAATCTTGTGTAAAATATAGGTATTTGTGAAAGTTTAAAACAATTCGTAAAAATATGTCCAGTCCTCCGTGACCACGAAAACCGTAAAGTTAAATTATCTTTTAATCGTACATGAAAGATATTGAACTCTTGTCCTTTTAAATAAATTTTGGCGAAATCTACAACGGATGTATTTCGAATCGAAAATAGACTTTGGTATAGTGATGATCTTAAAAAAATAAATAGAAAAAAATATATGAAATTTAACTTATTTACTACTTTTTCTACAAAACTTTGCTTACAGTTAAAGAAATCTTAAACAAAACTGGCCAGTATGGCATTGTCGTTTTTTTAAATAATTTATTCAAGACTAACTATGCTATTAGTTATATTATAGCAGTTACCAAGTTAGATTATGAAACTGAAAATACTATTATGCTAGAAGTAAGTAAAGAGTATTATTTCTTATGTTGTTAGATACCTACCGAAATATGTACTGGTATTATCAGAAGTTTCTTTAAAACATACAACTTAATCTTTGTTGATGTTCGATTGTTTTAGATAAGAAAATATTACATGAATAGTGTGGCATTGTTTAAATAACATAATTCAATTTTCGATAAAATTATTACAAAATTTTGTCTTCAGTCCTACTAAACGCGAAAGTATGTAAGAATGTATGGATGTTTGTTACTTACTCTTTCACGCAAAAACCACATAATGAATTTTGATGAAACTTTACAATAATATGGCTTACACGTCTGAATAAAACATAGACTATAATTTATAAAGTTATAGTGTGAATCACCCAAAATATAACGATAGGTGTCTCAAGTAAGTAGGAAAAAAATCTGCCATTTTATATTCATAATCGATAATAAATTACAGTTCTCCAAGGGGAAGCGAGGGCGGGTCGCTAGTATTAAATAAAATATTAACACGTCATGATTATCATCTTCAGCCCACGGACGTCCATCGCCTTAATATAGCCCCCCTAAATGTTTTTCATAAGGACAGATCCTGTACTATCTTCCTCCAGCGGATTCGCGAGACCTTCAACATGTAGCCCACAGATCTTAGAAACACAGGAGATTAGGTTTGGACACAAATTTATTCGTGTTCAGATGTCTTCGCGCACAGATCATAGAAACACATGTAGCCGGTTCATCTTTTGGGAGGCCTACCCACGCTGCGTCTTCCGGTATGCCGTCACCCGTCGAAAACTTTTCAACCTCCCCAATTCTTTAGGCTATGCCGGCTATTTGGGTTCTCCTGCGAAACTCCTCGTTCCTGATACGAGGGCAACTCCGAGCATAGCTCTCTTCTTAAATTTTGAGACCCTGCAGATGATGATGAGGATATTCTGTGCACCTTCCCGAGCGCTGCTCATCTGAGTTGAATCGGACGATTGATCCCTTTCTCGAAGTTGGACCCACCTGGCTGGACAGTTTTCCTTAGGTAAACTTACTCATCAACAACTTCGAGTGTATACCTAGTTCATGATCTTTGTTGAGATGGACATTACATGAAATAATAAAATCGGTTAAGGTTTTATAAGTCGTTAATAAAAATTAATCATTTAATTTGGTTGAGGATTTTCCAGATATCGCGCTTATGGATCACCGGTTAAAAAAATAGTTAAAAATTATCCAGAACGGTTACATAACATATTTATTAAAGAATTCTAATACTAGGGCCTCCGAGACGGAAAACTAAGTGTTTGCATCAAACACGCATTTTATGGTTTTAGTAAATATGATTGTCGAACGATAGTGGACATTGGCTTGACCTAGAGATGGAAAAAATGATAATTCATTTTTCATTAGGTCGAATTTAGTAATTATTAGGTCTAACGATCTTAATGATAATAGTACATTCGGCTATTAGTCAGAAGATACGGGAATGCGGCTCATAGCTTCTCAACTCACTGCTACGTCTGTCATATATTTCGGTCGTAGTAATTCGGTTTTCTAAGGGTACCGCCGTTCTATTTCTGTAAGTGTCAATTGAAATATTACCAATGCTGTTAAGACTTAAGTCTTACGTCATAAACTGGATAACGGCATTCACGAGAACACAGCATAGGGTAAACATCTTAGGGTAAATTAATCCGATGAGTTTGAAAACCTCTTTAATCAAAGGAACACATTAGGCATTTATGTAATAGTTTGATTATCTCGGAGCCCTTTACAAAATTGTTATGATAAATTAATGAAACTAACAATTCTTAATGTTTTATACATTAAAATTATCGGACTAAGTTATGCAGAAAAGTGTTTTTAACAAAATCGCATCACGCATCTCTTTCAATGCAACGCAAATCCTTACATTAGATTTTTTATAAAAGTTAAAATAAACCTTAGTAGTTGAGGAATTTATAAATATTGTTTTAAATTATTGTCATAAAAGCATCAAAAAACATATGTAGCTTCTTTTGCTTGATCTATAAGATAAATGTACATTGAGTATTAAATGTATGACTAATCAAGTCACATTTTGACGTATCCTACTGCTTAGTTACATGTTATAAAACATTGGCTGAATCTTTTCTGCATAACAGGGTCTATTGATTAGTATTGGAAACGCTCCGGTGAATTATAAGTTTTTTTTTTAATACATTAAAAACCTAACAACATTTTTAATAATTACGCAATATAATTTTTTTGACTTTATTATTGTAGACGGAAAGAGGAGTTCTGTGGCCGCATGCCTTATGGCACTCTTCTTGGCAATGTTAAAGTCAATGCTAATCCGGTTGTAGGACAGAATACTGCTTTATGTTCGAGAAGCAGCTTGCTTCTTGCTGCACTTAACTAATAGCTCATTTACCCCCTTCTTATCCGTCACGCATAATCTCTTTACGGAAATACATACATAATTTACAACGCTACATAACTAAAGTTTGTACACGATTAACTCTCGCATCTGAAATTTCTCGGAGAGTGCAATAACGATAGTTGATTTCAATAAAATAAATACACTATAGGTACATTTATCTAGCGCATTTTTCGTTCAAAGTTAAACTTAAACTTACAAAAACGACTACGAAACATTAAAACTAAAATGACACCGGCTCGGCTCACTGTTGTTGAATGACTATCGCATGAACATGAACAAGCTGTACGTCCTCACTCATAAAAAACAATGTTTTATTATAACTTAATTCAATCGTCTGTATAGATGCGATTTTGGACCACAATACACTTAACTGGACTCCCGGCTGTTTTCATTAGAGCCCACACTTGTTTGGGTTGACGTGGTCGGGGCGGCCTCGGGCGCTACTATCAGCCCCTCCTTGATCCGTTTCTTCTGCTTCATCCTTCTGTTCTGAAACCATATTTTAACTTGCGTCTCGTTGAGTTGTAACGCTGAGGCTATTTCTATCCTCCTCGCCCGGGTCAAGTATTTGTTGAAGTGGAATTCTTTTTCCAATTCCGTGAGCTGTTTATTGGTGAAGTTAGTCCGTCCAGTGTTGTTCAGGTTGAGTAAGGGATTGCCCATCATTTGGGGGCCCGTTGGTGTGCGCATTCCGTCTTGTGGACTGCCCAGGACGCCTTGACTGACGAATTCTGCTGGTGGTATCATCAGCTTCGGCGCTGCGGGCAAAATATTGATTTTTAATAGCGTTGAAAAGTACTTTGTTCTAGTATAGATTAGATGATCCATCAGGACCCGTGGGGTGAAGGTCTTCGAAGCTCATAATTAGGTAGGTACTATAGCGTAAGTGTCATTGCGCACTTCAAAACATGATTGAAGTCTAATGACATTGGTAAATTATTGTTCAACTCTTTAATCTTGACCTGCTTACTGAAAGCTCTTTAGCACAGGTGAGACTTTCTTAATAATATGTAGTTCCGTCAACGAGCTTACTTTTACTTTAACGATTACTTAAATTGGAGCCTATAGACGTCCGTGAGATAAGAGTTCGAAGTCTTGATTGTGTAACAGGTGTCGCTTCAAACCGAAAAGCATTACTGCTTCGTGACAGAAATAGGCAGGAATACCAACCCTACTGACCACTCCCCGAAGAATGCGTTGGTCGCTTCTTCCGATACCCGAGGTAAGATTTGATGTCGGTTAGTGCTATTCTAAGCCAACAGCACTCTGCCATGATTTGTGACCCGGAAATGAATTAATTGTACCAGAACTGTCAATTTGCGATATTTTATGTTGAAACATGCATGAAATAGAACTTCATCTATACTCATTTCAAACAGTAAGTTATAAAAATATTGTTATTGCTCTCACAGAGTTAGGCACAATAATTTGTAAATGTCAGGCTTTGGAATACTTTTGTTTGCATTCATTTCAACGTTATATTTTTAGTATTATAACCTCAATAGTTTCCAAGTGGTGCCTTTTCCCATTATAAATAATTAAAATGTTTACATTTTCAATAATTTGTGTATAGTTTAAAATCAGCAATGAATTGAAATTATAATTTTATTGAATGAATGTTATGTTTGCAAAGACCAATTGTCAGAATTTCATGTATCCGCTTGAAGGACAAAGATTATTTACTCAAAAAGCCAGGCTTTGTCCAAACGTCTCATTGGCACGGATTATCTTTTTAAAAGGTTCACGTTGAGAAATTCGTGGGAGCAGCCCGATACTGAGGCTCGATCCATTTGTGACAGGTGTCATTTTTTCTCCACACAACGGTATAAGATAAAAGATAATTCAATATTAGCCTAAAATGGCGTCCCGCGGTGCACGGATCCCTGACTTTTTCTTCATTCACGGTAACTTTAACATGTATTGTCGTAGAGCAAATATTACTGGTTTTTTTAAATCAAGGTTTGTTTTAATACAAATATTGATTCCAGTTTAATTGACAATCATTTTCCGGTTAATTTGGCTCGGCCTTGTGTTGTTTGGTTTTAATATTTGATTTTTAATTTGTTTTCCTTCGATACTTAAGTCGGTTGGGTGTGTTTTGTATATTGAGCGATCAGATTGAGCGATTTTCATGGTTGCGTCGTTAGATCGTGTTTAATGTCTTTTGGCTGTGCCGATGTCAGAAGCAGCCACTAGGAGAGAACTTTACCGATAGTCAAATATACTCATGAAACTATTAGCCCATATCGGCTTAAGGCGCAGCAATTATCCTATAACACGAACGCTATTTGATTGTGATATGAGTTAAAAATCTCAATTTTGTTTTAAATCGATTGTACTATCCATCAAACTGGAATATATAACTGGTTTCGTTGTGGTACAAACAGGAAGAATTTCATGTCCTATCCAAGCGTAGTGTTCGCTCACGCGGCCAGCACTAACTTGAAACTCCTTCAAGTCATTTAATCCCGTTTTTGCAGGATAGTCGTTGGAGCACCACGGTTCTTAAGGAATGTGGACCTCCATGATGACCTGGAGCTTGACTCAGTCAGTAAGTATTTACAGTCGGCATCATTGCGCCACTTTGAGCAGGCGGTACGACACGAAAACCCCTTGTCGTAGCCGCCGGAAATTACATACCCGATCCTGTGGACCGAATGGTAAATTGTCGACCTCGCCCTAAGCAAGTAATTACGGATCCTCTCGATCCATTAACGGTGCTTTTAGGTACCTCAAGCACCAGTCACCGTCTTCGCCGAACCCTTCGCTTGCGACGAAGGGCTCGACGAGTAAATTAACCCATAGGCACAGTCCACTGAGTTTCTCGCTGGATCTTCTCAGTGGATCGCGTTTACGATCCTGTGGTAGATTCTGTGAAGCACTGCTCTTGCTAGGGATAGTGTTAGCAGCACTCCGGCTTGAGCCCCGTGAGCTCAAGGCGAAGCTGAAATAGCCTCTCAAGGCTATCAGTATAGGTAAGGAAAAAAAAACTGAGCGATATTATGTCGTCATTATAGAAGTCACCGGAGAACGTGTTTTGTGTGTACGTATTTAAAGTGCCTATTCTTAATTTTAAACAAAAATATACCTAAAGGAGTTTACTTGCGTTGTACCTACCAAGCTAGGGATGCTTCAAAATAAGCAGCCATCAATGATTCAGTTTTGATTTGTAAAATAGTAAAATATTCTCCTGGTCATTACTACTCGATTTTTCTGGAGATACTGTCAATAATTAACACAGTTTGATCGATGACAGTCCAATAACAGCGCGACCCTTCCTGTCCACTCCCCGAGTCCTGTTTAATCCTTTCGACAAATGTTCCTGACAACACGTGTATTAATTTTTCGGTTACATCTTTATTTGATTTGGGTCTGTTATTATTTTGTTTCGTGATACACAGCGGAAGCCAACTAGGAAGCATATTTAGGCTATGGATTTTATCTTAGAAAGCCTCTATTTCGATGAATTTAAGATTTTGTTCAAGCTTTGACCTCGCGTCTCAAGGCGGCTGGCCGCATTGACGTCTATGTGAGTTCCAGTAAATATTTAACACCATCGCTAATTCTTAGCGATTATGTCTTAAGCCTGCAGCTATTAAAAATATTTATGTAGGTACCTATGTTTTCAATATTCTGGAGAAGTTGCGGGTTTCAAAACGTGATTAATTGTTGACTACTTACATAAACAAGTATTGTGATTGTGACGGGCAAAGTAGAAGGAAAGAGACCCCGCGGCCGATTACCTAGCCGTTGGTGTGATCAAGTAACCGCTCTAACTGGGTTGCCAGTCGCAACCGCCATTCGAGCAGCTGAGGACCGGACGAGATGGAAACAGCTCACGAGACAGGCAAAGGTCAAGTTTCAGGGACACGACCTTCAGCAATGAAGAAAGCGACGAAGAAGAAGAAGAAGAAACAAGTATTGGATAGAGCGAAACAGATGAAAACAAACAAAATCAAATTGATTGTAGGCTTTTACCTTTCGTGAATCTAATAGTGAAGCGCTTGTGACGGCCATTTTGTCAGTCAAGCCAGTTTTACAAGTTATTTTAAACAGGTACAAATCGATCTAACAGTTATATTGAAATTATTGGGTTCACTCAATAAAATCCTTATTTTATTTTCGTCTAAGAGAAATCTCCGCAAAACTTGGTAGTGTTCATATTTTTAATATATTGACAAAAGCGTTCGAATTAAAGCAATTTTATTTTTGTTTTATAATAATCTAATCTAAAATCTAAATAATCTGATGTTTTCAAGAGCAAGAATCCTAATAGATGGAGATACATAGAGGAACACTCGACACGTCGCGGTAGTAGAACAAGAATAGCACATAATATAGGGTTGCACGTCCGTCACAATCAGCTGACGCGCGGATTGAGGTTTGACGATATATCACAAGGTAGATATTATATTGACCGCTTTGAAGAAACAGCTCCCTTATTATTACGACTATGTAACTAAAACCAATCCGCTGGTATTGACCCGGGAAGACTTCACGCCCTACCAAAGGCCGTAGAACGTGCTATAGAGATGTGTTCGAAGTCCTATTTTTTTTATTTTTTTTATTTCTTAGATGGGTGAACGAGCTCACAGCCCACCTAGTGTTAAGTGGTTACTGGAGCTCATAGACATCTACAACGTAAATGCGCTACCCACCTTGAGATATAAGTTCTAAGGTCTCAAGCATAGTTACAACGGCTGCCCCACCCTTCAAACTTCAGTTGTAGTTAGTGGTTAGATATATGTATGTACATGGTTTAGCAAAATACAGTATAGATACTGTTACCAAGGATAGTTACTAGAGGTTAGAAAGGCTCATATTAAAAATAGAACAGTCTTCCGTAAAATATGACTCGATAAACTAATCGTAACCGATTAATAAAAAAAACTGTGGGTCTACTTATACCTAAGTACGCACGAGTTTTTTTTTTCTACCTATGCTTGAGAGCCTAGCCGTGAGAGGCTATTTCAGCTTAACCTTACTAGTAGTGAGCTCACGGGACTCAAACCTGACGACGTTGCTACACGAACCCTAGCAAGAGCCGTGCTTCGCAGAATCTACCACCGGATCGGAAACGCGACCCACTGAGAAGATCCGGCGAGAAACTCAGTGGGCTGTGTCTGTGGGTAATTTACTCGTCGAGCCCTTCGTCGCAAGCGACGGATTCGACCAGAACGATGACCGGTACGCACGAGAAAAGCCATACGTCTTTAGCGTAACTTAATTGTTTTCAAACTCAATATTCGCATGATTTATGATATTTTGTATTCAAGTTTAACAATATTGGCTATGTGTATGTGCATTACTATAATTCTCATGTTGTATTTGTTATTTTAGCTGTTCTACACATACTCATCACTTTTGATTATTATTCTCATAATCCTCTCGCAGGTCTGCTGGAAGAGATTTCTTAAAGAAATAAGCGGTGCCTTTGTACATAATTTTCCTATTATTCTGTACTGTGTCTTCTTTTGTGTGTGTACATAAATAAATAAATAAAGATAGTTGTCGGTCGTGGTATGACGTACCTACACTGTACTGCAAGTGAAACTGGAGTAACATTCTCGTGCCATTAAACGCATTAAGCTTGAACCCGTAAGTTGTTCAAACAGCGGTTTGTTTGTGTTTGCGCAACGGACACCCGATGCATTCATTTCTAAACGGACTGTGTTCGTAACATATTTAAGTACTTAAATATATATATTTTTTATTGCTTAGATGGGTGGACGAGCTCACAGCCCACCTTGTGTTAAGT